TGAGGTCAAAGTCAAATGAACCCTGCAAAACAGACATGTACACCTATAACAATCATACCATTCACCAAGTATATTTAGCCTATTACTTATAGTACCTGATAAACATACCTAATTATGAAAATTGAACATTGACCAATCAACCATAAAAATGAGGTCAATGTTAGATGAACCTGACCAGACAACATATACACCATATAAAGTTGACTATTGCTTATAGTACCTTAGAAACAGACATACTACATCTCCTATTTTATATAACCATGATACGAGACACATACTCTACAATGAAAACTTAACCTGGATCAGTGATCCATGAAATGAGGTCAAGGTCAGATGAACCATGACAGACATGTGAACCTTGCAAGGAACCAATAGAGCAAATATACTTATCCTATTGCTTATTTTAAGTCAGAAAGCGACATGACAAAAAAACTAAGCTTCATTTTCAAGCAGCTGCTGAACCATGAAATGAGGTGAAGGACAATGAACATACAACTGGCAGAATCTTCGTAACAGAAGGCATCTGCAAACTAGGTATAAAGCATCCAGGTCTCCTACATTATGAAATATAAAGGTTTATACAAATTATTTATGCCGCCGCTACAAAGTTGTCCCTATGTCTTGCATTCTCAGACTTTCATCGCAGGCTTAACTAAAACCTACCACACAGAATGACTTACTGAGTGCAAACCTAGTTCGCTATGTATTGACTGGTAGGGAACTAAAAAGTTATGGCACATGCTGCTGTTGGATTAGTATTCCTATGTCTTGCTTTCTAGAAGTTACAAATAACTCAATACTTCAATAATATATATATTTTAATCTCCCATTATCTTATTACAATGAGGAGTGTATATATGTACATAAACATGAGCACTATCTATCACATTTACACCACACCTCTTAACAACAACAAAGACATCGTATAAATGTACTAAGGAATTAAGCATTAATAGGAAAATTGCACACATACACACATCAATTTATATTATATGAATTCTTTTCATACCATAATAATCATGTAACAATCACATTGTTAATAATACTCTAACTTAAAGCTTTCTTCAACTTCAGCATTAATTGAAAAAAGTTTTCCATGATAGAACTTAAGATCAAGTTTTTGAAACTTTTAAGTTTTCCCATCATAATGACTTATCAAATGTGAACATCATCTTAAGGTGTAAAAATATGCTAAAAATATTTTTGGTGCATTCATAGAAAAACTGCAATGATACATTTTATAAAGAAATATTTCTCAATGTCCATCATATTTACATTAACATTATTCACATAAAGGGTCCCTTTTTCAAAATGTGACAAAAAAGACGGAAAGAAAGGGGGAAAAAAATGAATAATGTGTCCATGGGACACAGATGGATGATGCCCGCTTGCATATAACTTTATAAAGGAACATAACTCAAGAACAGTAAAAGTGACGCTACCCAAATTTGTACTTGATCTGAGTTTTGTGGTAATAAGTATTGTGTATAAGTTTCAAAACATTTGGTGGAGGCAAACTAAAGTTAGAGAATGGAAACAAAAAATTCAGCAATTTTTCCATTTATAAAGGGCCATAACTCTAGAACGGTTAAAGTAACACCACCAAAATTCAAACTTGATCTGTGTTTTGTGGTAATAAGCATTGTGTATAAGTTTCATTACATTTGGTAGAGGCAAACTAAAGTTAGAGAAAGGAAACCAACTTTGGGATCTACAGACGTACAGACGGACAAGGGTAAAACTTAATGCCCCTTTCCCTACGGCGGGGGGCAAAAAAAAGTACTATTTGTCAACCTGTCTGGCAAGAAAAATCATAAACATATTAAAAAGTAGTTTCAGCTACTGTGAACCAAGTGAAAGTTCAGCAAACAAAAAATGTATATAAATTGAAAATAATCATATTGATTGTCCCTGAAAAAGGTATTCAATTGTGTTTGCATTCTAAAGCCCAACTACCCTTACAATATTTTTTTTTACAAATAGTGCCTAATCACTTTTAGACCCACCCATCAAAAATACAAGTGACTTTGAGGCCAGAGATAACAATTTCTGGAACAGTCGAAGTAAAAGAAAGAACATTTTTTCCCCAAAAAGCTTCTGAGTTGACAGTAGTGACAAATTTCTTCTGAAATCGACAAATTTTAAACGCTGCTTGAAATACAGTTCAACCCTATTTGTTGTTGTGATAAATCATTTAATTAAGGGAATATAAAATTTATATAATAACTTCTCTAACAGAATTTTGTTTTCTTAAACTGACCTAATATTGTCTATAAGCAATCACAAAAACTCATTTAATATACATTTGCATTTCTTAATGTGTACTACAATTACAGTTACTCAAATCCTGACAAAATACATTCTCAACCTTAGGCAAATATGATTTAAAGTATGCCACAACATCACAACTAATGTTCTGAAACATGTATGATTTACAAACAATGTAAAATTTGAGATTCCAAGATTGATTTATATAGTCAGATAGCTCCTTATGCAATTGTTGAAAAATTTAAATGCAAAGAAAATGTCTACATGAATTAACTTTATACTTTTTTTCAATTAAATTTTCTTCCAAATGTAATACATGTAATGACATTGTGATGTAGTAAAACACTTTCAGTTCAATTTTAATTCAAATTTACCGTTCATAACTTCATTAACTTTATTGAAATAAAAAGAAGATAAAAAAAGTAAATTGCAAGTCCGTAACAAAGTTTTCATTTCATTCTTAGCAGCTGATTCTTAGTCATATAAAAATATCAGCACATGTCCAAGGAAAAAATAACACTGAAGTAAAGTTCCTCCAAAGACCTAGTGATCAAAAGCATCATACACATTTGATTAATAATGATCACATGAAAATGCAGCAGGATATTTAAGCACAAGTATTAACAACAGCATTTTCTTAAAAACATTATCATATAATCTAAGAACAAAGTAGTCTCCATTACAACTTCCCATTCCTCACGGGAGATACAATTTCTTATTCTAAATTTTTATTTCAAAAAGAAAAATTTCCTTTCCATTATTCTTCAGTCATTTGTACAGTGAATTACTCTCATTATCTGTGCTATACCAATTTTCATGGATTTCATGATAAATCAACAAGAGTGCACATGCTGAAATGTCTCGCCTTCTTTACTAACTAACTGTTGATATTATGTTGATAGTCCTAAATAGAAAGCTTTACTATAACTATTACATAAACTTAACATGATCAAAGAAAATGAGGTCAAGGCCATATAAACCAAACGAGAAATACATGTACACCTTCCAATGATTCAATACACTAAATACAGTTGACCTATTGCTTATAGTTTCTAAGAAACAGACATAACCAAGAAAACTAAACATTGACCAATGAACCACGAAAATGAGGTCAAGGTCAGATGAACCATACCAGGCAGACATGTACAGTTAACAATCCTTCTATACAACAAATATAGTTGACCTATTGCTTATAGTTTTAAGAAAAACAGACCAAAACACATAAACTTAACACTGAGCAATGAACCTTGAAAATAAGGTCAAGGTCAAACAAAACCTGCGAGACTGACATTTACTTCATAAAATATTTCCATACACCAAATATAGTTGACCTATTGCATATAGTATTAGAAAAAAAGACCAAAACTCAAAAACTTAACTATAATCACTTAACCCTGAAAATCAGGTCAAGGTCAAATGAGACCTGCCAGTTGGACATATACACCTTACAATCCTTCCATACACCAAATATACTAGACCTATTGCTTATATTATCTGAGGTATGGACTTGACCACTAACACTCAACCTTGTTCACTGATCCATGAAATGAGGTCGAGGTCAAGTGAAAATTGTCTGACTAGGCATGAGGACCTTGCAAGGTATGCACATACCAAATATAGTTATCCTATTACTCATAATAAGAGAGAAATTAACATCACAAAAAATCTTAACTTTTTTTTCAAGTAGTCACTGAACCATGAAAATGAGGTCAAGAACAATGGACATGCAACAGACAGAAACTTCGTAACATAAGGCATCTATATACAAAGTATGAAGCATCCAGGTCTTCCACCTTCTAAAATATAACACTTTTAAGAAGTTAGCTAACACCGCCGGTGGATCACTATCCCTATGTCAAGCTTTCGGCAACAAAAGTCGCAGGCTCAACAAAAACTAGGATTTCTAAAACTCATCAAATACACTTGGTTTTTAAATTTGAAAGGATTTTTTTATTAGACAAAATAAAATGCTTCGCTGGGCGCAGCTTGATACGACCGCAGAGGTCGAACCCTGAACAGTTGGGGCAAGTGTGGACACAACATTCAAGCTGGATACAGCACTGAATTTGGATTGTGATTAAATACATGGTTAGAGTCAGCATATCAAGGAACCCCACATATCCAATTTTTGTTGAAATCAAACAAAGTTTAATTTTGGACCCCAATTTGAACCAACTTGAAAACTGGGCCCAAAATCAAAAATCTAAATACATGTTTAGATTCAGCATATCAAAGAACCCCATATATTCAATTTTTGTTAAAATCAAACAAAGTTTAATTTTGAATCCTTTGGACCTTAATGTAGACCCATTTGAAAACTGGACCCAAAATTAAAAATCTAAATACACGGTTAGATTCGGCATAACAAATAAATAAATGTGGTCAAAGATTTTACAAATCTAATGCGCCATACTGTGCAATTAAAGATTACTTCTTGAAATTTTTCAATATTTGAAATTTGAAAAAAAATAATATTTGAAGAATAATTCTTTTTAATTTCTGAAATCTGAAATGAGAAAAAATTGACCCCCACAATTTCTTTTTACCCCCCCCCCCCCTTTTTACCCCAAAAAAAAATCTTTCCCTCAAGATATTGTCATAATCTCAATTCAATTTCCAATGGAGTTTGCAACCATAATTACCCATTGAAATTTACCATAGTGCTAACTTAATCTATTTTATAATAGAATTTAAAAATATAGTGTCAAATCTTTCAAATCGATTTTTTTGTAAAAAAAAAAGATGCAACATTTGCAGATATTTTTACTGGTCTTCCTTTATAAATATGCATTTCTTTAAACATAATTTAAAAGCAGTGTAAGGGAAGTAACCAAAACGTTGTATTTGGATTACCTCCCTTACACTGTTTTAAATTATCTTAATTGTTCATTAACCATTACTTTATACATAATTCAAAAGCAGTGTAAGGGAGATAATTTCAATGATGTATTTGATTTATCTCCCTTACGCTGCTTTAAATTATGTTTTGTACTAAAGTATTTGTCCATTAACCAGGACAACCTTGTTTTTCCCCCTTTTTTGCCCCTAATTCCTAAACGGTTTGAGCCATAACCCCCCAAAGCAAATCCCAACCATCCCTTTGTGGTATGGAAACTTGTAGTATAATTTCAGAGAGATCCATACACCGTTCCACAGTTATTGTCTGGAAACTAGAAAATGCTTATTTTTGGCCCCTCATTCCTTAACTGTTGGTACCATAACCCCCAAATTCAATCCCCACCTTCCTTTTGTGGTATTGAACTTTTTGGTAAAATTTCAAAGAGATCCATTCACTTAAACTAAAGTTAGAGTGCGAAAACCAATGTGTCTTCGGATGACAACGCCGGACGACGACGACGCCAACGTCATACCAATATACGACCGCAAAAATTTTTTGCGGTCGTATAAAAATTCAATTACATGAACAGGATGATAAGAAACCTTAAAAGTTGTGTTTGAAAATTTGAATAAAATACCAACAGTATATCAGAACTTTTATTGTTCCATTCCAAGTAATCAATAAACTTAATAACTTCATGTTTCTCAAAAAAAATTAAAAGTATGATTAAAAATATGTAAATCATTCCTTTTATTCTAGTCATTTTTTTTTTGACAGCAAAGGACTATTGTTATTACTTATGCATATGATTTTTAAAGAATTAAACAATATACCAGTTAACCTAATTCTATAAATAAGAAAACTTCGAAAGTAACAACTACGTAAATCCATAGGAAACGGATTAATATAAGTTAACAGCTTGTTTCCGGATCCTATTAATTATTCAATTGTATTAATATGTAAATGCCAAATTGTGTACATTATATAACTTGAATTTAATTAATAAAATATGTTTACACTAAATCCATAGTTTTCACGTCTATTTTTATGAACAATTTAACTACGATAAAAATTTATATAAATAACTGTGGTTAAAAATGTCTATATCAAAGTATATCTTGTTTTGAATTATACATGTAGCTATCTGTCTAATGAAAATATCTGTCATGGCTGCAAGGGAAAATTTAATAAAAAATTCATGATTCTGACATATTTTTTTTTATTTTCTTCTTTGCAAAATTTTTTTCTCTCTATAGTTTATCACTATTTGGCCACCAGATTTGTGATAAAAAATTTCTCAAGATATCATCATGATCATTGAAATTTGTTTTATATATCATTTTTGAAGAAATTATTATAAAGCTACATAAGCCATGCAGCAATCATTTCAAGTATTTCAAGTATTTTTAGAATTTCAATTACTACAAAAAAGTTATTCACAATGGAAAATCTTGTTTTTGTTAACAAAAAGAACTGTTTACAGGTAAAAATGTTAATAATACCACATATATCTTTAAAATGACAAAAACCTACATGTATAATAAAAAAAATCAAAGTTGGTTGGAAAATTTTGGAACTGCAAATATGAAAAAAATAATTACTAGAACATAATAAACTTGTTACCAAATAATTTACAACGGATTCAAAATATTTTTTCAAAGATGAACTTCATTGACAAATCAGTTAATATGTAATTGCATACATGTAAATGGTACTTTTCAAGAAATTAATATGAATCCAAAAACAAATCTAAATGATTAAATCTTTTATATACATGTGGTATATACTTTCTTCTAGATTTCTTTAAAAAATAAAAACAAAAAAATAATCAATTGCTTCACCCAGCGCAGCTGGATACGACCGCAGAGGTCCAACCCTGAACAGTTGGGACAAAAATGGACACAATATTCGCGCTTGATACAGGTCTGAATTTGGATTGTAATTAAATATTTGACACATAATAGGTTTCTGACACAGAATAACTGTAGTTTAAGAACTTATATTTAATTATAATTTATATTCATTTTTTGCTTTTGTGCAATACAATATGCTGTTGCGAATTGACCCCCCCCCAAAAAAAAAAATTTTTACCCCCTTTTTTTTGCCTTTGTGCAATTCACCATGCTGTTGCAAATTTTCTTTTTAATTTCTGATATCTGAAATGAGAAAAAATTGTCCCTTCCTCACAATTTCTTTTTTACCCCCCCCCCCCCCCCCCCCCCCCAATTTTTTTTCACCTCCCCCCTCCTTTTTCCAAAAAAATTCTTTCCCTCAAAATATGGTCATAATCTCAATTCAAATTTCCAAAGGAGTTTGACAATCACCTAAAGACAATACATTTCTTTATACATAATTTAAAAGCAGTGTAAGGGAGGTAATCCAAACTTAACATTGTACTTTTTTTAATTGTCCATTAACCAGGAAACCCTTGTTTTCCCCCTTTTTTGCCCCTAATTCCTAAACGGTTTGAGCCATAACCCCCCAAAGCCAATCCTAACCATCCCTTTGACTTTGTGGTATGGAAACTTGTGGTATAATTTCAGAGAGATCCATACACCGTTCCACAAGTTATTGTCTGGAAACTAGAAAAATGCTTATTTTGGCCCCCAATTCCTTAACTGTTAGGACTATAACCCCCAAAATCAATCCCAACCTTCCTTTTGTGGAAATAAACCTTGTGTTCAAATTACATTGATTTCTATTTACATTTACTTAAGTTATTGTCCGGAAACCAAATGTCTTCGGACGAGGCTGACGATGACGACGTGAAACCAATATTTTTTGCAGTCGTATAAAAACTGAAACATGTCCAACACTTAATGATAATCTTAAAAAAATATGGCTACAATTCAAATACATACTGACTACTATTTAAATATTATGACACAGTTTACATCAACTATTATCTGAATCTTCATCAGTTTTTCTTTTCTTTGTGTCCTCCTCAGGGTCTTCACTATCCTCACATTCAGAATGAGATCGCTTTCTGGAGTTGACTGAAAGATTGTTTTCTTCACCAGTTGAATTTTCAGATTGCACTGAGTCACATTCTTCATTTTCTAAAGCATTTTTCGAAGAATTAGTATCTTCAATTAAAATATTACTATGTTCATCATTATCTGTTAGTTGTCCTTTATTTTTTTCAACAGAATCATCATCTATTTTACTTTCTGTAGTCATGTCTTTTTCATTTTCTTCCATGTTTTCATCATTTTCATCTTTTTCATTTGGATTACCTTCATGGTTTTTATTAGGTTTGTCTTCATCTTTTTCATTAAGTTTTTCACTGTCTTCATTCTCTTCATCTTTTACATTAGGTCTTTTTACATCTTTTTCATTATTTTTGCCTTTATCGTTTTCCTCTTTAACATTAGGTTTGTCTTTATCATTTTCCTCTTTTACATTAGGTTCGTCTTTTTCATTTTCCTCTTTTACATTAGGTGTGTCTTTATTGTTTTCCTCTTTTACATTAGGTTTGTCTTTATCGTTTTCCTCTTTTACCTTAGGTGTGCCCTTATCGTTTTCCTCTTTTACATTAGGTTTGTCCTCATTTTCTTTATGACTTTTGCCTTCAATTTCAGTTTTGTCATTTTCTTTGTCACTAGTGTGGTTTTCATCTTTTGTAGTTTCACATTCCTTTTTTATATTTCTTTCTTCTCCACTTTCATCTTTAGTCTCAGAATCATTTTTCTTGCTCTTACTTTCAGTTTTGTCATTCTCAGACTTGGCATCATCATCATCACTATCTAGGACAATTTCAGTTCTTTCTTCTTCTTCAATTATGACATCAGAATCATTGTCACTTTCTATAACAACTTCTTCCTTTTTACTGTCTGTTTTCCCTGACAAATCAATTATTACTTTGCCTTTCCTTGGCTTATCAAAATTCATGGCTACAGTCAAACCCTTTATTTGCTGAGTTTTAATTTCTCCTTCGATAATATTTGCTGTTGACCTAGCATTTCTAGTTCTCAGTCTTGGGTCAAGTCTCATGAACTTTCCACCAGTAGCTATGTTAATCTGAGATGGACTCAACCTTTTTAGAGCTACACTGCATGGTTTGGTATGACTTTCAAGATGCTTGATCAGACCAGCTGGTTTCAAGTTCTTAAGACCACAAATACTGCAGGTCTTGCTCGCCATTTTACATACATGCCTGGCAAGATCAGCGGATTTGTTGACGACCATTCCACATTTCTTACAGGTAGCATGTACACTTAGACAATGTAAAGTCAGTTTGGTATTGTCTGGAAACTGGCTAGAACAGAAGACACAAAAGTTATTTCTTACCATACCAGATGATCCTCCAGTTACTACAGTGGATAAATTCTTTGTAGCTGCATTTGACTGTGGTTGAGGCTTGATTACAGAACTAACTGGAGCACTCGCTTTTATATTATCTTCTCCCTTTATCAAAACACCATGTGTTGCTGCCATATGAAGTTCTAATTCTTTACGAGATTGTGACAATGTACCACAAAACATACAGCGCTTCAAAGCCATACATTCTCCTGTTGTCAAGCGATGGAATTTATGCAGATGAGAATATAAATTTTCAGGCTTCTGATGACAAATCCAGCATTGGTTGGTGGCAGATGCATTTTGTTTCACAGTGTTTAAATGCTTAGCACTGCTTTTATGTTTTGTGAAACCCTGAGATGTCCAAAAACGTTCATTACAAATATTACAAAAGAGAGGAGCTAATGGCTTACTGAAAACATGAGCTGGCATTTCTATTTTATGTGCGTAAAAGAAATGTATCCTCAGTGACATCCTGTCTTTAACGTAACCCCCACAGATCTCGCATACTTCAAATCCAGGTCTTGTATTTACATTTACATTTTGTTGCGTTCGCAGTAACTGGTTGACAGTGGGTTTATTTACAGATGCTGGTTTTAATGGTTGAGGCTGTTTCTGTACTGGCGCAGTAACAAATCTTGTACCAGAGAAATCACTTTGCAATGCATATGCAGTTGCTGCAGTAGTAGGTCCTTTAAATTGAGATGGTATAATAGGTCGATTGGGATTAACAACAGGAGGTGGTTTTGCCTGAACTTGGTTTAGTTTTGGCTGAATTATGGCTGGTTTGTGTTTTACAATTGGTATATTTCCTCTAGTGTCTGGCCTATCAATTTGAGCAATTTTTCTTGCCTGTTGAGCTTGCTGTTGTAACTGAAGTTTCTTGTTATGAACTTGAAATTTGTAAAAAATATTTTTCAAGCTAAGATTAATGTCCACATGATGAGGTGCTTGATTTATATGCTCTTTAAAGTTTTTCTCACACTTGAGTTTATGTTTCATTATAGTGTTTTTATTTGCGCCTTCAAACGTACATAGATTACAAGGCCAGAGGTTGGATTTGTGGTTAGATCTTGCAACAATGTTATGTTCTTTCTCTATGTGAGCTTTGAACATGTCATCTGCAATTTTTCCTTGGAAACTTTGGTTACAATGAGGGCAGCTTAATACAGCAGACTTGTCAGATGTATTATATGACACATGTGGATATTGTTTATGCAAAAACATAACATTCTTAGATTCAGTGGTAAATCCACATTTACATTTTAGTGTTGGTATATCATGTAGGTATTCAAGTTTATTTTTCAACTCCTCAACTACTTTCTTCATTCTTTGAAGACTCTCCTTCTCACTAGCGTTCAACAAATCTGCCTCATCTTTTTTCCTTTGAACCTGAACGATTTGCTCATAAGCTAATTCTTTTACAAGGTCACTTCCTAAATCAAAGAGCAGTTTAGAAGCTGAACTTAAATCTGCCTTTTTGCTAACATTAGCTAAACCACCCCAAAAAGCATTGTCCGGTTTTCTACTTAGCACTTCGTATTTTATCAATTCCAATTGTTCCCAGCTAGCTTGTGGAATATCAAGATCAAGGGTTTTGTCCAAAGGATTTTTGTTATAATTTGGAAGTGGAAATCCCATAGCCATTCCGGCACTTGGTTTAGATTGTATTCCTAAAACTGATGATCCAGCAGTTCCAATTATTGAAGTATTCAGAACTGTACCCATACTAGATGTCGGTATAGTTATTAAAATCTGCTGTCCACCAACATTTATGTACTTTTGTTGTGAATTTGGCATTGACTGAATACTTGATGGCACAAAATACTGAATAGACGATCCTGGTAAAACGGGAAATCTAACTTGTGATGGTCCAGGGGCTATTGGAGGCTGTAAAACTTGTTTACTATTAAATATGGTTGCCTGATGTGGCATAACCACAGGTTTTGAAACTTTAGCTACCACCTTTTCATTTTTGTCAGGACTCTCATTGACAACAACTATTTCATTAGAAGCTTTTTTGTCTTTATTAGAAATTTCCTTTAATTTTTTAGTTTCCTCTTTTTCTCCTTCATCGTTATTTTCATCTTTACTCTTGCAACCATTCGAACTTATTTCATTTTCACCTTCACTGTCCTCATTTTCTTCATTAATTGTTATAAGAATTTCAGATCCATCTATATCAGTGACCTTTTCAATAGATTTGGACTGACTTTTATCCTCCTGACTAGATTTCTCCCCTCCATTTACTTTAAGCCCATCAGATAAATTTTCTGTCTTTCTCTTATGTATATCGTTAGCTGAATTATTTGCATCCTCGTCTAGAACTCCATTTTCAGAAAAATCTTTATCTAGAGTTGTGCTTTCTTGCTCTGTATCTACCTTCTCACAATCTTTATGGTCTTCTTTCACGTCGTTCATTTTTTCATCACAGGAAGATACATGAATTTTAGAATCTTGTAATTTCGTCTGGTCTTCGTTTATTTTTTCAGCTTCTGTGTCTTTAGATTCATTTTCATCCAAGTTTGCATTTTCAAACCTTGATTCAAATTCATCCTTTTTTGTTTCAACGACTTTACCAGAACATGCAGGCATATCATCTTTTCCCTGTATTTCATCAACATGATCACAATCCACTTTATTTTCATTTTCTTCTTTTGTTTCAACATCCATTGACTGTTCACTGTCTTCATAAGGACTTATATCAGAAATATTTGATGTGGCAGTTGAATTGTCCAGTTCTTCCTCTGGTTTCTTGGAGTCTTCTACCTTCAGTTCATTCTGCTGAGTGTCTAGTGTTTCTTTGTTTAGATTTTCATCCCCATGGTCATTTTCATTTGTTTCATTTTCTGATGTCTCCATAGAGTCAATGTCATTTGAGGTGTTCTTATTATGCAGGTCAGAATTGCCATTGAATTTCTCTGCATGTTTATCGTCTGTGAAACCATTAAGATTTAAGTTGTCTTTCTGTACAGCTAAGGGATCTTTCATGATGTTTTCCCCTGTTGTGCTGCCATTCACATTTTCTGATACCTCCATCTTGGTCTCACATCCTATAAAAAATAATAATAATGTATGTATTAATTCAAACTTTCAATATCATTTTAAAATATAAGATTTAACTTAACGAATCTGTGCTTTTACTTCCTAAATTAAACTAGAGGCTCTAAAGAGCCTGTGTCGCTCACCTTGGTCTATGTGCATATTAAACAAAGGACACAGATGGATTCATGACAAAATTGTGTTTTGGTGATGGTGATGTGTTTGTAGATCTTACTTTACTGAACATTCTTGCTCCTTACTATTATCTCTATCTATAATGAACTTGGCCCAGTAGTTACAGTGGAAAATATTTTGCAAAAATTTACAAAAATTTACAAAATTTATGAAAATTGTAAAAAATTGACTATAAAGGGCAATAACTCCTTAAGGGGTCAATTGACAATTTTGGTCATGTTGACTTATTTGTAGATCTTACTTTGCTGTACATTATTGCTGTTTACAGTTTATCTCTATCTATAATAATATTCAAGATAATAACCAAAAGCTGAAAAATTTTCTTAAAATTACCAATTCAAGGGCAGCAACCCAACAACTTGTTGCCTGATTGGTCTGAAAATTTCAGGGCAGATAGATCTTGGCCTAATGAACAATTTTGTCCTCGTCAGATTTGCTCTCAATGCTTTGGTTTCAGAGATATTAGCCAATAAAATGCTTCGCTGGGCGCAGCTTGATACGACCGCAGAGGTCGAACCCTGAACAGTTGGGGCAAGTATGGACACAACATTCAAGCTTGATACAGCTCTGAATTTGGATTGTGATTAAATATTGGACACAGCATAGGTTTCTGACACAGAAAGAATGTGGTCTACGAATTTCATTTTTTTTAATTTACCTATTATGGTCCAATGCCCAAAATCAAAATACATGGTTAGATTCAGCATATCAAAGAACCCCATATATTCAATTTTTGTTGAAATCAAACAAAGTTTAATTTTGGACCCCAACTTGGACCAACTTGAAAACTGGTCCCATAATCAAAAATCTAAACACATGTTTAGATTCAGCATATCAAAGAACCCCAAAAATTCAATTTTTGTTAAAATCAAACTAAGTTTAATTTTGGACCCTTTGGACCTTAATGTAGACCAATTTAAAAAACGGGACCCAAAATTAAAAATCTAAATACACGGTTAGATTTGGCATATCAAAGAACCCCAATAATTCAATTTTTGATGAAATCAAACAAAGTTTAATTTTGGACCCTTTTGACCTCAATATGAACCAATTTGATAGCGGGCCCACAAATAAAAAATCTAAATACATGGTAAGATTCAGCATATCAAAGAACCCCATATATTCAATTTTTGTTGAAATCAAACAAAGTTTAATTTTGGACCCCAATTTGGACCAACTTGAAAACTGGGCCAAAAATATAAAATCTAAATACATGTTTAGATTCAGCATATCAAAGAACCCCATATATTCAATTTTTGTTGAAATCAAACAAAGTTTAATTTTGGACCCCAACTTGGACCAACTTGAAAACTGGGCCCATAATCAAAAATCTAAACACATGTTTAGATTCAGCATATCAAAGAACCCCAAGAATTCAATTTTTGTTAAAATCAAACTAAGTTTAATTTTGGACCCTTTTGACCTTAATGTAGACCAATTTAAAAACGGGACCCAAAATTAAAAATCTAAATACACGGTTAGATTTGGCATATCAAAGAACCCCAATAATTCAATTTTTGATGAAATCAAACAAAGTTTAATTTTGGACCCTTTTGACCTCAATATGAACCGATTTGATAGCGGGTCCACAAATAAAAAATCTAAGTACATGGTTAGATTCAGCATATCAAAGAACCCCAAGAATTCAATTTTTGATGAAATCAATCAAAGTTTAATTTTGGACCCTTTTGACCTCAATGTGGACAAAGTTGATAACGGGGCCCAAAAATCAAAAATCTAAATACATGGTAAGATTCAGCATATCAAAGAACCCCATATATTCAATTTTTGTTGAAATCAAACAAAGTTTAATTTTGGACCCAGATTTGGACCAACTTGAAAACTGGGCCCATTATCAAAAATCTAAATACATGTTTAGATTCAGCATATCAAAGAACCCTAAAAATTCAATTTTTGTTAAAATCAAACTAAGTTTAATTTTGGACCCTTTTGACCTTAATGTAGACCAATTTGAAAACGGAACCAAAAATTAAGAATCTAAATACACGGTTAGATTCGGCATATCAAAGAACCCCAATAATTCAATTTTTGATGAAATCAAACAAAGTTAAATTTTGGACCCTTTGGACCTCAATGTGGACCAATTTAAAAACGGGGCCCAAAATCCAAAAACTTAATACTTGGTTAGATTCAGCATATTAAAGAACCCCAAGAATTCAAGAATAAAACCCCATTGAAATTGATCAAGAAATAAGCAATTTATACGAAGTATCTTCTTTTGCACAATACTGTGCAATTGAATATTTCTTGCTATTGTGCAATACTGTACAATTGACAATTTCTTGCTATTGCGCAATATTGTGCTATTGGATATTTCTTGCTATTGCGCAATACTGTGCAATTGAAGATTTCTTGCTATTGCGCAATACTGTGCAATTGAAGATTTCTTGCAATTGTGCAATACTGTGCAATTGAAAATTTCTTGCTATTGCACAATACTTATTATATAATAATTTACACATCCTGTTTGGTGTGTATCTCCTACCATATCATTATTATTTGCTTTTAAATATTAATCAGAAATAACCAACTTAAAATGGAAAATTTTAAAAGAAAAAAAAAAAGGAAAAAAAGAAAAAAAAAGAAAAAAAAAAATCCCCCCCCCCCCCCCAAATTTTTTGAACCCCCTTATGATTCATCACCCCCAAACTCAATCCCAGCCTTCCCTTTGTGGTATGGTACCTTGCAGTACAATTTCAGAGAGATCCATACACTTGAACACAAGTTATTGTCTGGAAACTAGAAAAATGCTTATTTTTGGCCCCTTTTTGGCCCCCTATTCCTAAACTTTTCGGGCAATTACCCACAATCTCAATTCCAGCTTTCCCTTTGTGATATGGAACCTTGTAGTACAATTTCAGAAATATCCAAACACTTACACACAAGTTATTGTCATGAAACTAGAAAAATGCTTGTTTTTTGGCCCTTTTTTGGCCCCTAATTCCTAAAATTTTGAGGCAATTACCCCCAAAATCAATCACAGCCTTCCCTTTGTGATATGGAACCTTGTGGTACAATGTCAGAGAGATCCATACACTTACACACAAGTTATTGTCTGGAAGTTACAAAAATGCTTATTTTTGGCCCCTTTTTGGCCCCTAATTCCTTAACTGTTGGTACCATAACCCCCAAAATCAATCCCAACCTTCCTTTTATGGTATTGAACCTTATGGTAAAATTTCATGGAGATCCATTCACTTAAACTAAAGTTAGAGTGCGAAAACCAATGTGTCTTCGGACGACGCCGGACGACGACGACGACGACGCCAACATCATACCAATATACGACCAAAAAATTTTCAATTTTTGCGGTCGTATAAAAACTGCTTTTTACCCTATGTACTATTTTTTAGCCATGTCGGCCATCTTGGTTTGAGGGCGGGGTCATCAGACACATTTTTTAAACTAGATACCCTAATGATGATTGTGGACAAGTTTGGTTAAATTTGTCTTAGTAGTTTCAGAGGAGAAGATTTTTGTAAAAGATTACAAAAATTTACGAAAAATGGTTAAAAATTGACTATAAAGGGCAATAACTCCTTAAGGGGTCAACTGACCATTTTGGTCAAGTTGACTTATTTGTAGATCTTACTTTGCTGAACATTATTGCTGTGTACAGTTTATCTCTATCTATAATAATATTCAAGATAACCAAAAACGGCAAAATTTCCTTAAAATTACCAATTATGGGGCAGCAACCCAACAACGGGTTGTCCGATTCATCTGAAAATTTCAGGGCAGATAGATCTTGACCTGATAAACAATTTTACCCTTTGTCAGATTTGCTCTAAATGCTTTGGTTTCAGAGATATAAGCCAAAATCTACATTTTACCCCTATGTTCTATTTTTAGCCATGGCGGCCATCTTGGTTGGTTGGCCGAGTCACCGGACACATTTTTTAAACTAGATACTCCAATGATGATTGTGGCCAAGTTTGGTCAAATTTGGCTTAGTAGTTTCAGAGGAGAAGATTTTTGTAAAAGTTAACAGACGACACAGAGAAGTAATATAACAAATAAAATAAATACATGTGCATATAATTGTTTCATGTCAGACAAATTCACAATGGTCAGACTCAAATAGCAAGTTTGGAATCAAAAGGCAATGTAGTATACAGATGGCTATTTGAATGCTAGCATAGAAAGGTGTCATCTCCTATAGTGAAAATCTACTGAAAATTAAGAAAATAAATGGGGAATGTGTCCATGGAACACAGATGATGTCCCTGCTTGCATATATTTGAAAAGGGGTAAAACTCTAGAACGGTAAAAGTGACACCACCGAAATTCAAACTTGATCTGTTTTTTGTGGTAACAAGCATTGTGTATAAGATTCATAACATTTGGTTGAGGCAAACTTGAGTCAGAATGGCAACAAAAAAATTCAGCAATTTTTCCATTTGAAGAGGGGCAAAACTCATGAACGATAAAAGTGAAGGCAGAAGCCACCAAATTTCAAACTTGATCTGTGTTTTGTGGTAATTAGCATTATGTATAAGATTCATAACATTTGGTTGAGGAATACTTAGAGAATGGAAACGAAAAATAAAGGGGAACAACTCTAGAAATGTGAAAGTGACGCCACCCAAATTCAAACTTGATCTGTGTTTTGTGGTAATAAGCATTGTGTATAAGTTTCATAATATTTGGTTAAGGCAAACTTAAGCGTGAAAACGAAAACTAAAAATTAAGTAATTTTTCCATTTGTGAAAGGGCATACATTTTTTTGTAACTCTAGAACGGTCAAAGTGATGACACCAAAATTCAAACTGTGTTTTGTGGTAATAAGCATTGTGTATAAGTTTCATAACATTTGGTTGAGGAAAACTAAAGTTCGAGAATGGAAACCACAGATTTAGCAATATTTCCATTTATAAAGGGGCATAACTCAAGAACAGAGGCAGTGACACCACCTCATTTCGAACTTGATCTGTGTTTTGTGGTAATAAGCATTGTGTATAAGTTTCATGACATTTGGTTGAGGCAAACTAAAGTTAGAGAATGGAAACGAAAAATTCAGCAACTATTATGTTTATAAAGGGCCACAACTCATGAACGATAACAGTGACACCACCCAATTTGGATCTTAATCTGTGGTTTGTGGTAATAAGCATTGTGTATAAGTTTGGTTGAGCAAACAAAAATTAGAGAAAGGACACCAATTTTGTGGACAGGCGGACAGGACAGACAAGAGTAACACTTAATGCCCCCTCCGCCACGGCGGGGGCATAAAAATGGGGCGGGTTGGAGGATTTTATCTTAATTTTCTCTGAAACCCTTACCTAGTGATTTATTCATATACAAGGGTAAATTCATATACAAGGCCCGAGAACAGAGTTATTTTGTAGTGCATTTCTTTTAGACAATAAATTCAAATTCAAAAAATCGCACCTGCACTATCTCAAAAAGATTTTTACAGTGTAGTGTACTACTATTGATACAAATAATATCAAAATTATAGAAACTTCTACCAGCTCTAACTCAAAATATTGACAATTCTGTGTTAAGGGGGGCTAAAATTCAGTTTGACAGCCTCAGACATTCTAATTTTTGATCTTTTTTAACTGGACCAAATCACTACTTAACATAAAGATTCAGCACCCAAATTTTTTTAACATGTTATTTCATTCCCTTACTTAATATTTCATGCATAAAATATCAAGAAATAAATTGGGAAAGTGTATCAAAAAAAAAATGCAAGTTATACACTGTTCACACTAGGGACTATATTCGTAGACAACGAAAACCAAAGGACGATAACTGTGTCCTTGGACCACAAGGGTAATAATAAGCTTATATCATGCATACATAAAGAATTCTGCATACTTTTTCAAATTCTAAAAATATTTCTGATTGGCAACCACAGTTTTAATTGATTTAGAAACCTATTTTCAAATAGCAAATATGTGGAGAAAAGCTTGATCTCTTTTAGACTGCATTCATCAAATTTCTTTTGCTTTCTAAACTATGGTTTATAGTGTCCATAAAATGAAGAATATGCATTGGTGCAGGGGTTAAATTTAGCAGTGGTCCGAGGTCCGTGGCCTGCCATTTACGGGTTCAGACCTTCCCAGCAATTGAAACCAAACCAATTAAAATGGTACGAAGTGTTATTTAACACAACATATAGTGTTGGAAAAAGGGGAAGCCTTTTCTGACTGAATTTATTAAAGAAATTCAGAATAATGAGGTTAATGTAGTAAGAATATGATGGGTATTTTGTTATGCTAAGCATTTTCTGTTTTTACAAATTAAATTTTCAATATAAATTGGACCTTCTAAGAATAAAGGAGGACTAAGTATTGTTGGTCAAAGGTCCTGGACCTTCCATTGCTTAAAGTAAATTTGAAGCCCTGTGCAGAGTTGGCAGAACCCGGATTTTATGAGTATTGCCATGATCGATTTGTTTTGCTCTGTTGGGTATTAAAAAAAAATTGTCAATATATAAAAAAAAAAGTCTCACATTAAGCATGCTTTCAAATGTCGTACAGATCACCAGAAGAAACCGAAAAGTTGAACATGATGTGTAAAATGAAGATTCATTGCCAAGTGAACTTGGTCGAAAAATTGAAAATATTTCATTCAATCTGCTTGACATTTCGATTTGCAGTTACCTATTTCTTCTTTTTCACACTGCCGATTGGTCCAGACAAAGACCTCTATCTTGTTAGAGTTGACATAGCAGAATTGAATTTCGATTACTTATAAATTGAACATAAAAACTACTGACCAAAGTTTTCAAATGATCGCCGATTGATTATTTATTTCTTTTGACAGTAATGAGATAAAATTCTCCGCTGGGGCGCAGCTTGATACGACCGCAGAGGTCGAACCCTGAACAAATGGGGCAAGTATGGACACAACATTCAAGCTTGATACAGCACTGAATTTGGATTGTAATTAAATATTTGACACAGCATAGGTTTCTGACACAGAATGAAAGTGGTCTAAGAATTTAAAAAATTTTAATTTACCTTTTCAAACCATATCATTATTATTTGCTTTTATATATAAATCAGAAATAACCAATTTAAAATGGAAAATTTTAAAGAAGAAAAAGGAAATAAAAATTCCCCCCCCCTCCAATTTTTTGAACCCCCTTATGATTCATCACCCCCAAACTCAATCCCAGCCTTCCCTTTGTGGTATGTTACCTTGCAGTACCTATTTCAGAGAGATCCATACACTTGAACACAAGTTATTGTCTGGAAACTAGAAAAATGCTTGTTTTTTGGCCCCAAATTCCTAAACATTTAGGGCAATTACCCCCAAACTCAATCCCAGCTTTCCCTTTGTGATATGGAACCTTGAAGTACAATTTCATAAAGATCCATACACTTACACACAAGTTATTTTCCTGAAACTAGAAAAATGCTTGTTTTTTTTGCCCTTTTATGACCCCTAATTACTAAAATTTTGAGGGAATTACCCCCAAAATCAATCCCAGCCTTCCCTTTGAGGTATGGTACCTTGCAGTACAATTTCAGAGAGATCCATACACTTGAACACAACTTATTGTCTGGAAACTAGAAAAATGCTTATTTTTGGCCCCTTTTTCCTTAACTTTTTGGGCAATTACCCTGAAACTCAATTCCAGCTTTCCCTGTGTGATATGGAACCTTGTAGTACAATTTCATAAAGATCCATACACTTACACACAAGTTATTGTCATGAAACTAGAAAAATGCTTGTTTTTTGCCCCTAATTCCTAAAATTTGGAGGCAATTACCCCCAAAATCAATCCCAGCATTCCCTTTGTGATATGGAACCTTGTGATCAAGGATCCCGAAATTTTCCCACACAATTGCGGTCATTTTGAGATGATTGAAAAGTTGGTGCCCTTTCCAAATTGTCGATGTCAACTTGACTAGATTCATAGCATCAACAAACTTGTATTGCTGTTTCATCGCATTTACTAAGTAAATGTCTTACCATTACCATGAAGAACAGTTTAGGGAAGGCAATAGTTTAAAATTGAAATGATTTCAATGACTCAAAATGGTAAATCTCTCAGACATTGCTTACGTTTCTTTCGATTTTGACAAAAGTTAAAACCGGAAGTTTGCGATAAAGTTAAAGTACGAATAATTCCGGATTCATTTCCGGGATTTGTTTTGTTTATCAAATTGACAGGAAATCACCGGCTTTTTATGGCTTTTTTATTTTATTACCTTTAAAAGTGTTTGAATGTAACAGACAATAGTTGCACTCGTTTAATTTAGCATGAAATCAATTTGCATTTTACGATTAAACATTAAATTTGCTGAAGACAATTTCACGCATGCGTACTATATAGTAAATAAAGCACATGAAAAATACTTTTTTTCCCGTAAATTTAGGTTTAATTTTTAATTAAATAATGAATACACTTGTCAGGGAATTTCAATTTTTGTTAAGATATTATTCTGAGCTTGTGATCACTGTCAGGTGTGAATTAAAACCACAGGTAAAATGTGATTAGCGATCATTAGCCAATGTTTCCCAGAGGGAGGGCCCTCAGGATTATCAAACTACTGGAGTTGTAGTTTTATTACAGGAAAGGGATTATAAACAAAAACAAATATCACAACTTACACAAGACAGTGCAAAATGGTGTTTAAGAAATCCGATTTCAATCATTGAGTCAATGAAATGACCGAAATTACTTCTTTAAAAAAATAAAATTTGTCCTAAATCCCAATTACGCATTTATGACAAATAGTTTCATCTTAGGACATGACTGGCATATATGACCGTTTTCGGACCCTTGCTTGTGATACAATTTCAGAGAGATCCATAGACTTACACACAAGCTATTGTCATGAAACTAGAAAAATGCTTGTTTTTTGCCCCTTTTTGGCCCCTAATTCCTAAAATTGAGAGGCAATTACCCCAAGAATCCCAGCATTCCCTTTGTGATATGCAACCTTGTGGTACAATGTCAGAGAGATCCATACACTTACACACAAGTTATGTCTGGAAGTTACAAAAATGCTTATTTTTGGCCACTAATTCCTTAACTGTTGGTACCGTAACCCCCAAAATCAATCCCAACCTTCCTTTTGTGGTATTGAACCTTATGGTAAAATTTCATTGAGATCCATGCACTTAAACTAAAGTTAGAGTGTGAAAACTAATGTGTCTTTGGACAACAACGACGACGCCAACGTCATACCAATATACGACCACAAAAATTTTTTTTGCGGTCGTATAAAAACCAGAGAATTAGGAACCCGGGTCATTCCGGGTAAAAATATCCAAAAGTGGGAGATTCTATACTCCTGCGCAGGAGCTGACCGGCAAGCGGGAGATTTCCCTATTTTCGTCGTTTGTGCGGGAGACTCCCACTCAAAACAGGAAGGTTGGCAGGTATGTCTTATAGTTCCAAATGGTTTTCTTGCCATCTTTGTAAATTTATTGGAAACTTTTTCTCACTGTCAAACACCCTGGTAGTAGTAGTGTCAAATTCAATTCAGAAGTCATGAACCGTGATCGATGATCAGCAGCATCAACAAGAGGTTTCATACCCGTTTATGCAAAACATTGAGGACAGATTTGTGGGACAAGAGTTTAAAACTGAAATGGTTTTAATGACTTAATATTACAAAATCCACAGTGGCAGACCATGCAACATGCATTTTTCCATTCTGAATGTAAACTGGACGTATTAATACTTGATTGAAAACTACGATTCTCTTCGGAATTACGACACAAAATTTCTGCAGATTATCAAGTTGCAGTTAATATTCTAAAATTTACTTTTTTCTAAAACTACTTAAGTGATTCATTATGATAGATAATTGTTGTTATTTACCATGAAATTATGTTTTATTTTACAATTACGAGTATAACCTTATACTGGTTTAAAAAGGGGGATGCTGATTGCATAAATCAATAAAAGCATGTGTTTGGAATTGTTAAAACTTTTTTCTTTGTAATTGAATTCAAAATACATTTTTTTTATCTAAATTTTCATCAGCATTTGCTAAAATCTAATTAAATAATGCAATTAATTTTCTCTCTTGATCAAGTGTTCTGTCAAGTGTTTCAAACTACCTGTACAAATGATTAGTGACTGTTAGCCAGATATCCCCAAGCTCTTTAAAAAAGTAATCTGGAGGATCCTTTGGATTATAATACAATACATTGTAGGGGTTATCCAATTCCATGCAATTGATTATAGTTGGTTTCAAAAATGGCTGCTAGCGAAGTGAAAAAACAAATTTTGACTACACCTTTCAATCATAGTGCAGTTATTTATCAATGGCGGATTATAATTTAACGATGGTGGGGTCATTTGATGATGGTGGTAGATATTACTAGATAATTTGACGATGGCGGTCAGCCATCATAAAACAGACCATAGAGATACATGTACCTGGAGCACAATTATTTCTGGACTTATATGTTTCAAGGCATTAATTGTAACTGTTTAGAGGTCTTGAAATATGTCTGAAACATCAGGCAAATCTTGGTTTGGTCCTAAAGACTTTCGCATGATGTATGACAAAAGTTATCACATTTGATTGCACAAAATAAATAATATATTTACTCAGGAAGATTGTCTTTCACAACAGATTTCTTAGTGGCAATTTTACACACTGAAAATTTTAATGTGTTTTATTCGTATATTTCATAATCATAGAGGTTACTTGGAATTTTCGGGAACAAAACAACTTGTACCCATTTTTATACATCATTTAATCAGTTAAATCGTAAACTCAAGAGTAATTTTGTTTTTCATAACTGAACTTGCCCAAGTCAGTATGGAGAATGCAGCATAAATCTCTTTGATTTGTGAAGTAATGAATTCTTCAGTCTTCTCATTTGGTGATAAATGAGGACATATGAGAAATCTTCAGCTCTTGAATTTTGGATAATAGATTTTTTGACTGATTTTTTTGTTCGGTGTGTGTTGAAGAAAATATTATTTAGTTTATCTCCGAGGACTTCATCATTTTTAAGATGTTATCATAGATTACAATACATGTACATCGTATGTCATAAGCTACAAAAAACAAAAAAAATCAAAATGTTTATATTAACCTCTGTGTGTATGTGTGTGCGTTTTTTTTTTAATCAATCCCAATCAGTTTGTAAGTTTAAATTTCCCTTATGATCACTAATTGGTATATTATATTATCATATTTTCAAATCAACATATATCTATTTTTAATAAAAATTTAATATGAAAGAAAATAAATACTTCATTGCATATGATTAATATCTAAAAAATGGGTACAAGTTCACCAGGGTTATTTACATCAAAATGCAATTTCAGACCCATACTGGCCATGCATAGTCTCACAAAATCTACACTACCGAGTGTTGACATTGCTCTATGAAAATAAATCAATGTTATTTTACTATAATTTTCTTTTTATATAAATTGCTCCAAAATACACACAAAAAAATTCTCTTTCTTATGTTCTTATATAGAAATGTTTGTTATCCAGAAAGACCAAACTGGTAAAGATTGCCTAGTCAATCACTGAATCAGGTTCATGATAATGTATTTATGGATGCACCAAATCAGCTGATAAGAGCTCTCATCCTGGCATTATTTATATAAGTTCCTTTGTCTCAGTCCATTGCTTACTGAAGTTAATTATTTATTATTTGTAGAAATATATAATCAATTTGGAGTGATCCCCCTTTGTAATCATCTGGACAAGTACATGTGTGTTCACTTGGGAACCGAACAACTGTATACATCAAAATCTGATACATTCTGTGCTAAAGAAATTAGACCGTCTGTATTCTATATAAAATGCTTGTCAAGTAAAAATAAAGATACTAAATGGGTTCCAATCGTTATTGTTCATCTTCCTGTTTAGAACCCGCGCCAACCCATGAATGAATGTTGTTCGGATAATTTGTTTTCCCGGATCAAAATATTTATTTACAAATATTGAACATTAAATTCGTTGTTCGCTTGAAACGAAGTACCTGTTACTTACAATGTTTTAATGAAAATTTATTTTTTACGCATTTTAAAAGTGTAGCACTGGTATGTTCCCACCATTCACAATGGTATCGACTTGTGCTCCAATATGGCGACAACCAAGTCACGTGATGTATTGAGATCTGCCAACGTAAGCATGCGCAGTAAATAATTTATTCTTGAACCAATCAGCTATCTTATATTCTAAACGTCATTCATTATAAATCCATCGTGATATGACGTCAAATAAAGTCACGTGATGCCAAAATTAGGTCAAATGACGTCTAATAAAGTTGACGTTTTTACTGTTCTTGGACGTACCCTCATTCTAATGGGTTTTCAGTGTTCAGAAAACTATTTGAGAACAGAAAAACTACTCAGGCAATAAAATCGATGTTCGTATATTCTTAACGTCATTTTTAATTTTTTTTAGGATTGAACTCTATTAACTAGTTTATTGTAGACAAATTTCGTTATTTTCAGTATCATTACGCATTATTATGAGTTGGACCATGACTACTGAATTGCTAAGTTAGAAATTTACATGAGGTACTATACCTCAGAAGACATATTTTCGATAAGTAATAAATATGATTCTCGACACTATACCGAATTATGGGTTAAAAAAAGCATACTACTTACTTACTTATAGTTACTTATAGTTGATTTCCAGTACAGGATCCCTAAGGTTCCTCTTCACCAGACTCATAATTTAAATTTTTTCTATTACTATTTTGTGGTATTTTGTCCGTGACTTCCGGATATTTCTGCTCTATAGTCATTATAATAGAGCTCTTCGTCAGACCAATATTTCTCTAGGCGGTTTTTAAAGGCATTTATGGATGGCGCCTTAGTGATTTTATCTGGTGGTTCCAGGTTTTAGCAATTCTAAAAGAGAATGAGTGTTTTCGGATATTAAATTGGAATCTGATGTATGACTTTGTTGCTATTTGTCCTGCTACTGGTTCTATGTTGTGAATCATCTACCATTTTTAAAAATGAGCTTACTTCCTTGACACAGTCATTGATAGTTTTGAAGGTTTCAATCATATCTCCTCGTATTCTCAGTCCTATATGATAGTGTAGGTAAGCCTAGTTTTTTAAGTCTCTGGATAGCTCATGTCTTTGTGACCTGGTAGTTGTTTTGTTACCCTTCTTTGGACTTCGAATAATCATTCATTGTCAGGTCAACAATAATTAGACCAATGTTTAACCCACTGAGTATGGATAAATAAAAAAAAATGAATGTCTCCAAAATATACAATGTCATAAAGGAACACAGGAACAACAAAGTTGATTTTATACCGGGAAGGTGCTGTCTTTTATCTTACATTGCGAGATAGTGGGTTATAATTTTGATAATTTAATTTGAATTTGAACTTAGATGGTTATATATCTACATCAATTATCTTATTAACTAAGACTGCCGCTAACACAGTCCTGGTTCTTTAATTATTACCACAAATCCTGTGAGGGTTATAATGACATACAAGATGATATGCTTGATATCACCAAGGCAAATAAATGTGATAACAAGCGGCACTTGTCGATAGGGGTTTTATTCATAAATTGCATTTCATTAATTTGGGACCGGGTGGAACTTTAGTTGGTTTCCTACCCTTGTGTCCATTTTGCTATCAGAATGATATGATAGTTGGATAGATTATTTGACTAAATAGTTTTATACAACATTCTAACAATTATATATGTGAATATATGTAAGAGGTAATATGATTTCTATATAACCAGAAATAATTTTTGCAGATGGGGTTTTTCGTCTGGCAGTAACTTGTATCGATATAACAACCTTATTAAATCGTGGAGATTTACAGCTTTTCATATATTTAACCTTCGTGTGTAAAACTACGTACTTTTGTCATTTTGATTAAAAAAAAATAGGTTAATTAATCACAAGACATACTAACCATGTTAATGCCACGGTTTCTACATATTCACACTTGTCAAGACTCGGGACGATTTAGAGCCTGATATTTTTTTTTGAGATGTCACGGTATTCGGTGTCGTTTTTTGTTGTAGTGATTACGGTTTACTGTCTCATTCGTACTGGCAAGTGTAACACGTTTCTTCAGTTTTCTGTAGACTATCCATAATAAATATCTAGATGTTATTTGTTTCTAATTATGCAAGTCGTAATTAAATAATAAAATTTGACTATTGATGATATATAGGAGAAAAAGGCAACAGCGAATATACGTGGGTTATTTTCTAATGCCAGTGTACACATTAGTTTTCTTTTTAAAAGGTTTTATAAAGTCTAGTTTTTTTCTTTTTGGGCTGCTTATTTGTTATCTATATCAACCACACTTGCAATAAAATGCATTAGTATTAAAAAAAACAACATACTATAGATTCTTTATCTACGTATTCTTTAAGAACTTAAATAGTTCTCGTTTAACTTTTTTTTTTTTTATCTCATTGTTTGTATTGTATTATGAAAAAATTATTGATGTTGTAATGTTTATGCCCTTTGGGGCCCATAATTGGAAATAAAATATCTTATCTTATCTTATCTTATCTTATCTTAAAGTCTAGTGACTTTTAGACGTCAAAAGGTTAACCCTATACTTAATGCCCGATGATGGAACAAAAAAGGGCAAAAATCTCAAGATGTACGCTAAATTTAGTACTATATAATTTAAAATATCGTTTTACCGGTGAATAAATAATCAATAACTCTGCCCGAAATAGCCTGTAGTCAATTTTACAGTAATGTATACATAAATGCAGCCCGGCATACTGGATAAGTTGACATTGTACAGCTATCCTTTGTAATGAAATAATAATAAATAACAGATACAAACAAGCATGCAATAAGTTAAACAAATAATAATAAACACACATATATGAATTAATTATATTATAAGTACTTTAATTTTGCATGATAATATCCTAGCTAGCTGTATATAATAGTCTTATGTACTAATAAGAAGAATTGATAATATAATCAGTGTATGCCGATAAGCTGTGTATTAAAGAAAAAGCAAATAAATTCTTGAAATCGTATCCTTGGTGCAACTAATATAAAATAAGGAGATGTGGTATTATTTGCAATGTGACAACTATCCACCAGAGAGAGAAAGCGAGACCAAATGACGTAGATGTTAGCATGGTTAGAAAGCTTGTAAAACATAGCATAAAACATTAATGATGATAGTGTGGGATGTGGTTTAAAGAATAGAGAATAATGGACAAACAGTGCAGAATAAAGGGCAGAAAATATAAAGAATAGAGAAAAATAGGCAAAAAAAAAAGAATAGAGAATAATGGGGTGCTAAAATATAAAGAATAGAGAATGATGGACAAAATTTATAAAGGATACAGAATAATGGACGAAATTTATAAAGAATACAGAAAAATGGCTTAAAAAATTAAAGAATACAGAATTGAAGGACCCCCCCGGCCCCCCCCCAAAAAAAAATCGAGACCCTCATGATATGATCTGAATTGATTAAATTTAGAATTTCTACAAAAACACATTAATTAATAACAGACTCTGCATTTACACTGTCATTTCCCTTCCATTACAAGTAGTCTCAGCTTTAATATTTAAAACTGACTGAAATTAGCCATTTTTCTAAACTGAATCACCATGACAGATAGATCATTCCATAAATCAGCAGCTTTATATATTTTAAGGAGTTTTTAAAACAAGTTGCTGTTTGAACCCTAGGTTTATCTATGTAAGAAACATCTAAAATGATATGTACAATATTTGAATACAACTAAGTCATTGTGTCAGCTGTGCTCCAAATAAAATGGAGGAAGATCCCCTGTACACACATCAGCATATGTAACATTACCCTTCCCCTCCATTACAGTCCCTAAAGAAAACAAACACTTCAACAACGATGTCAAAGAAAAATGCAATTTCCTTTGTGAGAAATGAACCAGCTTTTATACAAAAATTTAAGGAGAAAGTAGGATATAAAGAAGACGTAGACGTCAATGCAAAGGTTAAGGAAGGACCATTAGTCGTTTACAATACAATGCATTTTGTATATGTAAAGGCAGTGAAACAAGACTCAAGAGGGGGTCAGTGTCGAGTTATTAGAGAAGGGTAGCAGTGTTACGTCATGAAATAAAAGTTATTTCATAATATAAGTCCTAAGTGAAAGAAATATTCTGTAATATTATTTCCACTGGAATAAATATAACAGTATATGTTCCTAACGGACTAAATGGTATATAATGTTTGTTCCAACTCGAAAAGATATTATGGCATTGTTTATAGCGAAGGTTCCAGGGGAACTTTCTGATAGCCGAACAAATATGCGTGTTACACTGCCAGCTCATAATCACTTTGTAAGATACATTAAATGATATATTATTGGAGGGTAGGAATGCCCTTTACTGTCAGGTGTCAAACTGTCATTTTGGGCTACCGTTAGTGTCAAATTGGTTTAAATTTTACCATGATTCGTCAAAATATCCTTATCATAATTCGTCAGAGGTCTCAAATAGTTATCGTTACCGTTATTTTTTGAAAAAATTTAACGTGATTCGTCAAAATCAGTCGTTTTTTTATCGTCTTAAAGAAATTGTACATTTTATCGTCATGCACCAAAAATTACCATTAATGTCATTTGGCAAGATTTTTTACCGTGATTCGTCATGAAGGTACCCCCGTTACGACGTTCTTATTGGAGTAATATTGAATAAATTAATATTCATCAAATATATAAAGGGATATTACATTTGAATACTTTTAAAGTTAAATTAATAAAGTTATTTTGTGTTTTAGTATGTTTGAATCAAAATTAAACATAAAATAAACATTTAATTAAGAAAATACTAATTTGAAACTACTAAAGGGAAACTATCCAAATCACATCAGTTAGAGATAGTCAGTACTTGGACATTATTCCTAGAAAAACATCATTTTACTGATTTTTGACATGTAGGAAAAAGGGAAAATGTTATTGCAATATTGTGATACTATATAAAATACAAAGCAAATTTTTAAATAAAATTTATTTTAGCAGTTTACAACTTAAGAACTACAACTATAAAAACAAGAAGATGTGGTATGATTGCCAATGAGACAACTATCCACAAGAGACCAAATGATGCAAAAATTAATAGCATGACTAGAGTAGTGGATACAGTTAGTAGGATTTTATTTTTTTAAGATCTAAAATTTCAGAACATAGCTCACTGTAATACTTATATTACCCCAATGAAACATTGACTGAGGCATTTGTTTTAACTTTATCCTATTCAGTTTGCCAAATTTACATCAACTGAATTTTGATTTCAGCAATAGTAAAGCTCTCAGAAAACTGCATACAAGAAAAGCATTTGATGTACATACAATTGTTGGTGTGGTTTCATTGGTACCCTTATTTCCCCAAAACTCCCCAAAACTCGAAATCCTGAGTTAAATTGTACTTTAATTGAGTATATAAAAATGACATATATTTCAAAGTTACATTACTAGTCTTTATTATCAATAAAAGCAGTATTACACCATATAAAAATAAGGGTTTTTGGATAATACATTTGTACATGTATCTATCAGTTCTAGGGTTCATATTCAGTTTTTGTTTTTTATCAGGAAATCGGTGTATCAGTGGTTTCATGTCCTTTTTTATGTAGACAGTATTGCATGCATTTAGAGATTTAATAGAATGAATTTGACAAGCTGATCCATAGATATTTTCTCTATTGTATTTGATATTTAAGAAAACAGAAAATTTTTGTGACATTTATATCATTCAAAACTTTCATACTGCAGTTGAAGATAGGTTTTTAATTTAAGACATAATTTTGCTTTTATTTCACTCTTTTTTGAATAATTCTTTATTCCTAGTAAACTCCTTCTTCTGTGTATAAGCCTCCTGTAAGTAGGAACACCACCATATTGAGAATATATCCTTAGTACATCATCATGAGTACATGTACTTAATTTAATTCAATATTATGTACAGCACATATATATAAAAGAAAAAACTTTTTATATTTTTACATGGCATATACATTGTATACAGGGACTTGTTTTATTTCAAAAAATTATCACATATATATAATTCAGCAACGGATATTAAAATCAATTAATATTGTTTTAAATCTGAATAAAAGTAAACCAAATGTTGTTAAAAGATAAAATAAGGTAAAATATGATAAAGTATGATAAGATATGAGGTTTTCATCCGCTATAACGAAAATAACATTATTTAAATAAACATGATAAACATTATTTACTAATATTAATTTTATTTTCAACTTTGGTTAATCTTGAAAACTAATAGTCAAAATTTTAGTGTGAATCATAAAATTTGTTTTCTATCCAGAATTCGTAAAAGTTTAATTCATAGTTAGGATAACCAGATTAACATTTTTAATGCCAAATCTCTTGGTAAGTTTTCCCTGTATGAAATTTGGGAGTACCTCCACCTTTCATATATGTGTATGCATGTAATGATGCTGCCATTTCTCGGATACTACTTAATCATACCTGTTAACTTTTCAAAATCTCCATGGGTGATTTTAAGTGCAAGAGGACCTAATGCTCCTTTTATATTGTCATAAGAGTTTTTACAGCTGTTATCCTAATGCTAGCAAGTTAAAGGTTTGCTTTGCTTGCTTGCTTTGTTTGTATAAAAGTTTGCTCAAGCATTGTAATTAAGATTGACATCTGAAAACAATATAAGTAGGCGGAGTTAAATCTGTATATAGGTAAAGGAGTAGGGGCATTAAGGCCTGGTTTTGGCCCAAGAAAATAAAATGTTTGACAACTATTTCAAATTGGCACATAATGTTTGGAAATGCATAGAGTGAATAAATATAAATGAAAAACATAAGATTATTTATATGATGACATCATAATTATGTCATAATATGTACCGTTTTCATGAAAAAGATGAAAAATGCAGAATTTGTGCAATTTTCCATCGTTATTTCCATTACGGAAACATCGTGCGCAGCCAAGAAACAACAAAATAATTTAAGAGAAGCTTTATTATAACTATTGAAATAATCTCACCAAATATAAAGTTGTTTCTTGGGTGCGCACATACTTTGCCAATCTTAAATATACTTAGAAATTAATGAAAAACAAGGAAATTCAAGAAATTTTATAAAATATACAAATTTCGTCATGGTTTGTTGCCATGGTAGCTTGTTTAATGTGAAATTTGTTTTTATTTTCTGAAAACCTTGTACCTTAGTCTAGTTAGGACAAATTTAAGAATATGAATGATAACTTAAATTTGCAGTAATATTTGGGCCAAATAAGGGGCTTATTGCCCTGCTCCTTTGATTATTTGATAATGTCCAATCAAATTTAAATATAATGTATACAAGTTAAACTCTGCCTTTTTATGTTATTTTCATATGTCAATCTTAATTACAAAGCTTGAGTAAACATTAATACAAATAAAGCAAGCAAGCAAACCAAACCTTTACTTGCTAGCATAAGGATAACAGCTGTAATTTACTACTATATATTGTTTTCGGGAATGAGTGTGTATGTGCTAAAATGCCATTTTAACTCATTTGAATGTCTGTTTTGAGGTGTACAGTTAATATAATAAAGAATTTCAATTCAGGTCAACACCTCTAATGGGGGATATCCCCCATAAATCGGGATAGTTGGTAGGTCTGCTTAATGATACAAATCTTATATCACTTAAGAATATAAACAGGAAGTAATAAAATTTTGATTTATATATGTCTTTCAGAGAGCAAAAATGCCAGATTTTGATGAAGATGATGACTCACCAGAGAAAGATGATGAGAAACCGATGGTTGTTGTTCTGAAGAAGGGAGATCTAACTGCTGATGAAGCAAACAATGAACAGAAAGCACTAGATAGCAAAGCTGATGGTAAATTACCTTGTAAATAAAAATAAATAAATCATGTGATACATTATGTTAGGATTGATTGTTTGATTGGAGATTGCTTACTGTAAATTCAGAAATTATTGCGTGCATTAATAATTGCTATTTTGTCATTTTAGACCAAAATGCGAATATTGTTTTTGCTATACTGAGAAAAATCCAGCTTCATTCATATAAAAAATCCTAAATTAAATTGCGATTACAACCCTGTTGCATTTTTCGCAATAATAAAAACATTGCAATGATTTCCAAATTTACAGTATCAAAGTGTCAGTCTTAAAATGCTATATTGTGACAAGCATTCTGTTAGGATTGTATTTTGATAAAAGATTAAACATTATGATCGATCCTTTAATTTAAAGTTGTTTTTAACAGTAATTTTTAATTGGAGTGTCATGGGTGTTTTGATATAAATGTTATCATTGGTTATAGACTAAAAAACCTAAAGAATCATTGAAGAACATAGATACCATTTAGATACACATTAGCCTGTCCATATTGTTCAATTTTAAAATTTCAAGATCTTATGAATAGCAACAAACAGTCTGAACTGAACAAACTCTGCAAATTTATACGAATAATTATTAAATACCTAGAATCTCCTGGGTAACCACTTTATGTCTCTACTTTACATTTGTACTTAAATTTTATATTATGTATGTTAATTTATTTGTATATGTCTTTATACCATTGTACTTTGGTTTATGAGAATAAAGATATATATATATGCAATTGAGTCCTGAATTGACATCCGACAGTCCGGCAAATCAGTTTTCCACACTTTTTTTCATCATGCTTGAAGATATTGATTTGGTAATTGGTATATAGTTTTATCATGACAAGTTACAGATCAAGTTAGAATTTAGTTCCGGTCTGATGATTTTGTGCAGAGTTATGGTCCTTGGACTTAGAAAATTCACTTAAATAATCAGTTTTCCACACCTTTTTTTTTTCGTCATGCTTGAAGATATTGACTTGATATTTGTTATATAATTTACACCATGACAAGTTATAGATCAAGTTAGCATTTTGTTCTATTACAATGAATTTTTAACCCGTAGGGACTATGTAATACTCTCAGAATGCTTGTTATTATTTTTTTACTGTTACAGTATATTGCGAAGATGAAATTGTCTAGATTATGCATTCAGATATTATTTTTTGTATTTATTTTAACAAATACACTGGAAAATAATTCAGGTTTAATATTTGAAAAATAATAAAAATGGAACAAATCATTATTGTCTGTAATATTTCTATAAGCACATCTGTATGCCCTTATGACAGGCATTCACTAAATTTCTAGGTCATAAAGTGTTACTTATACATTGCCATAATTCCGTCCTGAAATCAAACAAAAAAAAGCAGGACTTTTTTTTTATTATACCTTTTGATATGAAGCTGCATTTTGCTGCATGGATGTAAAATTATTACTTACAGGGCAAGTTTGTGTTTCATTCCAGTTGACAAACTTTTGGAGAAATAAATAATTATCATAACAGCTGACTTTTTGTAATAAATCTGCAGTAGGGGACATTCATGTTGTACCAACACATTTATTTTATTAATTTTTCCCCATAGAAACATTGCAACAAGATCACCTACTTTTATTGTCTTTTTCAGATGAAGCAATTGCAGATGGTAAAATAACTTTTAAAAAGCCAGAGAAAAGATCAAGTGAATCAACATCAGATCTTAATACCAGTTCAGCCAAAAAGAAGAAAGACTCAATCAAATCTTTAAAATCAAACTCTAAAAAAGTTAATGACAAAAAACTATTGTCGTTTGGTGATGAAGAAGAGGAAGATGACACTTAATATAAATCGTTATTTATGTATAACTGATGTGAAATGTTAATATGTAAGATGAAATGCACTTTTTGGAAATTTATATGCTGGTGTCAAGTATTTTTATCAAGTGTTAATTGTGAGCTTATTTTTTAAGAGGAGAGATGGGAAATCTGTTAAATGTAGCGAAATTTTGAAATTTGACATTATGATTGCATGCATCAAGATAAATTGTTAAGTGGTGTCTATAAGCTTAAAGTATGGAAGAGAAATGAGAAAATAATAAATAATATGTATTCTACAATCAGCCAACTATTGTACAAATAACAGGAACACAAATAATTTTTTTGTTTATTTGTAGTTATACAAATAAAGTCTCCTGTTACTACACTCCCATGTTGAGCAAATGGTAATGTGAATATTTCATTTTGCATAACAGTTCATTTTGGGGTCCTCTTTGCAGTCTACTTTTAAAATATGAAAATTTCTTTGAAAAATCAGAGACTTTTTGGATTTAAACAAACCTGAACCTTAAAGAGTCAGGTGTGAATTATAGGATAAAAACAATCGATTTACATTGTTGGATACATAAAATTTATTTGTACTCACTACAAAAAAAGCTTGGCGATCATTACTTACGTCCTGTTTCTAAAGCTATTACAAATGAATTTTATATTTTAGGACAATGTACAAATATCGTATATATATATATATATAGTAACGGTGAGGTGAAGTAGCACTTCTTGTGAATTATTATCTGTAAGTTAAATAAAAAACTGTCAGTCCTTGATATCCTTGTTAGATCTCTTTAATTGATTTTGAAATTTTCAATAATTATTGTGAAAATTTTGTTGTAAAAATATTACGACTTACCAACTTTTATATTTTGTAATGTTAATCATGTTAATGAAATTTTTTAAACATTTGTTTTGTTTTAGATTCATCAAAAGATATAACATAGATCAACTATATTTGGTGAATGAAATGATTGTAAGGTGTGCATGTCCACATTGCAGGTTTCATCTGACCGTGATCTTTTTTTATGGTTCATTGGACAATGTTCAGTTTTTTGTGGATTGGTCTAGTTCTCAGATACTATAAGCTATAGGGCACTATATTTGATGTATGGAATGATTGTAAGGTCTACATGCTTGTTTGGCAGTTTCATATGACCTTGACCTCATTTTTATGGTTCATTGGTCAATGTTTAGTTACCATGTTTTTTTTACTTAATCAGATACCATCAGCAATAGATCAAATTGAGAATTGAAATGGGGAATGTGTCAAAGAGACAGCAAACAGTCGAAGGCCACCAATGGGTCTTCAACACAGCTGGAAAAACCAGCACCCGGAAGCGGGCTTCAGCTGGCCCCTAAACAAAAATGTGTACTAGTTCAATGAAAATGGACGTCACTCTAAACTCCAAAACATATAAATGAACTAAAATTTAAAAAACATACAAGACTAATAAAGGCCAGAGGCTCCTGACTTGGGACAGGTGCATAAATGCGGCGGGGTTAAACATGTTTTGTGAGATCTCAACCCTCCCCCTATACCTCTAGCCAAGGTAGAATAAACACAGCAATACGCTGAGTAAAACTCAGTGAATCAATATTAATACCAAAATATTCCATCTTTAATGATCTGACAAGTTTCGTAAATATATCCCTTCTTCATACCAAGGCCGTAACTAGGCATATTATTTTAGTGAGGCATAACTGATCGCCGAGCGTAGCAAGTTGAATAGAGAGAGCCGAATGAATCGAGGCGAAAAATTTTGGTAGGGTGTCTGGGATAAATGGCGTGTTTAACGAATCAAGTCAATTGTCATCACTCAAGTCTCCGCCCTTTTTTTATCAGTACTTATAGAAAAGGAATGTATAATATGATCATTTGAAAACGGAATAAGCCTTTTTCAATGATCAAGTCCGAGTTTATTGAAAAAAACATTTTTGATTTTTACTATTATTACATTTTATATATTCATATGTTTTTGCCTGATATTTTAGTGGATTTTATCTCACTGGCATCGGGGAATTTTAAAACAAGCGGAATGGAAACGCGGCACACATCAAAAATGATTTTCTTATATCATCACTGTCTCAGGTGATGTGTTAATTATATACACTGCAGAGCCTTCTCGCTAACCAATGTACCCTACTACTACTATCCTCTCCATTTTCTCCTGTAAAATAATCATGATATTTTACACTCAAACCAACTGGTAAGTTTTGTTTAAATCTCACATTGAATTGCTATGAAAAAAGGTTTTGAAACTAATACTGCCCATGTAAAAATTTTGGTAGGGGGTCTGGGATAAATGGTGTAAAATCCTGCATTCTGGGCATTTCCAGAGAGCTTGACATCGTTGCATAGATTGAAGATAGGGAGTCTGGGATAAATGGTGTAAAATCCTGCATTCTGGGCATTTCCAGAGAGCTTGACATCGTTGCATAGATTGAAGATGTTCGGTTTGATTTCAAACAGTTTCATTGCGGCCGGAGCTAAATATCAATTTTCAGCTTTAAGCCTTTGAACACGGTATATTGGGATCTACTTTGCCATTTCACCTTCATGAATATCGGATAATCATAACTTTGTCATTTGAATTCACTGAGATATGGGGCACCCCCTATGTCATTTTATGTTATTTTAGGAATATTATTTTGATTTTTTCTTTTTGCCACATGCTACCTTTTAATGTTATGGATACGGGAAATTAGATATAACTATATCGTTTTATGTTATTCTAGGAATATTGATTTTTTAGTTTTTTCTATGGTTACGGGGAAATTGGACTAGAGTTTTTGCTGTTTACATGTAGGTTCATGATTTCAGATTATTTCTGGAAATAGTCAGTGGTAAGATATTTTAGATCGACAATCGAATAATGAGGTGGTCTGATCCCGAAATCCCGAATTGAAAGACACATCCCTCAGTAATCTAAAAATTGGATTACAGGATGTTCTTTCAAATTTTAAGAAAGAATAAAGTTGGGGAAAACAGGGTAATGAATACTCAGACAGGACTGCTCCCGTGCGGTGCTCCAGTACTTGATTTGTCAGTCTATTTATAGTTTTTGGATTAGTTCTAATGAAAATATATTCAATACTGGAACTCTTAATTAACACCTTTTGTGATCACAAATGAAATCCATTAGTTTACTAAAATTATTCCTTCCTCACCTTCAGTATCGCTTTTCACCCCCAGTTTTTGGTGGGGTTCGTGTTGCCCAGTCTTTAGTTTTATATTTTGTGTTTTGTGTACTATTGGTTTGTCTGTTGGTCTTTTTCTTTTTTAGCCATGGCGTTTATTTTCGACTTATGAGCTTGAATGTTCCTCTGGTATCTTTTGCCTCTCTTTTTCCTTTTTCTGCAAGAGCCTGTTTTTAACCAGAGATCAATGATGATTACCGGTTATTAGGTTAATCTGGGAATAATAGTATATCTAACAATATATCAATATATATGTTCCTGGGTTAATGTAATCGAGAAACATCAAGCGGTGACTGAGATGCTGAGTTATATCCAGGAAGAATGATTTAAAAGGAACGATGTCAAGTTATAGAAATTAAGGTTGAGACAGAAAATAAAACAAATGACTATATTTCGTATTTAATTACCATAAACAAAAACAAAAAAATTCACAGAAATTTTAGTGAGGCAATTGCCTCACTTGCCTCAATGGTAGTTACGGCATTGTATACTCTATTTCGGGTATGGAATGAATGCAAGATATACATTATTTGACCTTGACCTCATTTTCATGGTACATTGGTTGATGTTGATAGAAATGATAGAAAATGTCATCTTTGAAATCTTGGTAGCATTAGAGATGAATTTCATTATCTACCATAATGTCCATTTTTTAACGACAGTAGAAAATTATACCTTGAAAAATTCTATTTGACTCATGTAAATACATTAAAGTTTAGAAAATTGATGCGCAAATTAAACAAAAAGTCAGAGCTAAAAAGATTATGCAAGTTCATAAAGTGTGTAAACAAACATGTGGGTCCTTCCGGGCTAAAATATATTTTTAAAAACCACTGTATTGTATATAAATGTTTGTAAATAGATGCATATTTCTGTACATATTTTGCATTCTCTATGTACCTACCTGTATGTATATTCAATGGTTATGAGAATACAGATATTGTATTGTATTGTCAATGTTCAAGTTTTTGTATTTTGATCAGCTTCTCGTGTAATGTAAGCAATAGGGCCACTATATTTGGTAAATGGAAGGATTGTAAGGTGTACATGACTGTCTGTTATAATTTATATGACCTTGACCTCATGTTCATGGCTCATTTTCAATGTTAAGACTTTTTTCTCAGATACTAAAAGCAATAGGTCAGCTATATTTGGTGTAATGGATTATTGTGTGGTGTAAATGTTGTCTGGCAGGGTTCATCTGACTTTGACCTCATTTTTAAGGTTAATTGGTCAATGTTAAATTTTATGAATTTAGAGTTGTTTCTCGGATATTATCAGCAATAGGCTAACTATACTTGGTGTATGGTATGATTGTATGGTGCACTTGTCTGGATGGATAGGTTCATCTGACTTTGACACCATCTACATGGATCTTGGATTAGTGTATGTGATACTTTTAGTAAAACCTTATTACAGACTTTCAACTAAGGGAGCTACCATTTGATTTTTATATTTTTGTATAAATGTCCTGCATTTTTTTTAAGTTGTAATCTCTGTCCTGCCTTTTTATTTTTCACTTTATTCGTTCCTGCCTTTTTTTTTCATTATTTTATCCTGATTATTTTTACATAAATTGTCATCCTGCTTTTTTGTTTGCCAAATTGCTCATCCTGCCTTTTTTTTTACTCAAAACTTCTGTCCTGCCTTTTTTTCAAATTTCATCCCAGCCCCCAACCCCTATAAAAATCAAATGGTACCTCCCTTAAATTTAATCATGATAAGCAAAGGTAAAGCAACCGAGACATTTCAGTGTGTGCATTTTTTTACTAAACAAGAAAACCTTTTTTTAGTAAGATTTGTAAAATGATTGAATTTCAGTGTGCATATATATAACACTGTCACACATGAGATTTGCTTACAAAAGGAACTTTCATGTTTGGCTGCTTGACTACTAGGTATTTCAAGTGAATATCCTATACAGGGACTAAGAAATTACTTTAAAATCATTTCTATAATCTTTGAAAAGTTTATTTGCTATGAAATCGATAAAGTAAAATAATCAGCATCATATTTCTTTGACCTTTTTTAAATATAAAATTAAGGAACTGTTGTATCTACCAGAGAACAAAGGAATAGGATGTAAACCATTGCAGACCATTGTAGCTTTTAACACTATGCAAAACCCTTACCATTTAACAGATAGTCAGCTATAAAAGGCCCAACCATGACAAAATATGAAACAATTCAAAAGAAGAAAACCATTTTCGCACCTCAGTTAAATTAGTGACGTTATGATCGGTTTTACATCGTCATGTGGTGACCTGCTATGGATCCATATGGGGTTCATGACATCACCTCTACTATTAATGGTGATGTCATCTAATAATGTTATTGTATTTCATTGTTTATTTTTTATACAAAACTTGGCAGTAAAAGTCCTGTGTGCAATAAATTTGGTCTGGCCCCGCTATGGATTTTACTACCCCTCTATGGATTTTACAACCCCTATATGGATTTTACTACACCCTCTATGGATTTTACTACTCCTCTGGATTTTTCTACCCCTCTGGATTTTACTACCCCTCTATGGATTTTACTAACCCTCTGGATTTTACTATACCCCTCTATGGGTTTTACTATCCCTCTATGGACAACTATCAAGACAAATTATGGATTATATCAATTACCCTGTATCCATCAATTTAAGCATGTCCCAATATGGCATAACTAAGTATAAAAATAATAGAGATATATGATTGCCAATGAGACAATTATCCAGCAGAGTGATTCCAAATGACATGTTTGCTTTCTAATTGACACATACCACATGGAAACTTCAGACCAAATGCCATCTACATAATAAACTGTTGACACAGAGATATGTCTGGCCTGTCGGCATAAAATTCAGAAAAAGACAATCTGATGGACAGCAACACGATTTATTAATTCAGTCGCCGGACCATTATCTAGTAGGCAGGGCCTGAAAATAATTGTCAAACTGATTTGTACTGATAGTAATGCAACTCTATACAAAATATCATTGATCTATCACAAGTAGTTCTTATCAAACTGACTTAAGCAGAAAACTTAACACTGAAAATTGCTAACTAAATCAAAGTCACTGGCTCATGGCCTTGGGGGCAGGGCCTCAAAATAGTCGTCAAACTGATATGTACTGATCGTAATGCAACTTTATATTAAATATCAATGATCTATCACAAGTAGTTCCTATCAAACTAACTTAAGCAGAAAACTTAACAATTTTTGGAAAGGAGATAAATAAAGAAATAGTCATTATATTTCTATGATTTATTGACCATGAAATATACATATATTATAAATCTTCATTTCAATAAATAAATCAAATATCTTTTCAATGCTTTAAATATAGACAGTATCACATAAACTCAATATTAAAACAAGAACGAGAAAAAGAGCATGTGATATAATTCACTAAATAAATAAAATGCAATTACATCATTTTTTAAGGACGGAATTTTTAAGTAAAATTAATCATAAATGTAAGAACTACAATGTAAAAATAGACGGAATGTTAGAGATTTAACCTGTGGTAGTAACTCTCAGTATAAATAAGATCAATAAGTAGTAACAATCAGTATAAAAACATAAAAATCTAATTTTCAAAAAATATCACAGTTTTTGGAAAATTGTTTAGCTGAAATTATTGTTAGCACTTTATGGTGTTACACCTTTTAGGTAAAACACCCACTGGGCATTAGAAGTGCCTCCAGCTGACTTAAGACAGGTGACAATTAGTTTTCCCATAACCTGAGCCTTTGATCCACTATCATTGCCATGGAAACCTACTCCAATTCTTTGATCTCTTGGTCCACGAACAGTGTCACTTTGTTTTGTTACGTAAAACAGTTCATTATCAACTTGGTAAGTGAAAGAGGTTTGTCCATGGAAAACATTTCTAAATGGAATATTGGTAGTCTGCCCAGATTTTATAATAAAAGGTCCTTGTGGTTTAGCAGCTACACATGTTCCATACAGTGGGAAGATATATTCTCCACTTGTAGGGGAACTGATTGTCAGTATTCCTTTATGTTCTCCTAACTGAGAAGGTTCAAAGGTTACATCCACAGAAACGTCTGTTCCACCTACAGAACCAGGAACAGCAGCAACAGTTTTATCCACATGGAAGTTGTGATGATTATCCACCTGAAATAAAGAAGAAAGAATAAGGCTTAAAATTATTACTTGAATGCTTGAATTTGTACACTTATCAATTGTTTTAGTTTCAAAGATACAGTTTTTTTTTTTATCTCTTTCTCTTTTTTTTTCTTTTTTATTTTGACAAGACATGTATTGATTTAATGATCACATTTATTACTTAAAAATCTATTTTTTAGTTTTAAATGGAAATGTGTCTGTAAATCTCTATAGTAAAATTAATGAATTTCTTAAAGTTGTTAAAACATACTTTTGTTTTTTTTTCAAAAAAAGGCGATTAATATAAACCTTAGTCCATTGTTAGAAAAAATTGAAATAAAATTTTCTTTTTATACATGATCAATTTCCACTATTGACATAATTTTCTTTGATGTGCTATGAGTTTCTACTGTATACATACCTTACAGCTGTAATCTGGTTTTGTTTGTTTTGAGAAGTTAAGGAACTTAGCCATGGAAACCTGGTTATTTCCCAGGCAGCAGTGGAAGTACAAGGCTTTCTCTGGACCAGCTGGTGTGGCCTTAAGATTAACCTCATAGGTGTAAGTTCCAAGGTCATTGCTGGTAAACTCTATTTTACCAGAGGTTTCTCCAACCTTTAAGGGGAGATAACTAAAAGTGCAGACATGCTGAAAAAAAAGATGTTAAACATTTTTTATCATTAAGATTTTCTTCAGTTTGGTTATAATATCTATAGAACACTTTTCCAGCAGATATAACAAACATAAACTCTTGGTCTGGAATTAAAAAACGTTTTTATGTTTCAACAGTACTAAAAAATTGTAAAAACACAAAAATGAGGAGATAAAATTGTACGTTTAAATTATTTTTCTCATAGATGACTAAAGTATTTGTTGACTTATTAAAAATTAGAAAAAAACTTTGACAATACTAGTCTAAACACATGAATTAAATCATTTTCATTTGAAACTAATCAACTAACCTTGGATCCTTTTTGTACAACAAACTGACTTGGTATCTGTATTTCTGATGGACATGTGACACTGAAGGTAACTGGGGTATCCAGTGGGTTTTCCAGGGTAATTTTATGTTCCAATGTCTTCCTGACAGGTGTACTAAGATCTATAGTCCCCATGATGTTTGGTTTGATTGCTTTGAAGGACACGTCGTAGACAACATACTCTCCAGACTTCTCGTTAGTAAATGTGATCTACAGACATATGAAATATACTTGATTCATATTCAAGTTTTTAACATTTTATCTTATAAATAAATGTAGATTTTATCGTTTATTTGTATTCATTCATTCATGATTATTTTACAGTAAGGTATTTTACAGTATGCTTATTATATACATGTATTGTCTGAATGAACAATTTGATCAGATTTATTTTTTTATAATTTAGGACAAAGTAAAATTTGTTCATGTGTATCAATTTAAACTGGATGTATCAAATATCTCAATTTTTATCAAACATAACTTGGTAAATTAGAAGATAAAAAAATGTTAGATTAGACTGTTTTTCTCAAATTTGGCTTTAGTATTTTGTTATTAAGTTTGGTTACTGGATCAGAATGGTCATTACTGTTGAAATCAGGACACTTCAGTATAATGCAGTTGTTATTCAGGCTTCCCAGGAGATATGGGTTCATATTCTCTGCCATTGCCCTATATCCCCTTCCATTGACGGTTCAGAAGATATAAAACACTGACAGGTAATATGAGCCCATATCTCCTGTGAAGATCCTGAATAACATATAATACCCCACATCTCATTTGATTAATATTATATTTCTAATTCAAACAGATAACTGCTTGAATGACTGATAAAGTTTTACTAAAATTCCTTCAAATGAAATTCTAACATTCATTCACAACAATTCAAATCCTTTATAATTACATATACAACCTTTCTAGTATTTTGGTAAATTCAAAATTTTTCCTAACATCTTTTTGGGGTACTAATAATAAAAAGATTTAATCCTTCAGTGTATGGTTATTTGTATTCCAAGTAAGGCAACTTGTTAAGTGGCTGTAGATGTCTCTTTGTATAATTTGCCCAATTATAGAGTGTAGTGTTGATGTTATCAAATGCAGTACCAGAGAAACAATACATACCTTCATTTGTGTTGCCCCTTCCTTGTAGAAATACATGGCTAATTTAAAATCTTTAGACCCACTAGCTGGTACATCTAAATAGTGCATGTGTTCAATAGATGTGGAAGCATCTTTCTTCATATCCTCTCGCGTCACTTTGAATCTAAAAAAAAGAGGTATTTGTGAGGATTTTTTTTTCTTCATTTAAATAAGCAATACAACAGCAAAGATTATTTATAGAAAATATTAAAAAATGATACGTTGATTTTAAAATTAAAGATGATTTGAACATTTGTACATGTATACTAAATCAAACAATAATGTCTGACTTACTCAATTCTATTGTGCTCTTTGACCTCTCCATACTAACCATGTGATATTTCTATTACTAATAGTAATGGTAGTTGGAGTCATTAAACAAACTAATCATATCCTTGTCACTAAAATCGTGTTATATTCATAGTTAAGTTCCAGGTCCTTATCAACAAATGGTCTTTTAGAAAAACAATTTTTTTTAGCATGGTAAAAATTACCTCTGAGGTTGTTTTAGCCAGTTGTTAACTGGAAGAAGTTCTGTGTACCAGACTTTACAAGGTACCTCTACTGGTTTATGTATGATTGGTTTAGGAGCTTCAGCAGTACCAGTTAAGGTCCAGAATAAACCACTTCCATCTGGTGTTGGGAAAAATATGGATCCCTGCGAAAAAAGGAAATGATATTAAGATATATGTTACATAATAAAGGTCTTCAAATTCTTGTTGTCAAAACAAGGTTTTTCCCGATATTTGCATTTTATGATATGAACGAAAATATTTGGTTCTTTCAAGTTAAAGATATAGGAAGTTACTCTCAGTCACTTCAATTTTCATGTGAACAAGTTTGATTTTAATACTTGAAAAACTTATTCAAAAGTTCACAGTTCGGTTATCCTCAACATTTGGTAAACATTAAATGCAATGATAAATTTCACTTTGATAACAATTATGAAGTCTTTCAGTATGTTGTTTTAAGTTACCAGGTTTCTATATTTGATAAAAATGAACTTTAAAAGATTTTTTTATTAAGTCAGTTGTATTTGTGCCGTTACAGATTATCTAAAATTAATGCACATTCAGCAGTTTTCTAAGAAAAACATGAAATTGCAAAATCAAAATACCAAATACAGACACACTTGCTTCTTATCTCAAATAAAAACACTGAGTTAAACATTTCAAGATTTAGTTTTTCCCTGCAAGTTTAGTAACTAATTACAGGGATACTTAGACTAACCCTGTAATCCCTGTGTAATAATATTAGGGTTGTTTAAAAAAAAATATTAAATTTATTTCAGGTAACAAGTCTTATTTCTTCATTGGTACTTACTGTGTCTTTGATGCCATCGTGTGTCATTTTTACAGGTTTGTATGAGATTGGATAATTTTCTGCCTTCTGGGCATCCACCTTAAAACTTGTAGGTCCACTCCATTGGTCCCCTGTTATAATGGGACGTAGAAGCCAAGACTGGTTTGTGGTATTTCTCAGAGTTATTGTCTTGGTATCTTCCTCTCTAACTGGAACCATGAAAGGATGTAATGACTGACTTTCTCTGGGGTTGATGGCTGTACAGCTTCCTGTCAAGGTCAAGGTCACTGGTTTGTGAATACCACCTTCAATGAAGCACTGCAAATTCTGAAATGATAAAGAACATTTAAGTATAAGTGAATTACTAATAATTGTGCTTTTGATATTTGAATATCTTGTTAACTGCATCAATAAATCTAATAATTTCATTAAAAATGACATGCAATTATTAATAAAAAGATTAAACATCATTATGAGCTCACAGAAAAATTTTAAACAAAGTGAAAGAAGTTCTGAATTACTGTAATATAACAATGAACAAACTAATTCTTACATCATATCTGATGTCCTTTTTCTCTTGCTTTGGTTCAAAGGTCACCTCAAAAGTGACTTCCATACCAGGTGTGATGTAGCCTTCTACAGGATAGATATTAAAGTCTGGCCTAAATCTCTTTATATCCCAGGTAAATCTATAAAGAATAATAATTGTAATTAATAAAAAAAATCAACATTATGAAATAGGACAGATACTCAATAATTTCCCAAGTCAAAAATACATATTGGGTACTATATTTTAATCGCATGTTAACTTTATAATTAATTTGTCACACATTATGCCTGACATTCATACTAAGGAAATATTTTGAGGTAGCATCTTGATGTGAACCAATTTTTAGTTGCTTTTTGCAGTCGAATTATTTATGTTAAAACACATGTCAATATTTAATTGATTATCATCTATTTATAGTTTAAAAAAGTGAAAGGGGAAAGTATTGACATATTTTCATGCAAATTGTGAGATTTATTTGCCTCTTAAGCAGACTTGTTTTCAGCGAGGATTTTCCTTTTTTTTTTGGGAAAATGTCTGGTTTTAATTTTCATTCAAATATTAATCAGTAATTCCTATTTCCTGAATCCTGAACAATCTATTCCGTCAACTTATCTTTCATGAAAATTGTCATCTAAAAAAAATACAATATTGACTAAATTGGAATCGATAGTAATTTCTTTTTATTCCTCTGTTGATAACCCTTAGTAGATTTCCCAATGACAGTAACTTGTATATGAAGAATCTATACATACTTAGCATTCATGTCTCCAGTGTTTGTCATTACAATCTTCTTTGAAGTGGAGCTATTTTTAAACACACTACCAAATGGTATAGCAGTGGTATCCAAGTTAATCTCCATACCCAATACACATCCTTTGATGGCAAATAATGGCTGAGAATGTCCAGCACATTCCATGTAAACCTTAAAAATACAAGTATATCAAATTAAAGAATGAATTTAAAAAAAATGTTCTAAAAAGGTTTAAAGTATGACAGAAAATTACTGAGAGGGCCGTTATCTTTCTTTATTGTGGATATCTGTATTATAAGATTAAATTTTTTATTGTAATAGAGATAATGTGATATTTTGTAAAGAACTCAAGGTCTGGTAGAATGTAATATCAAATGGATAAAATATCAACTAAATTTCTTGTATCATTTTTATAATTTTTAAAACATGGAAACCATTTTCATTTTATGTCATAAGTATCATCTATTTCAATGCTTTTCATACCTCTTCTGTGAACTGTGGAATTCTGTGTTTATTGTTAAGTTTAACTATGACAGAACATTGTCCACCTTTGCCTTCCAGCGTTATATTCTCAGTGGGTGTGATAGACAAAGCATTGGTCTGTTGTAAAGCCAGTGTTGTGGGTGTCAGAGCCAGTTTAAATGTTATTGGTGCTGGACTGTTATTGACAACAGGTACTACTGGAGGTTTCTTTAATTTGCCTCCAACAACCAGTGATCCCAAGTTTATAATTGATGCAGGAACTTCGACCTGAAATCAGAGAACTTTTAAATTCAATATACTGTATCTTTGCTGATTTCTTGGACGGAAATTCTTCAATATATTTTTTGATTGAAAAAACTACTTTACCGGTACACAAACAAGATAATGAATACACAAATTGACACTTGTCATATATTCATTACATTTCTGATTATCTTTAGAACACACTCAATACCAAAACTATAACTTAAGGTGGTACCTAACACTACAGGGAGATAACTCTGTAAAAATCAACTTAACGTTTTAATCACGTTGTATTGTTAAGGAAATATTAAGCTTCTCAATTATCAAAATTAGTGTTTGTCAAACTGCTATATAATCAGTGAAATTTTTCTGATAAAGTGTTTGGTTCAAATTATTTGAAATTTTTATATTTTTGTCAAAGGGTCAAAGTAAACATTTTGTCAAAATTTTAGGAATATTAAACGAGCCAAATTAATATTAGTTAAGGTGTTGGGTACCACCTTAAAAAAATTTTTCATGAAAAAATCATTCACAAATGCTGTGACATTTTTTATCGGAGGAAAATGGATGTATTTCAGCTTTCATTGAGAATTTTTATGCTAAGCTATCATTGGTTATTGTAAATTAGCAATATTTCTCTGATCCAAAACATACAAACCTTCATTTCAGTTCCAGTTCCAATAATCATAACACTGTTTCTAGATAGTCCATTAATTTCAAATATAATCTGTTCTTTATACACTCTTGCCTCCCTTGGATAGAATGTAAATAATACATCTATTGATTGCCCTGATGGAATTACACAAGGCTTGAAGTTATGATGTAAATGATCGGTTGGCACATATAAACAATTTACACTAATGTCTTTTCTATCCTTATTGGTCAGTTTCAGCACCTTATTACGATCTGGCATTCCTGCCTTATAGATGAAACAATTTCCAAAGTTGTAGGATTGGAAAGAGAAATGTAGTCCAGGAGTTACTCCCAGTCCTTCTAATCCAATACTGTATGTTGGCCCATTCTTAATCTAAAAGTACAGAAATAAATAAATATGAGATGCAATAATTTTATGTAGAAATTTATCTTAAATGCTACTATTTTTTTTTAAATGATTCAGTTTCATTTTAATTTTAACAATTGAATTAAGATTTTGCATGTGTTTCAATACACACAGCAAATAACTGACATAATCTCAATCAATTAAAACTTTCATATTTTCATTTAATTTTCTTTTACTTCAAACAAATTATAACTTGTTAAAAGATCAGTGAAATTCTTTTTGAACTATTCCTAAATGTTATAATACAATTCAGAATTTGATATTGTTTGTTAAATTGTAAAATTTTCTTATCTTTGATTTATGCAAAATTTGTTACCTTAAGAACAAGTTCACAATCCTTAAGTGTTGTACGACTAGGTGGACAGAAGACAAGTCTGCAGACTGCCTTCTCCCCATGGAGAACTCCACCACGGTTAGGAGTGATGGAAACCATATCTTTCTTCTGAGAACTCATGTTCATCTCCCATTCATAGTCAAAGTTAAACTTTCCAGAGTTAATGATAGTAAGGTTTCTTATCTGTTGTTCATTTACCTCAACCTATAAAAAGCACAGATGTAAACTTAAAGAGTTGATTCAGTTATCATTCTGTTCTTATTGAAGAATAAATTAACAACCCTAAGTTGTAGAAAAATGCAGTTTGATATCATTGTTGAAGTTCAACTCATAACTTACAATTGGACATGCTTGATGTCCTTAAAGAGGTGTAAAGCTGTAAAATTGGTGTTTTACTTGTTTTTCGGACAGGGAGATCCAAAGTGCAATAAATAAGATTTTTTACAAACTAGAACAGTAAACAATATGGAATAAGAAAAGTGTCATGTATTCTGTTGATCTTTTCTCTGTGATTTTGCCTTATGAACTCCACATCAATTTATTTCCTATAAATTTATATAGACAAACATTGATCCTAACTTGACACTATAAACATGGTGCTTTGGTTGAAGAAAAGATTAAATGAATAACATATTCTTCATTTAAGCTCTACAATAATTCTTACTCATAAATCACATTGATTTTGATCACGGAAGGAATTTTGGTTATTCTAACATTACAGGATATATTTCCTTTTACCATAATTTTTTTCTGTTTTATGTGCATATTTAAGATGCCATAGATCAAAAGTGATTGTAATTCTAATGCAATAGGTCAATGGTTCAAAATTGAGATTGAATCGTAGTTTAGTCCAGAAATGTTAAATATCTGTATTGGATGCCGATCTCTGATAATGCTTACCTCTCCAAAACGAATTATATTCATGCCATTACATATAAGTTCTTCTACTCGTCCTTGAGAATCCTCACACAGTAAAGTAGAATTCATAGAATAACCTTCTGCCTTCACATTCAGAGTAACTGGTGTAACCTTTCTCTTAACTTTACATACAATGTTGAAATTTACTTCCTTGTCAGAATTTGGAGCAAAATACAACTGTATTGGTGCCCTGAAATTATCAAAAAAAAAATGCATTTTAGAAATTTTTTAAAACAGATTATCTTTTTATTGACTTTTAATTTCAAACAATGTCGATCAATAGTGGCGTAGAATTATCTAAAAATGTAAGGAATGTTTGCCTTCTATTGGAATTTTGTTTGAACTGAATTATCACCAGAGTTATCTCCCATTACATTTTTTTAGTTGATGTAGAAAAGATTTAGAAAAGAGGTAAAAATATCATGTAACACTTAAAATACCTTGATTTAGGTGGAATAATTCCAGTCATTGGTTCCACCTGAATGTGGGCGGAGAAACCAGCTGAGTGACAGGAATCTGGTTCCATAACATAGGAGAAAGCCTCATCTTCATTGTTGATGATGTAAACACTTTCCGTTGCTGCATGTCCTATAAAATAACATATCAGTGTAATATCATACTTAATGAAAAAAGATGATAAGAAATCTTTCAGGCATTAGAATACTGTAAATTCTGAAATTTTTGCAATGTTTTTATTATTGTGAAACTTGTGACATGATAGTTTACGTAATAAAAAAAGATACCCTGCATTTTAGATTTCATTTCTTGTATGCAGCATTTCCTGAAATCACAAAACCTAATATCATGTTTTTGTCCCTTGGGAAACAATCACAATAATAAATGTGTGCAATAATTTCTGAATTTACAGATAGGAATTATGGTTCTGTTTTCACTGCCTTTGAATATTTGTATTTTGTTAAAACTTTCAAACTAAAATAAAAATGATACGTGCCTCAGTACTTTATGCTTTATAATAAATATTTCATTTGTAATATTCCTAAGACTGCTTATAATATTCAAATTTTATTATTTAACAGTTCTAAATACTGAAAATAATTTCTCATTGCCAATGGAAACATCAATCTATAACAACTAAATCTTACCTATCAGCAATGCCTTGAAGTTCATGTGAGACCTGTCCATAGCTATATCTGGTTCTCTAGCTTTACCAACCAACAAAAATGGTACAGAGATATTCTGGTCAGGAATAACAAATCTCCAGAATGACTCAACTGTGTCCAGTTCCATTGATGTAAACTCAAATGTTACCTGCAGCAGACATAAATCAGGTCCAAGATCAGTCATGGTACATTTACAAAACATATCAGGGTAGTTTTGTGGATTTTGTGGTAATGACAAATTCTGCATATAAGCCAATAGGAAATTTGCATTTTCTTTAACACTTTTTAAATTTGTGGTAACATCTATTTTTACCCACAAAATTAAAAAAAAAAACAGTACCTTATGAATAATAATGAATCCCCAGTAATCTGCAAAATTACACATTAAGCTTATTATTGTTTTAAACTAAAAACATCTAGTAAATTGAATCGACTGGCCATAAAAAGTTCATAACCAGCTATTTTTTTTTCTAAGTTTATTTTGCAGGGTCTGTATTAAAAATTTTCATATGTGTAGACTTTTGTGCATTTATAAAAATAATACAATTCATCAATTAAAATGTATTTGTATCTAGAATAAAATATGAGAGGAGAAATAATGTTTCTTCTTTCATCCATTTAAACATTCTATAAAACTTACTGGGAATCTCTTTCCACTTTTGATAAGACCTTCTGTGGTCACACACTTGAATGGAGATATCTTTGTTGTGTCATCATTTCTATCTTCACAGATCCATTCAAAACTGTACCCCTTGTTCGTAGGGTTAACGACACCAAATGTTCTATAAACAAAACATTCAATCAAGTGGATTAACATAAAACTAAATTATATATAATACTGAAATATCATACAAATCTATCTTTTCAAAATATATATGTATAACATTCTATTATATGATGTAAGTTCGGAATCTCATTACCGGTACTTTACAATATTGGTATTTAAAGCACCCAATGAATTTCAAGAAAGTAGCATCTGTCATGTACATAAACAATGCTTTCATGTAATTCAAAAATAATCTATTTTAATCTGTGCAAATGAATTTTCTTAAAATCTTTCATTGAATATTTTGTATGAAAGATACATGTATTATGAACTTTCAGTTAAATACAATATACACTTACAAAGTTTTCTTTACACTGATACCAACACAACTGAACTCAATGACACGAGTGTTGGGATCAAGAGTTGTTCCCCTGGTTGAATCTCCTGGTCCAGGTAATTCAGGGTCCCTTCTGGCTCCAGTAATGTAATCTGAATCTTGAAGTTCAAAATGACAATATGGCATCAGACTCTTTCCCTTCAAACCAACAACAGGTCCTTGCGAATCTTTCTCCAAGTTTGGTATACTGAAATGTAAATATGCATGTATAACAATGTTAATCATATTTCAGCTCTCTTTACATGAATAGGCATAATGGTGTCTATTGTTCTAAGCAGATGATCAATAGGCAAACTGCATCCAATTGATTTCATCTATATGGTGCAAGTACAAGCTTCATTTTGGTTATTTGCAGAAATAGCTAAATAGACTCAACTTGGTCTTTATTGTAAAGTGTGTCAATAGCTCCCTTTTATAGCTAATTTGTTTATTTAGTTTAACTATTTGATTGTATATAAAGTGCAATGATTAAAGTTTGCTTGGTTTTTTAACAGCTAGACCATGAAGTCAATGTGCCAATAAATAAACCTTTCCCTTCTTTGCCATTTGAAGCTAAACAACATATAAAAAACGGAAAAATCAAAATTGCAAAAAATATAAATTGTTGTCATTCAACTCACGTGCAGATTAGTCTTCCTTCATATGTATTGACATCAAGGGGAGAGAACTTGACTGTAAATCTCTGTTTCTTTCCAGCAGCTATGGTACCAAACTCAGGTTCAACACTAAATGGGATATAACTAGCATCTACAGCATCAATACGAGATTCTGGTCGTTCTCCTTCAGACATGAATGTGACAGCTCTTGTTAATGATGGAGCCATATTTTCCATTAACACTTGCCAATTGTAGTCCATCTTTATACTGCCTTTGTTACTTAGATTAAATCTGAAATAAAAATGGAAAATTTATGACATGAGTTTTCAAGCAAATATTTGATATTTCCTAAACCACAATTTTTATTCACAGGAAATAATTCATAATAGTTCAGGTGCTGTTTTTTGTAAACTATAGACATTAACTTTTGATAATTTGTGAAAAAATGAAATATTACAGACATATAATATTCATTTAAAGCATTGTTTAATGATTCAGTTACAAAAAAAAACCTTGAATTAGTGTTCCAAAAATAAAATGACAGTTAATATTTTCCATATATTTTCATATTCAAATAACATTTTACTCACTCAAAAACTCTTGTCTGGAACATAAGAGTATCCTTGAAGTGAACACTCTCAGTCTTGCATCCAAATTTACTGAAATCAGCATTGGCAGAAACAAGGAGTTCCACATTTCTACTAGTATCAGGGAAATCTGTAAATGTGGGCTCAGGTTCTGTTTCTACAACCTTCTTCTTAGCACCTCTTGAGCTCAAAGGAGCCTTTGATCCACTAAAAAAAAAGATAAATACTTTAGGTGTGTAGTAGTTCACTCTAAAATAGTAAGAAAATTAGAGGGTAATAAATAGAATGAACTTGCAGATCCATTTTATATTTCATTTGGAAAAGTTTTGACCTTACTTTATGTTTTATAATTTTATTCCAGGATTGTTGATCTCCAAAACATCTAATGGTTATTCCAGAAACATGTGGTGTATACACTGAAATTGGTATTATAAACTAATTAATGCTGCGTTCACACGTAATTCGAATTCGATTCGCAATAACTAATTCGAATTAGTTTAATTCGCATTCGAATCGTTTTACGTCCAAACGTTAATTCTAATTCGAATTGCAATACGCGTCAAATTTGCTTTACTGTCCGAACGACGTTAACTTTTAATTCGTATCAACAAAAACGGATTTCTACTGCGAATTGGTTAATGCGAATTAGCCAATTCGAATCAATTCGAATTAAAAAGGAAGAGTGCGATTAGCGAATTCGATTCGCATTCGATTCGAATTCAATTCGAATTATATGTACGTGTGAACTAAGCATTAAATGATTGAATTATTGTTGGTGCTTAATTCCACTTTCAGCACACTTGGCTTTATCATGGGGGCCAGTTTATATTGGTGAAAGGAGCAAGATTAATTTAAATGTAAATAATTTAAATGTAAAGCATACATAACTTTGAAAACATAAGTTATGATCATCAATGAATTTTTAAATCACTCATACTGAAAATAATGAACTTTTGATATTGTTATATTAGCTTAAGGATTTTACAAGTCAATGACGATATTTCAAACAACATTTTGAATAAAGAAAAGGCAATACCTTTACAAACAGCTTCCATCATATTTCTGATGTGGTTTTACATCTATCAAATGCTCTTCTCAAAAGTGATAATATATAAACCATGTTTGCTATAAATTTTAAGTATGTACTCTTATTTATATCCTACCTTTCTGAGGGTTGTGGTGATGATGGGATATCAACCCATTTGACAGTTTTAATTCTATCATCCCAGGCTGCAATCTGTGAAAACAACATTCAGTCAATTATTTATACATGTTTTGTTTGTTTTTATTTCCATAATTATCATTATCATTGATATGCCAAAATTTAGGTGGATATTACCATGAATAATCAAATAAAACTTCATAAAATCAAAGTAAAATAAAAAGAATATTAAAACATTGATTTTATCTATCAACAATATTTTTAGTAATTATGACTAAATCATCATTAAACTTTGCGTTTCTTACCTGATCAATTGGTTTATCATATTTGATCTTTGTGACTTTACAGTTGATAGCCTGTTCTGTCAGTGTTTTGGCAGCATCTGACTTGAATGAAACAGTCACATCCTTACTACTATTTGGATGTAGATGTGCCAGTGTAGGGGAGAACTTCAAATTGGCATTTTCTGGCCACTGGAAACGATAGGCATCAGTCTTGGAGTTGTTGGTCATTGAGAATGACAACGTAGATGATTCATTCACGTAAATATCACCAAAGTTGATCAAATTTGGTTTGGCAGCTGTAAAAAATTACATAATGTTCTTTAAGTATTGTATCTTTTACAAATACTGTAATTCAGATATCAATGCAGTTTTAACGGATGCATAAAATGTTAGAGGATAAACACCATTGTTACTTATTGAACAGGTTTGAAAATTATATTACATTTAATCTGAGATTCATTAATCCCATTTGTCTTCAGTCATTTTAAAAGATAATAACTTAATAAATTTTAAAAAAAATAAATTAATAAATTTTAAAAGATAATAACTTAATAAATTTTAAAAGATAATAACTTAATAAATCCTTTAATTTTCCAAGATGAAGCAATACTATCTTGATTTAAATTTTACTCTGTCAGCAAATATATTTTGCGCAATGAGTCTGTATATTCTATCTAAATAAGTTTTAAAAACAAACATTTACCTGCAATATCATCATCCGGCAATGCACCATCCTCTCCAACAACTTCTTGCTCAAAAGGCTGGCTAACACTATGAATATTGTCCAGAGTTATCTCATCTTCATAACCTTCGCCAACCATTTGAATAATTGAGTCCTCATACTGATTATCAATCACAGTGAGTTTGATATGAGCTTGTGACCTCTGAACTGCAGAAGGTTTGAAGATGACATTGAAGTTAGCCACCTCACCTACACCTACAGATACAGAGGCTGTATGAGGTCTTTTTGTGTCCTCATAGTCATTTTCCATGACAGCATTGGTATCAGTGCCAGGTCTTATTTTGAACACATTATCAGGATCCATCAAATCTAAATCAACCTGAGAAACAAGAACACAACACGGTTCATTTTTATTAAATATGTTCATGGTTAAAGGGTCATTATTCAGCATGTTTCATGCACACATCCATCTCCCATTGTGTAAACTAATTTTGTTTATTGTGAGGTTAGCAGTCTAATGACACCAGTGGCGTAGCTACCATTGACGCAACAACGTACTTGCGTGCACAAACGAAATGGCAAAAAAAATCATTATTAAAAAATCATAACAGTCAAAAAAAGAAAGAGTGCGATTGACTGTTACTATAAATATATATAGAAACCAAGAACTACCGGTCGTCAACATAATTGGGCGAATCCCGCTGTTGTCGGTATCCAGGATTATTGGCGCGTCACACTGTATATACAATTTTTAGACCATCTACTAAACGAACTACGAGATCGTCTTGTCAATTCGGAAGAACGTTTTCTTGCCCAGATGCTTCTTCCAAACAATCTGAAAAGTTTGAATCGGGACCATCAAATTCGCATATTTCGCGCCTACGAGTCCGATCTTCAACCAAAAGATCAGTTCCTTCTTGAAATTAAAAGGTAGGTTACGAGATGGGATATTTATCCATCTAAGAAACCAGACCAACTCTGTGCAACATTGGAGATGACGCCAAAAGAACTTTACCCAAATATATTCTGTATTCTGCAAATACTTCTCACCATGCCACCCCAAGGTTGTATATTAGATATGTTAGTTATACGTCCTTGGCCACCCTCAACCGCTACTGCTGAATGCTCTTTCAGCGATCTGAAACGCGTAAAAACGTATCTGAGATCGACCATGGGACAATAAAGACTTTCTTAACTTGAACTGCTGCACGTTCATTCTGATTTTGACATGGACGCTAAAGAAGTTGTTGAAACGTTTAACAATGCTAGGCAAAGGAAAATGTTACTCTCCTAAAGGACTTCGGTTGATAACTTCAGTCTTGTATACGAATGTCACATTCCTATATCACAAAATTAAAAATTGATTGTTTGAATTGCTTTGTTTTCGTATGTTAACTTATATATGTCATGAGATGATCCAGTTCTCTAGCCCTTTCTTTCTCTGAAGCATAATAAATTGGGGAGCATTGCAAAGTTTATAGATTTTTTAGTCAGTTTTAGGTCTTTGATTTGATATATAGCAAAACACTCAACTGTGCATACTTCACTTACTTCAAAATTAACCATCTAATATCGAAAAAATATTCATTTTCTGCAAAAAAGGGTCAACATTTTTTTTTGCCTCTCTCCGCTCGGCGATTTTATTTTTGCCTCGCTAGGCTAAGCATCTTCTGAGTGCACATCATTAGAAGTGTAGCTACGCCACTGGACACTCTTGGTAGACCTAATATTTAATCTATATTTTTACATACAGCAATATACAAAACATTAGTGAAGAAAATTTGAATAACTTCCTCTTGCATCTATGAAAAACATGTAGAAACTGAAGACAATGATAGTCTAAAATAAAATTTCATGAAAATGAAAAATATTGCAAACAATATATCATTTTGAAAACAAGAATGTGTCCATAGTACATGGATGCCCCACTGACACTATCATTTTCTATGTTCAGTGGACCGTGAAATTGGGGTGAAAACTCTAATTTGGCATTAAAATAAGAAAGATCATATCATAGGGAACATGTGTACTAAGTTTCAAGCTGATTGGACTTCAACTTCATCAAAAACTACCTTGACCAAAAACTTTAACCTGAAGCGGGACAGACGGACGAACGGATGGACAAACAAACAAATGAATGCACAGACCAGAAAACATAATGCCCCTTCTACTATCGTAGGTGGGGCATAAAAATCTTTCCTTATAATTGTAACAATAATAAGACAAATTAGGACAATACATGAAAAAGATAACAGAAATTACTTAATATACTGAACTGTACCTCAGACCAAACCAACCACCAACACATGACTCCTCTAAGAAAATAGACAAACAAAAAGAAACAAACAACAAATATGATCCAGATAACCTGACTTGGAACTGTGGACGGGTAAAACTAGTTTTATGCACACATATAAATATATCATTACTTACTTTACTTGGTAGTGTACCATCGTTGATCAATGTAAAAGGCAGTGTCTGTGTTCTTCCTATCAAATTCTTCTTAAACAGTAATATAGTCTGACCCATCTTGTTCCTCATTGTGGGTTTCTGTACAGTGATCCGTGGGAGGTTTCCATCACCAGCTACTTCAAACATCAATGATTTTCCTTTGGTCTGACCATCTAAAGCAGCCTCAAATTGTGCGGTGAAATTCTATATAAAACAAAATTCATTTGTTTACAAGAAATGTAAAATTATATTTATGTTCCTATACACGATCATGCGTATTAAACAATATCACCTCTGTTTAATCCTATAAAGTGACAATATAAAATTATCAAACACCAAACTTTTAAAACCTATAATAACATATCACTATGTGTCTAGATCTGTGGAAAATAAAAAAAATAATTGAAAAAAAAAGTTAAAGAGAAGCCTATGAACAGTAGTTCTAAAGTGTGATCTCAAGATTTTGGTCAGCTCTGACTAATTCTTACCTGCATAGAGGGTGGTGTGAAGGTCACAGTTGCATAAACATGGCTGTGGTGTGAGATCTGTGCCCTGGAAGGCTCTACTTCAAATATATCTTGATTCTGTCCAGCTCTTTTGACATTGGTTGGTTTGACGGAGAATACAACATCACACATTACTTTGTTTGTGTTACAGATCTTAAACCTAGCCTTGGCTTTACGTCCTATGATTACATTGTTAAATATAAATTTGTTCTCATCCTCAGCATAAACTCCACCATCAGTGTAGAGATCTCCCTATGATAAAAGTGAATAAGAAAATTTAACTTCTCTTCCATGTTTATTGGCATCAATCTTGTCACAACAGAAAAAGTAGATCAAACCTTCATGGGTAAATTTATAGGACTTGCTATTAAAATAAAAGTAGCATTCACATCTTGCCTGGACCCTCAGCCATTTAAAACTTCTCATATAGTTTCATGTGTCTATCTAAGTTAGCACATGTTGTTGGGCTGCTGTCTCATTGATGTTTACCTCACATCTTCATATATTCATATTTACTAAGCTGTCCCCTCAAAGGACATAATTCTTATTATTCTCATTCTTGCCATTTCTAATTGAGGGCTTGCTTTCATTTAAATTAAGTCTTCCCATATACAATTAAAATTGGAGAGAATTAGATAAATATGAACACAACTATTACAGAGGTTTTCTTCTTAATTTTAAGAATAAACCCTATCAAATAAAAAAATCAATACATTTTTACCTGATTACTATGCTGCCAAATGCTGAGATTTTTGACAATTCTATGTTCTTCAAAGATAGAACCAATAAACCTCTGTTCTATGATACTGATTGAAGGAATACACACTTCAGCTAACAGTCTATAGGGTATACCACCTGGATGGTCATTTGGATCTCTGTCAACTACATCAATACATATTTCCTAAAAGAAAAATGTCATACCATTGTTGTAACAAAATATTTCAAATTTATCATTGTAACATATCAAAATAAATTTAAATTTACATAAAAATGTTATTCTAGCAGACTGTTCAAATTATCTTTAAAAATACAATCCCCATGAAGACCACGGAAAAAGGAAACAACTCACCTCATCTCCTCTTCCCTCTTGTTCTGTGATACAATCTACATTGATAGTTATAGAGCCACCTACAATGACAGTTCCACTGGTAGGGGAGACAATAAACATTCCAAACTGTTGCCTAGCAGCTCCACCTTCGGCTCTGTATGAAAATAACAGATTTTAAAGATATTAAAGCTGTCATTAATTCTTTTGTATATAAATATGAGGGAATTTTTATGATTGTCATTGTGAATTCATCATTTTTATAGATACAATTTCAATTGAAAATATATTTCGCCTGCCAAGAATAAATTTCAATACTTTTCAGGTTTTGAGGTGATTTCCTGCTTGTATGTCTCCTAGATTTTGTACCTATTTTGTAGCACCTGTTATTATCAATCAATAGAATATACTAGACCTGAATTTGGAAAAAATGGAAAAATGGTTATTCATTCATGACACAAAATCCCTACATGCACATGACAAAACACATAGCAAAGGAACATCACTTTTATTGCTGTTCTTCATCTCAAAGTAACAGAAATATGTAATGATTTTTAGCAGCATGCATTTGTGGAGACAAACCAGTCACCTACAATGGTACTTATTGTCAATTATGCATGGTCATAAAAATGACTTCTTTAAAATGCATCAGACTGTAATCCTAATTATTTTATTTGGTATTGTGCTCTATAAGTGCTCTGTGGGTTTGTAGGAAATACAGATTCTTGTGTTAAGTGTTCTTTAAATATCAATCTAAATTGTTACAATCAAGTGTATATCATGTTAAATTATTGAAAGAGTAAGAAAAATGTACTGATTATTAGTAGTGTGCACAAAAATGTGCAAATATTTCATTTCAAGTGCTGGTATTAATTCTTTGACAAAATCATTACACAGTTTTTTTTTAATTACAAATAACTAATATCAGATACCATTATATACAATGGACAAAAAATTTACTCAATAAGCAATGCTGAAGATATAAATAGCACAAAACCATATCTAGAATATTGCATGCTAGAAATTGATTAGAAAAAGAAAAGCATTAATAGTGATAAAGTAATGAGTTATTCTTGTTAAAATACAACCAAGAAGGTAAAACAATTTTCACTGTATTTCTTGATACAAGAGTTCTATTTACACAGGTTTTAGTTTGCCTAGGATTTAGTTTAGACAGGTTTTAAAGTATTTCAAAACTTAGTCCAGTTTAATAAAATCTAGTCAAATTTTTAAGAAACAAATTATAAAGTCTTGAATTCATTTATGAATGATGTTACCAGTTTTTAAGCAATATACATATGACTTTTGGAAATAAAAGTTTGAAAACTACACAAAAGACTTCCCATTTTTTAAAACACATCCAGGGAAAGATAACAAGAATAACTCCTGAACTGAATGCATATACCTGCCACGTTTAGTATTAGGTGGAACAGAAGACATTTGAGCTCGTGAAACTCCTGCAGTCAGCATAATTTGACTAGCATTGTAGTCGCTAGAGAGAAATATAGGTTAAAGTGATATATGGTTATAGAAATCACTGCAATCAAACAAACCACATGCCAATCTTAAAAGTCATCTTAAAATTAACTTTCTTAATAATAATTTTCAAAAGCTTTTATTTTCTTACAAAGACAAGTTTTGAACAAGTTTGATTTCTTTTTAAAACAAACATTTTCTCAAAATTAATCTCAACACTCCTTTTATCTTTGTACCCCCTTCCCCATTTTAGAAGCATTATTTGGAAAAATCTGAGCCAAATTGATATATGTGTTTGCTTTCTAATAAGATTGACATGTCTGTACTAAGTACTATAGTTAGTATATGTTAGCTACTGAATGAAAATTAGTCCACTCAAACAAGTAAATGTAGATCATTGCTTCCAGTAAGATTTTTTTTAAAAGGTAAGTAGGTTCAAATGTTCGTAATAGGACCTATTTGCTAGACAGCTTTGATTACAGTTTACTAGATTTAAATCAAAATAAAGTTAAGGAACCAAGTAAGAAGTGTCAAATCTTTGGTTAAACTATTCTCAGCAAAATGATACAAATATGGTAAAAAAAGACAGTATTTACAAACAAATCTCTTATTTCCATGCACACTAATTAGTTCAAATTTGGTAAGAATTTCAAAATCATACTTTTCGAACACACTAGTGACATAATTTCCAAATAATTAAGGGATGAAAATCAAAACATAATCAAACCCTGCTTCTGATTATTAGTAATAGTACTTCTTCACAATTGAAAGTTATTGGTTAAGAACATTCTGATACGCTGAAAATCAAAACCAGGCAATAAAATATATTATCTCCCCCATACATGTGTAATACAGTCAAACCTGCTATAAAGGTCACCTCTTTTAAGTGAAAACCTGTCTAGTCACGTCACCCTCTTCTTTTCCCGTCACAGTAATACTTATGCATTTTGAACCTTAATTTAACTGTCACCTGTCTTGTAAGGTCAGATTTGCCTGGTCCCGATTGTGACCTTTATATACATTTTTGACTGTATTATGTTAATTAATCTGGCACAAGAATACTAAGGTTGTTGTTGCTGCGGTTTTTATTATATTTGATATATTCATGTAGGACATGACTGTTTGACTTTTTCCTTTTTACACCAAAAGACTTACACAACGACTGTTGCAATTATACATGCATTTAGGTATTGGGGATTTGGCTGTTTTGTTTGGATCAAAATACTGAGGACATTAACATTTTATTATACTTGCATTAGAATACTGATGACTCGTTTGTTTCATTTATGCATGCAAAGAATACTATGGACATTATAATTTCAGTCATGATAGTTGCATTAAAATACTGAGGACTCATATTTGCATTAGACTATTGAGATAATTATGAATGCATTAGAATACTGGCAATCATTAATGTCAAATGTGTGATAGGAAAAACGTCACTTGACTTATTAGTAGAGCAATTTATATTTCAGATTACTCTACAGTATCAAGGAATTACAAAAATGAGGACTTGTCTGTTTTTTATACTTGAATTAGACCTCCAACAACTTAACTGTTTTAATCATACATGTATCAGAATACTGAGAACTTGGATGTTTCAATTACATTTGTATTAGAATACTGAGGACTTGACTGTTTCAATAACATTTGTATTAGAATACTGAGAACTTGGCTGTTTCAATCATATTTGTATTAGAATACTGAGTACTTGACTGTTTCAATTATATTTGTATTAGAATGCTGAGTACTTGACTGTTACAATTATATTTGTATTAGAATACTGAGGACTTGACTGTTACAATTATGTTTTTATTAGAATACTGAGTACTTGACTGTTTCAATTATATTTATATTACAATACTGAGAACTTGGCTGTTTCAATCATATTTGTATTAGAATACTGAGTACTTGACTGTTTCAATTATATTTGTATTAGAATACTGAGGACTTGACCGTTTCAATTATATTTGTATTAGAATACTAAGTACTTGACTGTTTCAATTATATTTATATTAGAATGCTGAGTACTTGACTGTTACAATTATGTTTGTATTAGAATACTGAGGACTTGACTGTTACAATTATATTTGTATTAGAATACTGAGTACTTGACTGTTTCAATTATGTTTTTATTAGAATACTGAGTACTTGACTGTTTCAATTATATTTTTATTAGAATACTGAGGACTTACTTGACTGTTTCAATTATATTTGTATTAGAATACTGAGTACTTACTTGACTGTTTCAATTATTGTTGTTTTAAAATACTGAGTACTTACTTGACTGTTTCAATTATATTTGTTTTAGAATGCTGAGTACTTGACTGTTACAATTATATTTGTATTAGAATACTGAGGACTTGACTGTTACAATTATATTTGTATTAGAATACTGAGTACTTGACTGTTTCAATTATGTTTGTATTAGAATACTGAGTACTTGACTGTTTCATTTATGTTTTTATTAGAATACTGAGTACTTGACTGTTTCAATTATATTTGTATTAGAATACTGAGTACTTACTTGACTGTTTCAATTATATTTGTATTAGAATACTGAGTACTTACTTGACTGTTTCAATTATTGTTGTTTTAGAATACTGAGTACTTGACTGTTTCAATTATATTTGTATTAGAATACTGTAGACTTGATTGTTTATTTATGCACACTCATTTTGTGCCTCATAAGTCATACATGGAATCAATGTTGTCTGAGTATAAAATTAAAATGTAAATAACATTTATGAATGTCATTAGAAAATTAATTGATTAATTAATTGGAAGCTAAATTTGCAAATATTTTTAACATGAATTAATATTATTATAGTGATATGTGCAAAGTGGGAAAACATTATTATTTCTTTCTTTTGATTTTTTTTTTTTTTTATTGATACAAGACAATTTGTGCCTTTTAAACTATCCAAATTCTCATTACTTATAACCAGGTAAATTTCTTTTGGTAATGAACTGATTTTATACATTTAAAAAAAAATATCTTAAGCAAATTTCTGTCATACTGGTAACACACAATATGGATTTTATTCATGCAAATCTGAAACAACTGTAGCTATCATACACAGAAAACAATATAATTTTGGTATATATTAGTTAATGAAATCGCATGCAAACTGCAATTATATATAAAGTGGACAGGTGCAAGTATATATTACATATTACATTTCAATTTTTCCACTTGAAAATTTCATAATGTTGAATAAAAAATCATTAACCGAAAAAGTCAAAATTATTTCACAAATATTGAATTAAATCTTTATAATTATACAATTCAAAACATCATTTATGAACTGAGAATTGTTTATACTTGTAATAGGAATTAATAATAAACATTATATATTTAATATCCAAACACTGTTAGTAATATATTGATTAAGGCATAAAAAGGCATGCAGTACTGTTCAGCAGGTTTTTAACAAATGTAAAAACGGTAAATTTGATACACATAAAACATAAAATAAATCTTTATATTGATAAAGAATTTGAAATTTTTGTTAAATCTGGTTAAAATGATCAAATATCTATTGTAAAAATATCTACCGGTATGTGCCATATTTCATATTTGCAAAAAATCCTGCTTTACAGTGTACTATATTTAGCATCCACACATCAGATTGTTAGAGAAACAGGAGTGACAGGGTGGGCTCAACTAACTAACCTGACAGAGTCTGTTTTCTTAGGCTTAGCTACAGATCTTCCTGAACTTGATCCATCCCGAGATTTGCTTCGTTTGCTGTCCTTCACAGGGCTGTGTAAGATGTACACAAATTTGTTTATGTTTGTGACAAGGGTATCAAAGAAAAAGTTGATAAACATGCATTTTCTCTTACAACAGTGCCAATAAAATAAAATTTTAAGATCAACAAAAACTGAAAAGTCACATGCATGGGGATAAACATGCAATTTTCTATGCTCTATTTAAAAAGTGATCAATTCAAACACAAAAAGAAAATGAAGCTAAGGAAGCTGCAAGTAACTGCATTGGACCCCCAGATCTAAAGCAATTGAATATAACTAACATTAAATTGATTCTGACAGAATTTATACCTATAGTTTTTATCTTCTTTTCTTTGCTTTATCTCAAGCTCTGTCATTTGGCTAAGAAGTAGTATTCTTTCACATTAAAATAAGTATTGTATTATTTTTTCAAGGAAGTAGGTAGATACTTAGAAATGAGGTATTATTTATGTGAGTTAAGTTCGGTCTGTATATTTAAAAGATATAGGATTTTTTTTCAAATCTTAAAAGTACAAATTCGAGATTATAGACATAAAGAATAGTTAGTACTTGTGTACATGTTACCAAAACCTAATAGGAATAACCCAATCACAATTCTAAAAATAATAATATACCATGTGACAGTTATAGTCTGATTGATCTGTTTCCCTGTTCTACATTGGTGGGACCAGTGAAGGTGAAAACAGAAGCAGAAGCTGTGATCCCTGTATATATTGGAGTGCACTATACAATGTAATTTCTTGTACTTACGGACGATTTCCACGGCCACCTGCTTGTTTGTCTTCCTTTTGCATCTTAGATATGATGAATTTGAAATCAAACTCTCCACGATTGTGAATTTCAAATCTACTCTGGCCTTCCTTCTTATTATTGATGAGTAATGCGCCAAAGTTAATATCATTAGCTGGCTGTATCTCATACCTTAAATAAATTTGGTAAAATTTGTATCAATGTTTATTGTAACGTACATTGTTTCTCATTTCTATTCCTGTTGTAAAATAAGGCATGACAGGGTACACACTCATTGAAATATTTCTGTTGTACCAATAAACAAACATTAAAAACAAAACTGCAGTAACATGTCTCATTTTTCAAATCTAATCTCTAAACAACTAAACAAATTTTTAGACTCTTCTGAACATACTTTAACTTTAGAATAGAAAAACAAGGGCATATGGGGTATCCACAAAATCAGTATATGCACAGCAAAAAACACACAAAAAGCAAAGGAACAGTGCTTTAATTGCTGTTGAACATTTTATGATATTATCACATCATAGTCCACAGCTCTGGAATTTAAATATTAGAAAAATGAACTATATAACTGAAAGTTACAAATACAAGATTTGATTTGCAAGGAGTTACAGTGTTTCATCAATCACAATTATTATGGAAGACCCCTTCACCTTGAATGTTAGAGAATGAATGTTAAAGTTATTCAAATGTTGATGACTGATCCTTTCAGTTTACATGCTTTGACTTACTTAGGGAACAACACTTTAGCAGATACTTTGATTGGTATAACACCAATAATTTCTCCCTCGTCACCAACTTTCAAGTCAATAACCTGGCAGCTAAGTATTGGTTGATCTTTGATGACTAGTTCCTTGTCAGATTTGAATATTATAGTAGGTTGTGTTGGTCTATCAGCAGAGACCAGAGTACCCTTTTCTGGAGTAATGGTAAACAGAGAAGCAGCATTAGGATTGGCTGGGTCACAGTCCTTCTTGATGAAACTAAAAATATAAAAGCATACAATAAAGTTAATGAAATATCATATATATCAAATAACTAACCTAAAATTGTCTTCTTTTTGGTTTTTGGTAGGCCCAGAATATGATAAAGCAATACAATTTTTTTTTTGTCAATTTCACTATGTAAACATTAAGACATATATAGTATACTACATAATATGATTTCTATGTGATAAAGGTAGTTTGTAATAATTTGGGATTATGTTACTAATTTTCAGTGGCAAATTTTCATATATTCCGGATGAGAACAAATTCAATAATAAATCAATTAGGTAGGTGCTGCTAAATCTGTCAATTGGGATGAAGTGAAGATTTGGATTGCCATGGTAAAAAGTGGGTATGTTCTACAGAGCAGAAATTTTGCCATCCAATAAGTCACCTATGGACAAGTCAAAAAGTTACTGCAATAGTTGTTTTTTTTTAGGGGAAAAAAGCAAGAAAAGTTCAGGTGTCTTTATTTCTATACTGCTGTCAACCCTTTTGTATATACGTTGTTACTACTACTTACTTATATCCAACATCATATTTCCCTCTGTTTTTCAAGGCACAAGTACACTTCTTTTCTTCACCAACATGTATAATGCCAAGGTCAAGGCCACCTCCATCTGATCCATGGTCTATAAGAATTCAAAATCAATAATCATATAATCAGGCATTAGATATATATCCTTAACAGAATAAGTGCTCAAAATAAGATTAACTAGGTTTGTTTGTTTACAATATTACCTATGATTTTGTTAGTTTTTTGTGTTTGTGCTTTTTGTGTTGGATTATATTTTGATTTGTGTGAATCCTTGTTTAAGGTGAAAGAATGTCTATTCTGGACAAAAACCTATTCAGATTTTAAATTTCATCGTAATTAAAAAATTCTAAAGTTCGTACCTCCCTTGTTGTTAAAACTCATATCGACACTGATATCATAAGGTTCGTAATGTACAGTCAGATTTTCTGTGGACAATGGATGAACACCTTCTTGATCATGTATCTATAAAAAAAAAAATATTCATAAATCTAAAGTCAATGGCCTGTAACAGATATTTGAAGTGTTCTATGCTTCAATATAACTAAAACTGACTGCAAAGTGAAACTTAAATTGCACAGTTGTAAGTGTCTATTTACAGCAAATTGATCAACTTACTTATACACCGTTCAAGTTAAACCCAACAGCATCAATGTCTCAAAATGAGTATATATATTCTCTTCAATCATTGTTTCGATTTCCACCTCCCCATCTTCATAGAACCTGTTTAATAATTATTGATCAAGACCAAAATATACAGGTAGCTCACCAGTACCAAATCTTGGTTCAGTTTTCAACCTAATATACCTGGCATTACAGCAGCATTGTTTCTTTATCTCTTATACAAATAACTACAGTTATACTATACATTATGGTTTATTTCTTACCTCTAATCTGATTTTCTTCTGTTGTGTTGTATTTAGAGGTTTCATGGCTCTGAAGTAAGCATGGAGTGGGTATTCCTGTAATGGGTCTATAACACCATGATCAGCTGACAATGTAAAATCATCACCTAATTGTTCAATACCCGTCACCTTCCATACCACTGGTAACTGTGTGTTGTTCCTCATGTGAATTGTTCTTATCTCTTTTCTATAAGAAAATATAAATTTTAGTGTAAGAGATTACAACCAGATGCAAAGGTTTTAAGAAATATACTTGACATTTTCTGTTTTCCATTAAAGTATGAAATCCATCATGAATTTCTATACCTTGACATTGCAGATAAGCCATTTGATTACAACAGAATACCTCAACAATTTCTTCTTAGCAAATGTTAATGAATTTTACTGATTTTTCAGTGTGCACAACACAGGTTTTAGGATGATCTTTCTAAGGTATTGGAAGCTAATTAAATTAGAACATTTGGATCAAAAGCAAAATGACTTTTAAAAATGGAACAGTTAAAACAGTCTAAAGGTCAACATAATGAAAACGTAATTGCTAAGACATCCAACTCACCTATACAATCTAACAGATTCAAATCTGAAGTCCTTGGTATTCAAATCAAGTTCAGGATTAAATGAATCACATGCTATCTTAAAAACAACTGGTTCTGGATTCTCTCTGATACAACAGACAATAGAATCATCAATCCTGCCTACTTTACATGGGTAGGCCCAAATTGTTAACTTCTGGCTCTCTCCAGATTTAAGACACATATTTGGTGGTTCTAGAATGAATGTTTCACTCTTACTGTCTTTGAAGAAGCAGAAGCTGATATCAGCCTCCAGTGGAGATGTATTTGTTACATTTAATTCTTCCATGTATGCTGGATGTTTGCCTTCTTTGTATCTGAAATGTATATCATAAGTTTCTTGAATGCTATTAAATAGAATAATCTCTTATTATACCATAAATCATATTTTCATGACAACTTCTTTGTTTATTTTAAGTACAAGTTTGGTTTACCTTTGTTTAAACATGTATAAATGATTTCAATCTGTCCATGGCATAGATCTGACAACCAAAAAGCATCTACTTACGGGATATGAATCATTACTATCAGGTTAATTGGCTTTTTTTTTTAATTTCAAGGACTATGTACATGTTATTTGGATACCAAACTGAAATAATGTTCAGTTGGTTGATTATCCATAGTTTAAGGCATTACTGTTCTATTGTACGTTTTTGAAAATATTACAGAATCCTCAAAAGCCTCAATTTCAACTGGGTCAATATCCCTAATGTGCCTCAAAGTGAGGAACTCAAAAGTAGTTGTGTTATCAAAAATTCTCTGTGCAGTGTAGTTGGACATGTTTCAATTTTTAACAAGTGACTGAGCTTAACCGTTTGTGCTGATTTGGAGAGCAGAAGACAATAGAATGAAGGTGTAAAAACTATGGAGTTATTAAAAATGTATGCAAATAACTAAATTTTCAAATATTTTATTGTGTGATAAAAAGGGTTTTTTTACCTTGAGAAGTTGTATCAGGGGTGTCCTAAATTACGGGAAAATGATAACCCTTGTAGCCCGAAAATTTAACCACATATTTGAAAATGTCTCAGCATTGAAACGAGCCATCAGACATATCCAAGTTTACGATAAGGGCAGAGGAATTGAGGAAAAGGCTACCATTACTGCCTACCTGAAATGAATTGCGCATCTTTACCCAACTGTCAGACCAATAATTTTGGAACATCTAATGAAAAGGTCCCTTTAAATTTATTCACAGTTCTATTAAATATCTTCATAAAACTTTGTCCTGCATCTGCATGTTTGCCTTCTGTAATATTATCAATTATACTCATAGAGTACAATTACTTACCCAGTTCTTGGTCTTGAATTCAATAGGGGTCCAAATTCAAATGTTTCTGTGCCTAAGATATATTTCTTATGACAAATTTCGTTTGTCTTCTTGGTCTTCTTACGACTTGGGAAAACAATTCTAAAAAAAGAAAGTTATTCTGAAAATGGATAACACTGCCATGACTGAAAAAACTTGCATAGACAAAGAACTATGTAATGTCTTTCTGCATTGGTATATTTTAAGACTCAGAACATCTTATGGAAAAACAATTTTGTCAATGTCTTAAAAACTTACTGGTTAAGGTTCTTAGCAACATTCCCTGATAAAACATTATATATCTCAAGTTATGTAACGTGTGGTGAACATATATTTCAAACACTTGGCAATTTATTTTAGTGGTTACAAAATTTTGAGGTTTTAAGGGTTTAAAATCCTGGTATCCACCTCAATATAAGTCATTTAATGTATAGCAATAGACTATTATTCTCATAAAATTGGAGCTTCTGCCAGAATAAGTAATCATGTCAGAAAAAAATGTGAAGCAAATCTCTGTCATCTATTTTTTTTTTATAAAATGACATTATTAGCTGAATGATACAGGTAGAAATGCATCACTCAAACCTTATCGCAGCATTTACCAGTTAAATTTGAATTAAAGTCTGCCATGCACATTCAATTCTTTAGAAAACTCTCATAAAAAATTAAAAAATAGAAAGGAAGGTCAACTCACCTTGGCTCTCTACTAATGGATGGGAATGCACACACTCCTCTACAAAATAACTGGTATCTACGACGTGTGCCTACAATCTCAAAGTTCAGGGTCTGATCAAACTGACCAAGTTCTTCTGACTGGAAACGTAGACGTACCACAACTTCTCCATTAGCAGGTACAATCCAGCGGAATATTGTCAGTCTGTATGAGGAAAAGTATTTGTGTAAGTTACGAGTAACAAAATAGTCACTTGATGGTCTTTAAAAATATTTATCATTTAAAAAATACAATATTTATGATAATTTAGGGAAAAAATGTAAATCAAAGACAGCTTTTACTTTGCAGAGCTTCAAAAATTTTCTGTTTTTCTTATAAAATTTATTCCTAGAATTGAGATTTGATAGAAAATATTTAAAAGTTACATTAGTGAACAAAAGTCAAGCTGGTTGAAAGGGCAAGGTCAACTATAAAAAAATATTTAAGCAACAGATAGTCATGAAATGTTAATTTGAACACTGTTAAAAGTAGACAACTGTTAAATTATTCTGTATGTAGTTGGTATACATAAACATGTTGAAGTCTTAAAAACAAAGCTCTCCTTTGAGTGAAATCAAATTACTAATGGATATCTAAATTCAGGACACATGGCTCCTCTTTTACAGTTTTCTATAGATAATTACAAATGTTTGAGTTTTAATAAAATGTAAGAATAAAATTTGTTTTTCAAAATCTTTACTAAATCGGTTGTCTTTCTTCGTCCTGTAAAGTAGAAAGACCATGTTCTGTAACATTTAGCTTAGTTATGATAAAATCATTGCATGCTCTAATTGTTTTATTTATTGTTTAATTGAAATGAAATCAGTTTACACACACCACACATTACTAAATCAAAAAAACTTTGTGCATGAAGCAGTGAAAAATGCATCTGAAAGCAACATCCACACAAACTGTGTTTATTCTCAAAAAAAAAAAATTAAGGTGTGCATTCAATAATGTGGATAATGATTAATTATTATGATTATGTGTACAGCTTCCTGTCCCGTCAAGAGAAGACTAGATAGAACTAAATCTCAGACAATGCAAAAAATGCAATGAACACTATGAAATTTCAAATAAAAGATATTGAAATGAAATAAACCCAATGATACCTGAAAAAGTAGACTACATTCAAATTTATAGTGTGACATATCTAAATTTGCTTCCATTGTTATAGAGCTGTAAGCACAAGTAAATGAAGAAAATCTAGTCAATAGGCTAAACTGGACATGTAAGGAAATGTGATATGAGAGCCACGGCCATGTTTATGTATACCATTGTCCTACTTACTTGGGAGTTTTGGAATCTCCAACAGCCATCCCATCCCCTGACATACTGTAAGGAGAGACATGCAAGCTAACTAGAGTGTTAATATACAATTTGTTTAAACTTTGGCAGCTAAAACTTAAGTTTGGGATCTTTACATCATTATACCATGGCAATGAATGCCGTCTAAGTAATTTATAATGTTCCACATCAGGTTATTTCTAATGGTATCCAATCTACTGTTTAAGAAAAGAAAAAACTAATTCCTTAATGAAAAAAAATTATTAAATAATCTACTGTATTTGAAAGTCCAATACATTTATGGCAGAACAACTTTGCCACGTTTGGTCAAATGGATGCTATACCCTTTTCTTCTTAAGCTAAAGCTGCTAAGTTTTGTAAAGTTAGTTTGTGTCAGACTAGGTCTGCATATGTTAGTGATATCATGCATGAAAAGACATTAAACAGTTAAGATTTGACTCAATTAATGACAGTTTCAATGAAGAAGTGATTAGTCTTTGACAAGAAAATTCACATGGTGATTAATTATAGACAATATTAAAAGTTAACATTTTAAAAGATGACAAAGAAAACGTCAGAAAAAAACATTATAAAGAAAAGGTTGAAATACAAGAAAATAGGAAATAATGTCATTTGTGCAAAATATTGGAGTCTCATTTATAAGAGATAACTGATAATTAAGTTGAAATTATTGGGTCATTTTAGTTTTAAAATCTTGGATGTTATGTGGTTGAATGCAAGGTATTTCTTGACAAAAACAGATGTCTGATAAAAGCAATGATAAGCACAACATCCCTCACAAGACCACATTTTCGGAACAGTTACTCTGTGATACGGCATGTAAAAACCTTGACCTTTGACCTTAAACTCAATATGGGTCATCATATCTGTGTAGTAATTGTCTGCACTTATGACCAACACTAACCAACCTATTTTGACAGATTTTTTAAAAATGTACCTTTGATATGCTTGATCTTAGGCACTGAAAATCAACACAGGCAGTCCATATTTTTAAAAATGTTGATTATTTACTATGTGGTTTCAATGTGAGGGCATGTTGAGGAACTGTTATGAAGAAGATATGAAAACAAAGATAGAACATGAAGTAGAAATTCACACCTGTATGTACTTTTATGCAGTAGTCTAGCTACACTCAACTATTTTTCATTTACATGGTGAAATGTCATGCAGCTATTTTTACTGTGTTCATGATAGTGTGTGTACAACACATATTTTTTTACACATGCAAAAGTAATACATATTAACTGCAGCAATACAAGAGATTATTATTTTCCTGTCCCATAATGAGTAAATATACCTTGTCCAAAATCTTGTATTAAGTTATATTGAATTACATATGTTCATATTAATATAAATAACCAAAACTCTTATATTTATCAGAGGCACACAAAAACATACCTGATATTATCGCCATCTGAGACAGGAGTTACTGCCCCTGGCGGTGGAGATTGTACATTAACAGATGGACGTCTTTTCTCTGTCTTTGATGTTGATTTTCTCTCTGCACTTTTCTTCCTTTCTCCTTTGGCTGTATCTTTTCCTCCAGATTTGTCCTTAGAAGCCTTACCCTTAGTGGGTGTGGTGTGGTCCTCTTTACCTTTGTCTGGGGTCACAGATTTCTCTTCCTCAGGTTCTGTACCACTGCTTTCAGGTACACCAACATTTCTAAAAAAAAAAAAAAAAAAATTGTTGTATTATACATTTTTAATGCAAATCAATATCATAACTATTGTTTCATATGCCATAGGCAAAACAAATGTCAATCAATGATTTTTTTTTTTTAGTTTCAAACTTTGCTGTGGATCTTTTCACAAAGAACTTAAAAGAGTAAAAAACTTGTTAGTCATACATATTTCAGTATAACTTCAATTTTAATCATAATATTTTTTGTGAAAAGAGTTGCTATTTATACAGTTCATGTTTTTTTTTTATTCTCAGGTTTTCTAAGATTTATCTCACATAAAACCAACCTTGCAAATAAAAATCTGCATCATGCATTTGAGCTTTTATACAAAATTCTGCTCATTTTGAAATATTTGTTAGTGGAGAAAGTTAATAATTTTGGGAATTCTGTGTGATTGAGAGATTAAATCTTCTTAGATAATATAGTTCTGTTACAGGACTCTGAGAAATCCATGTGTGCCTAATCATTGTTTCCTATTTTTTTTTGTTCATTTAGGAATTTAGCAGCATATATTTAGTTGTCCCTAATATATTCAATCATAACTTTCAAACCACAGGGCAATTACTAAATAACAAATTGAAATTTGGTACAATGGTAATATTCAATTAAAAAACATATGTTGACCTGCACATGCTGATTTTAATTTGATTGTGTTATTGCTCTTGCATTGACATGTACCCCCTCAGTGCATTTTATTCAATTCAAAACTGTATAAAATGTCCTCTACAATAATCTACTTACGGATCATCAGCCGATGAGGCAATGAATATATATCTACCACCAAATTCACTGACAGGAGGTGCTTTTCTCTTTACTGGATATGGGATTACACTAAAATCAGCTGGTGGGGGTACAGGTGGTCCTTTTGGTCCCATACCTAGACCATCTAATACCTGAAATTTTTTTTTAGCACATTATTTAATGCAGAACATGCATCTTTTGTTATTAGAATACCATCTTGTTAATCCAGTTTCAATACCAGTGTTTATTTACAATAACACTCATAAAAAGTGAATCCTCTCTTAAACCCTTCCCTCTGAAAATCAAAGTCATGTACACTCGGATGATATTCAAGCTGAGTAAAAACTGAACATTCAGTGGTCATTCAACTTGTTATAAAACTAAATTAACTATCAACTCCAAAGAATGAGCACATATCATAAATATATCAATTTAATTAGATGAAAAGAAAACATGGGATCTAATCCTATTTATAACACATGGAAAAGTTTTGCATAAAAATACTCAATTTCATAATAAGAAATTCACAAGGCTACCAATACAATTGATAGAGGAAAAACATAAATTGTTCATACCTCCTCCATACTTGGGAATTTGCCACATCCAATAACTTTCTGGTAAATAGGTGTGGATTTGTCTGAACAGTCAACAACAATATGTGGAAGGCCTATCCCATCATCCTCTTTCTCTTCCACGACCATCTCTTGTTCTTGACCCCCTTCTTGTGCTGCAGCAGCCTAGACATATGACAAAGTAATTTTATAATGTGCTATCAAAATATATTTCAGTATTACAAGCATGAAGCCACACGAATCTTGTGACATTTTTCATTTCTGGATTAAATTCTAAATAGAATCTAGAACATATTTACTGTTTTTTCTTATTTAGTGTTTATATTATACAGATACAATTACTAACCTCTTTTGCTGCCTTCTCTTCATTTTCTTTCTGTAACTGTTTTTGTCTTTCTTTTTCTGCTTTGTCTTTATCATGCTTTTCTCCTAAAAAAGTTAAAAGAAAATTAAACTTAATAACTTGACAACAGAAGTAACAAGAATGTGTCCATAGTATACGGATGCCCCACTCGCACTATCATTTTCTATGTGCAGTGGACCGTGATACTGGTGTCAAAACTCTAATTTGGCATTAAAATTAGAAAGATCATATCATAGGGAACATGTGTACTAAATTTCAAGTTGATTGGACTTCAACTTCATCAAAAACTACCTTGACGAAAAACATTAAACTTAAGCCGGACAGACGGAAGAATGGACGAACGAACAGACGCACAGACCGAAAAACATAATGCCCCTCTACTATCATAGGTGGGGCATAAAAATATTTTTGTATTCACTTTTATATAAAAGAATTAATTCTTGCTCCACTGACTAAGATGCCAAATACTAGCGAAGTGATATCTAAAGCCAGTTTAAAACCATGATTAAAACAGAAGTTGAAAGGTCAAACTTTTAAATTAAAAGCTATCATAGAAGAAATCTACAGACTTTCGTCTTATGAAATGAAGTAAAACAAGACTTACCTTTCTTTCCCTTAGATTTGCCTGACTGTGGATGATGTTGTTGATCTTCCTCAGATTTTTCTGATGGAGTTGGAGGTCTCCTTAGTGACAAGGTTGTTCTGTCCCAGAATTCAAGCATCTCATTGATGTCCTTTTGACCATGCTCAAATGTACGGAATCTGAATGAAAAATAATAAATAACTAAATAATAGAACAGAATAATTCAGTTAAAATAATAATTTGATTTTTGATTTTTGGTGTTTTAACGCCACTTTAATTTAAGCACCGCTTTTGGACTATTTCGTGGCGCCCAGTTTTTATTGGTGGAGGAAGCTGGAGTGCCCTGAGAAAACCACCGACCATCGATAGGAAAACTGAAAATCCTGTCAATTAAGATTGGAGTCGAGTGCACCTAAAATAATAATAATTTATAATTATACCTTTAGTCTGTTGACTTTCGATTTTCTAATTAGTGTCAAGAGATTAATCATTTCGGACAACTTAAACTAGTCTTGCACTGTAAAAGTACATTCAATTTACTGTTAAACTCGCATCACTGATGATCTTTCTTCCTTTACAGTTAGACATTAACAGAAAACTCTATTTCCCCACACATCATCATTCAGAAAAGTTTTTACTATTGCTGAAATTTCTTTGAAAAAAAAATTATTTAAAGCTGTGAAAATAGTTTTGTGCTGATTATAGATTGGTAAACATTTGTTCCTTTACAAACCTCTGCATCAGAAGAATGTCAGATTCCTTTGGTAATTCTTTTGGTTGTTCTTCAGCTGAAACATCAACTTTCTCTTTGTCTCCTTTTTCTTTTCCATCTTTCTTACCATCCTTCTTTTTTCCTTTCCTACAATATTTAAAAAAAATTATACAAAGTAATTACGCTGAATAAAACAGAACATTTTTCCAAATTTCTTCAAAATATCATTGTTTTATTTATTAATTTCACTACTTTAGATTTAAATGGGTTTATCTTCTGTTTTTCCTATTTACTTATCTTGTGCTTTTGAAAATTACTTTGCTAAATTATGATAATGTGCTAATAATAGAAAACAAGAAGTTGAAAGCATTGTTGTGCTATGCACACTCCTATTTGAATTCAATGTATCTGAAATAGAATGTAGGTGTCTGACAAGATTCCAAACTGCTTACACTTTACAACACATCACTGTCAAGCTGATGACAAAATATAAAGAGTTGGGGTATAATATTGACCAAAGGCAGTAATTCTGTCTATTTTCCATCATCAACTTTGATGTACACAGTACTTACTTTCCATCATCAACATTAGAGTCACTCTTCTCTGTTTGATGTGATTCTGGCCTTTCTATTTGTGATGCCTGTTTACCAGCATGGTGGTCATCGTCTTTACCACCTTTACCTTTGGTGACACGGTCCATACTACTGTTCTTTCCAGCTGGCCCTGTAGGAGCTGCACTTTTCTTTCCATCTTGTTTACCTTCTTCTTTGGCTGGACCTTTCCTTCCTTTTTTCTTAGATCTACGGGAAAAGGTTGAAATTAATATTGAAATTATAGCTAATTTTACCTGTACTCTTACAGAATACTTGTTGCAGTTAATGCCAGTCATTTAATTTCCAACATGTTGTATAGTTTAATTCTGCTTTTGTAGAAACTAATTATTCTAAAAAATTGTTAGTTGTTGAAATTTAAATTTCTTAGTTGAAACAGCTCAATTCAGGTGAAATCAGACTAAATTTACCTTGAGTTCAGCAAGACTCTTTTAATTTTAATACTTAAGTTACGAGATTGTGTTCGATTTCATTTTACACACAAACGTCATGAAATAACGTCAGATATCTATGGAGTGATGGGATCAGTATAACATCGTCTGCATGAAAACATCAACATATGGATGATGTCACCTTACGGTAGGTTTTCATCAAGATAAAGAAGTCAAACTAAAACAGTGTGGTTGACTTTTTTAGGTGGAAATCTAATCAAATCATAACAATTGCTTAATTTTTCTGTGTAAAAATCTAGACATGTGCATAGAAAAATGTCACGTGATATGACTTTTTCAATCTCCACATTGAAACAACAACTATCCCGGAACTCTCTAATTGATAGAAATATGCATAATAGCTCAAGTAAGAACCTGAATAGGATTGACAGTCAGGATTTTTTTAATCAATTTGGAGAGAAATAACTGACAGTAATCTTAGGTATCAACAAATATTTGTCAAATGATGTTCATTTTTAATAACTTGATGTATGACAATATCCATCATTGTCTTATACAATTTATTTCAAATCAATTATCAAGTTATTTAATTTGAATTCCATTTTTTAAGCCTACTTTTCCTCATCCTGAATTCTTTTGAGTTCCTCTTCTCTTTCTCTTTCTATACGTTCTCTTTCCATTCTCTCTTCCATCTCTCTGAAAATTTCAAAGAAAATAATTAATACACCGTAATACATCCCCTACATGAATTATCAATTTATACACAAAAAAAAAAAGAAAAATGGCATTAAAAGAGCTATTTAACATGTTTAAAGTATAAACTTGATTTTAACATGTATCTAAACTTACAATAAACATCATTTTCATAATATTATCAAGAATATTTTCAACACATCTCATTTAATTCATAATGAGTAATGATATTTTTTTCTTAAAAAAGTATTTTTCTAATTACTGTTTTCATGCAAGAACATGAGAGCTATATCTATCCAATTTAAAAACAAACATACTTTCTTATCCTTTCTTTCTTAATATCCAGTCTCTTTCTGTCCACGGCAGCTTTCTCTTCTTCAGTGAGAGCATCATACTCATCTTCTGACATTTCCTCCAGACGAATACGATCCTGTTCCTCGGCAAGTCGTTTAGCTCTCTCTGTAAATATAGTAGGAAAAAGTAAACCTATTGAAAATTCAACAATGTAACACTTATTTTACAATGTGACACTTATTTTATAATCCATTAAGGAAATTGCTATTTGTTTGAAAATTACTAGACTGCAATTTTTAAATAAAAATTGATAATCTAAATCTCAGTATTTTTTTGTTACAGGAATATGTGATTACCTTAAGAAAGCTATAATTTCTACAAACAATTACCTTTTTCTTCCTGAAATTTCTTCTCTTGTTCTTTTAATTTGGCATAATCTAATTTCAGTGAAATAAAGTAAATAAATCTTCTATTGTTAAGTGATCTCAGAATAGCGTGAGCTGTGGTATACAGGTTCTGAGCAAACAAAGTCTCAAGTCCATCAAACACCACTCCACGGTGACAGTCATTGAGTTGGAGACGTTCAGATAGTATCTCTACTAACAGATCTTCTGGGAGCACACAGCTCATCAAGCCTTCTTCTCCAGCAACACTGGCACTTACACTTAATCTTCGAGCAATTGGGGCAGCAAGAGGTGGAGGGCTGCTAGGTACCTGTAACAAATTTAGATAAGACTTTCATCAAAATGAATATATTAACCTGTGAATGTAAGTGTTCCAGATTGACCAAATTTTAAAAAGCTGGCATATTCATGTTGCCTTAAAAACCACCCTTATGCCCCTTTTTTGCAAAAAAAAAAACTTTTGACAGGTTAAAAACATGTGTTGTGACCATCTTTTAATAGATTATAATCAAACACTAAGAATGAATTTTTAAAACACACCTATGTTCAACATGACATTGATAATAAAAAAAATATCATCCCATTAGCTTAGTCCCTGTAGTTCAATACACATGCGCTAAAATCAGAGAAATATCATTTGTTGGCATACCCCACACCCCCTCCCTACCCCCCAAACCTAAAATCCTGGATCCCCACCTGTATCAGGTAAAACATCTGTGGATGCATAATATCAAATTTTGATGATACAGATACCTTTAAATACATGGCCAGCTACTAGACATACAAAGTGTCTGTTTTTGGTATATATTTTGAAATCTGTTATTAAATCTGGCTTAGTGCAGAAAGTAATGAAATGATATGTATAAATACAAATATTTGCACATTATGCTTTATATTACTTCACTAATTTGTTCATGATATAATAAGGTCTTGAACTAAATTGTTCATTCAAACAAATTAGACATGTTGTTTTAAATAAGAAACTCAATTAAGATCCCTTACTCTCATCCTTTTACTTGCAAGTAAATTTTTGTCTCAGGGACTTCTCAATTTAATTTTAACTATTCTATATTATATAGATAAAAAAAGTATCAGAGGTTAGTTTTATGAGTTAATACCATATTCAATTTAAAAATAAAATATTCAAGGTGTTCAAATTTTGACTTATCTTTATTCAATTTAACAGGCAGTACAAAACTAATTGAGATTTTGAAAACTGAGGAATATATGAATTATCTCCCTTTTATAAATTAGGATATGATAAATAATAGACTTATGATTTAAATTATTGTATACAATGCAGAAGAATTTTAATTGAACTTGCTCATGCACCCTGTTCACATTATATTTCAACCAATGGTTCCCTGTGACCAAAATCAATTTACCTTAGCTAAACCGGGGAATCCTGCCAAAATAAATATATATTGGATCTGTATATTTTTTTTAATTTCATTGGGTCAATCAGGGGTCATATTATCTTTTTAATTATAAAAGCAATAATAAAACCATTATAAAACCAAAATCATGCAAACAACTAAAGTGGAAACATGCTGAAAATGAGATGCTACAATTCAAATTAAAAAGTAGATAAAAATGTATGCTATAAACCTGCTTTACAAAAAATAAATAATGCAAAAATGCAAACAAAATAGGCACAATACTAGGGTTTCAAATAAAAGTGGGGGAAAAATTAGATATTGCAAAAACTGCACACAAAAATTTCATTGATAAAAACTAAAATAATAATCTTATATCTTCTATAAAACACTTTGGAAACTATAGTCTAATAAGTATGAGATTTTTAAACATTATTTTGCTTCAGTTTTTTTCTTCTTCTTTAAATTACAAGAAAAAAGGTTAACAATAGTTTCCAAAATGTGACTCATATATGCTTCTACATTTCACACTTTGTACCTCCCCACGGCCTTTACTAGGCTTGGTACTGGGTTCTGTGGTTAAATGACTTCTACTTCCCATCTGATAATGAGGTTTAATAAACAATGGTTAAAATGATTTGACGGTAAAATGTCAAAAATAGATGTAAACTACAACTTTGGTCTGACATATTGGGAGAAGCATATCATGAAATAAAAAAAAATAATACCCTATGTTCATAAAAAGTTTATTAACACTTTAATAAATTAAAACTGACAGCATATCAGCCAGTAGAATTGTATGGTTATATTTTCTATGTTATAATATATAATATTATATGCCAGCGAAAACTCCAAGTATCATTTTGTACAAGTAGTTAATTTGATGATAAATAATTTTACTCCCCACAGTGAGGATTTTTTTTAAAATTTGAGATGTCAAACAAAAAAATATGAAGAAAATAAAAACTTTATGAACAGTGTATGTTACTAAATTTGCTTTCTGCAGTAATAGGATTGCAACAAACTTGAACCACAAAAAGGTACAGGTAAATGTTTGGTGTAGTAACATTGCAATTAAATGCATAACCTTATTAATCTTAACAATTCTTTAATCAGTTTTGCTAATAATTCTAGATGTCATACTTTTGAAATTTAAAGTCAAAAGAAATGGTATATTTATTATCTCCCCAGTATCTAAATATATGCTCAAAGGACAAAGGTATTCATTTTTGTCTTGCTATCAATAGAGTTTTGCTATTTTTCTTCACCAACCCAATTGTTTCCTATCATGGTACTAAATAAATGAGATGAATAATATTTGTTTGTTAATTTTATGTTACCTGACTTCCAGTTGCACCATCAATAGAAGAAGTGTTGATGCCAGTCTTTGCTCCAGCTAAGCTTCCCTGGTGGTGTTTATCCTTTCCTTTCACGTCTGAAACGGTACTTGTTTTACGATTGGAAATGACAGAAGTAGCCTGTGGGACTCCAATGCTACTGGCTATGGAAGGCAAGAGAAGACAACACAAGTGTTAAGTGAAGCAAGCTAACAAACTTTGTGAATGCATCTAGTGTTTCCCTTAGCAAAGGAAAGGGTACTTTAATCACTGTTTCAGAATTAAATAAATTCAACAAATTTCCAATCTTTATCAATAAAACAACTGATTTTTGTTAAAAAAATCAATTAACCTTTTGCTTTTTTGCCTTTGTGAGTATTTTGACTATAGTTGAAACCATATATATTATTCTGTACATGTTAACAAAAAGGGTGCTTGAATAAATGTAATTAGTTAAATCTTATTGTTTTGCAAAAAAGCAGAAACAAACAATCTTTCTAAGCAAGTTCGCAGAATAGCAAATTTTGAGAACAGGCAATAGAACAAGGTAAAATTGAAAATTGTAATTCTTTCGCTTCAAGTTTGGAAAACACTACGATACAATTAATCATGTGACGTAAATACAACAAAATAATACAAAATTAGTCATGTGACTATGATGAACTTATGATAATGATTCTGGTTTTGGTTAGATTGCTCTAGTTGGTAGTACAAGCTTTAATTGTCAGGAAACTTAAATTTACAGTCAATTTCTTTTTTTTTTGTATTAAAACTTAATTAAACATTCAAAAAATGAACTTAGAACTCATGCATAAAATATTCGATTAATTAATATGTAATGCCTTAACAAAATTAAAATTCAAAATAATAATAAATAAAAGAAAATTTTCTCCATTTACCTTTACGTTTCACTGAAAGTAGTTGGGTATTCAAAATCAAAACCATTAAAAATACCTTTTATAATGCTATCAGTAAAATAATAATAAAACTTATGTTTCCAATCAATGTTTAAGATACAGGTTGTTCAAATTCCCTTATTTCTACTGATTCCATATGGGAAAAAATATGAGGACCAGATGGTACAAAATTGAAATAATTTTTGAGGTACTTTTAGAAAATCAAAGGAAAAATGGGGTAGCTGATCTTTTCCCTCAATAGCAGAACGGGTTAATTTAAAGAAAATTTTTTAAAAATTTAAATCATAGAAACATTTCAGGAAACATCTATACCAACAGCAGTGAATCCAAGATGGATGCTAGAATTTTATTCCCCGTAACTACCATTTGTATGTAAGTAATTGGGGTTGATTAGTCAATTTGTTAAATATGTATTATAATTCTAATATTCAATCCTTTTAATAATTTTCCTCTTAGAGATCTCTGAAGTCAAATATCAAATCATGATATTTTAAAATAATACAATGATTTCTCGATAAAAAAATGTTTAATTATCAGACATAAATTAAGTGCACTGCATGCTATTATTCATTCATAATTATTAAGTGTTATAAAGTTTTATTCATATCTAAATGCTATGTCAGTTAAAACTGACCTGTTAATGACATCTATCATCAATTTCCAATATTTCATTTTCATAAATTACAATCTTAGTCTGTTTAACAACAAGGCCACATGCAAATACTTTTAATTAGCAATGCTCCAAACAGATAAAGAAAGCATACAAATAACTTTCACAAATTCTTTTTCTCAAATTATAATTAGTAGAATATTAAACAATTCACTCTGGTTAATATAAAGAAATTTACATGCATTTAGTAGCACAGGAGTCTTAGGGCTACGAATCTGCAAGACAGAAACTTATAAATCATTAGAAAATGTTTCAAAATTTTAGATTCCAAAAGAAACATCATGCCTTTGAGTATGAAAATGAAAAATGATAGTCATTTTATGTGATGTATATTTAAAAATAAAATGTATGCAGAATGACAGTTCTGTAATGCTCTATTTTAAGGTTTGATTTTATCTAAAATAAATATATCACTATGAAGCATCATAAAATGCACTTTATTTGCCAATAATCTGCAATTCTTCTCTCTCAGTAATGAAATAAATAAATTCAAATTCAAATTACTTGATAAAGAATTAACATTTGTTTTCCAACTATTATCACCTATCTCTATTCAGTCTTCTAACCAATTTTATTTTATTGTATATTTATACATACTTGTTCCCTGTGTGTGAGCTGTTAGTTGCTCAATGCTAAGTCCACCTGGTTTCTTTTCAGCTTCATCTCCTTCTAATAGTTTAAGCTCCTCAAGCCTCTTCCTGGCTGCCTCCTGACAAAGAGCACGAGCCCTCATACCAGATGGTGTATTTCCACTGGATATAGCATCTACAACTATCTGATCTACTGTTAAAATGGCAGCTTCATATTTCTTCGCCAGTGAAATAGCTGTACTAGTTTTTCCTACAATAAAATACAGTTAAATGTTTAAATTGAAATGGTATAGGAAAAAACTCCATCTTTGAATCTTATCTAGCAATGATTTGTGTAGCATCAGATTTTTATAGTTTTATTGTAGATATTCATTTTTAATGATTTTATGTGTTTTCGATTAGTAATCTTTTTTTTTCCTGATTTTGCAAGCACTTCTTGAAAATTACATGTGCTCTTTCAGATATATTTTGATTATACAAATAGTAATTCTATATAAGTGTATTAATATATGTAAATACTAATGACATATGCTTACCTGACATAGGAGCTCCATGTACAATGACACAAATACCCCTTCTGTTGCGAGCAGCTTTCCCCTCAGGACTCAGATCAATACCCAGATGTCTAGCAATGGCAGCTGATACAGGTGTTATTTCTAGTTCTCCTACACCTATACTGCTAGCTGAGTCTTGTGCTGAAAATTCAAGTATCAGTTAGTTTTATATACTGTGGATTCATTATTATTCATTGGATACCAATTTTCATTGATTTCGTGGGTATAGGTAAACCACGAAATTAAATGTTCAACGAATGACAAATTTCCCACAGGCTTGTATGCAGACTTCGGCAAAACCACGAAATTAAATATCCACGAACATGCAAGTTTTCCTTAATCCACGAAAATTGGTACCCACGAAAATAAATGAATCCACAGTATGCAAGTATTTCAAAATAATTTAAACTTATTCTATTTTGAATAAATCTTTTATTTTTATTTAATTGTGTATGTGTATGTTTTTTTCTTTTTATTTAGTTTGTAATGTTGCAGTAAAACACAGAAAAATAACCATTCATATAACAGTTATAAAAATTATACATACATAAATATAAATAAATATATAATTCATAACAAGTTTATTTCTACATTAGAAGAAAAACATTAGAAACAGCAACTTTTTCATTGAGGAATCTAATGTGTCAACATCATATTTCTAGCTTGATACCTACAGGTACTAAATAACAAAAGATATCGATTACACTGGAATAATTGCATCATATGCAAACAAGACTGATATAAAAATTAGGAACTGTGAGTTCTTTTGTCTAAAAAGTAATACCTTCATCACTTTCTTCTTTCCTGGCTGAATCTAAAAGATCTCCCGCTGGTTCTGATCCAAGACGTGATGTACCAGGAGCAGCCTCTGTCCTCTCATCAGAATCATCTTTATCATCACCCTCGCTACCTTCTCCTGTAAATAAACATTGATTTAACAAGACTGGTTTAGCTCTTTTATTGTATTTGTAAACTCACAGTAACGACATAAAGATTTTTAACAACAGATGTCTTTTATATTCTATTTCATTGTGTTGTTCGGTTGCTGTTTTATTGTCAAATTCCCACAAATTGATGTTTGCCCAACAACTCCTTATAGTTATAATTAAATAATACTTCAAATAAGAATTCATATTATTTTACATCTTAACAAAAATCAAGGTATCATAGAAAATCACATTTCTTTCATTCTGAGTTTGGAAAACACTACAATACAATTAATCATGTGACGTTTATACTACAAAATAATACAAAATTAGTCATGTGACTATGATGAACTTAGGTTAATGATTTTGGTTTTGGCTAAGATTGTTTTAGTTGGCAGTACAAGCTTTAAGTGTCAGGTACTTATATTTACAGTCTATTTCTTTTTTTAGTATTAAAACTTAGTTCAATATTCAAGAAATGAACTTAGAACTCAGGCATAAAATATTCAATTAATGAAATTCCAATGCCTGTAACAAAATTTAACATTAAAATAATAACAAATATAAGAAAATATTCTCCATTTACCTTTACTTGAAAGTGGTTGGGGATTAAAAATAAACCAATAGGAATATATAAAATATGGTTACAATGTACATGTACCTTTCATAATGCTATCAGTAAAATTATAATAAAACTTATATGTTTCCAATTATGTTTAAGCTACTAGTTGTGCAAAATTCCCTTATTTTCTACTGATATTCCATATGGAGAGAACACAATTATGTAAAAAGTATGAGGGCCAGATCATACAATTTTGAAATAATTGAGGTAGCTTTAAGAAAATCAGGAAGAAAAAAAAAACAAAAAAAAAACTGATCTTTCCTGCTCAACAGCAGAATGGGTAAAAATAAAAAATCTAAAAAAAAAATTAAGCCATAGAAACATGTCTTTACTATAAACTTTACATTATCAAAATTTTTAAAATATTACCATCATCCAGTTCCTTACGAGCAGCTTCAGCAGCCTCTAGAGCCTCTTTTCTGGCACGTTCTGACTCCTCAAGCTTCTTCATTTGTTCTACAAAAGCACAATTTATTTATTTACACTGACAGATTCCAAAATTTTAATCAAGAGTTAGATATCTATTCAAAAAGTATTTCACTATCTCAACATGTGTATTTGAACTTATAAACTTCAAACAAATTTTAATTCTGAAAAAAATTACAGCAATAGTTAAAGGTTATAATAAATATAAATATATATACATGTAAAATAACAACCCATTTTTTCCAAAAAAGTGCGAAATCATATAGCTTACCATCATAATAATCTAGAAGTTCATGTGGAAGCCTATCTCCTGAATTTCTTGGAGGAAGTAAGATTGTGTTGTATTCATCATAACCTTTCATTAACCTCAAAACCTGAATAAAAAAAAAATTAATTCTTTATACAGAAAACATCATTTTTGAAACAATTCATTACAATTTCCATAGCAAATGAAACAGGTTACCTTTAAATGAGATGTTTAAACAATATAACAACTCCTAAATCCTAAATCAAAATGATAACACTATTTTCAAATCACTATCAACTAAAATTAGGATGTTACTGGTCTCCTAAAAAAATGAGGTAAAGGATGTATGGTACCAGTTTCTAGTGCCAAATGTTGAACTGAAATAATTGAAACTAGCCTCTCCTTATTTCTCACATACAATCAGACATTGGTAAAGAGCTTTGACCATTTTTTTTTAAAAAGGTAGAGTTGCAGTAACAAATTATAATATTAAATGAGTACTGTTTAAAGGAAAATGACAGAATAATTACCTTTTCTTCTTCCAAATACTGTGAATCAAACTCCAAGTTATAGAATTCAATTGGATAACTACAAGGATTCTTTATTGTGATTTCTTGTTCATCTCCAACACTGTGTGGTAGAATGGGACCAAATTCTACCAGACTTTTTTCAAACTCTAACCTTGGCTCAAGTCCCTGACCTCTACACAACAATAGTATTCTCTGACTACTTTGGGCAATTCTTATCGGTATTCTTTGTTCATAGAATTTCTATAAAGAAAAAAGGAATTATATTGCCATATTAGTAAAAAAAAAAATACATGAATCATGTATAAATCTGACTTTGCAATATTTTTTTAAAGTTAAAAATTGTGAATGAAACTTCACAGTAACACTAAAACCTAACACAGAATAAATAGTCTATCCTATTACAACCCAGGATTAGTGAGTACAAACACAGAATAAATAGTCTATCCTATTACAACCCAGGATTAGTGAGTACAAACACAGAATAAATAGTCTATCCTATTACAACCCAGGATTAGTGAAAACATCATGAACAAAAGGAAATCATACAGTTACGAGCGTGTGAAAAAAGTAAAGGAAAAATATTGGGGTAACATTTTCTTTGGTGCCCACAATATCGTTTTTTTATTGTTCACATTTAAGGAATGACTGTAATATTTTTTCTGTCTATGAAGAAATAACATAAATAATATGGTGCACACTGAATAACCCGCATAGCGGGTTATTTAAAAGTGTGCACCACATTTTTTATGTTATTTCGAATAGACAGAAAAAATATTAAAGTCATTTCTTATAATTTAATTCTAAAAAGGAGTAAATCATGATAAAAACGTTGATGACGTCGCGGTCACATGACAAAATTATGTCTATCAGCTGATAGACAAAACACTTCCAGCTAATCAGAAGACGTGTTACATCCAAAATTAAATTATTATTAAATAGAAAATTTAGACACTTTCTGTTTTTAATTTTATTGGTTGTTTCTTAGGCAATAATCTTGATTCTAACATTTTGGTCCAATGAGAGCATTGCTATGAAAATGCATAGAACTGTTCATATTAGGTATCATTATAATTTAACTGTGATAAAACTTAATTTGACATACCTCTTCAGTAGGCATAAATTTAACTTGTACATTTAGCCTTTGACCTGGCATCAGTACACCAGTAGGAGGCATTATCTCAAAATGTCTGGGTTTCTGTTTCTCATTCTTCATCTTTCTCCTTAAATGCATCGGGACATGTTTGTCAGCCTGCAAAATATGACAACCTTTTTATATGATGATTGATATTATAAGTATACATTGTCACAGAATGACATAATGACTTTAAATATTTCAATTCTTAGGTTTGATATAACAAGGTACAACTGTATAAGTTGTATAAGTTTACACTAATGTATATTATTATCCTAATTTGAAGGAAAAAATCATATTTAGCATCAAATTTTTGCATGCAAATCAGATGATTCCAGATGATAAAACTGAAAAAAAAATAGCAGTTACAATGAAAATAACAGTTGCTATGAAAATTCTAACCAGTAACCAGTACAAACAATCTAGATATTAACCTTTCTGTCTTTCTCTGTTGGATTAGAGTTCCATTCACATTTGACATGTTGACTGTTGTACAGCTGTACAGTAATGACTTTACATTCCCCACAGTTAACATCTGAGAAGTCTAAAGTATCCTCAGAAATCTCCATATCTGGCATGGTAACATTGGCCTTTAGTCTGATTGGAATGATGGGGCCATTGATAATCTGAAAAAGATCATTACAAATAAAAGCAGGTTGTAAATGAAAGTAGAATTTCTCTTTAGATTGGCATGTAATTTATTGCAAGTGAAATCACTATTCAAAAGTTTAAATATAATGCAATTCACTTACATCTGCTGTTTTATTTTATTTTCCTTTTTAATTAAAGGGGTTGTATAATTTCAAACATGCAGCCAAGAATAAGGAGCAAAAGATAAATTTATATTTGTTACCTATGACAAATACATCAAAACAGCTCATTGGTATTACGGAATTATCATGTGATAGCTCTAAATGTAAAGGCCTAATAATGTCTGACTTATCCATGAACAGATTGACAAAATCCAATATTCATTGATATTTTTTTTTATCTGACAAGTGCCATGAAAACAGGTAAAGTCATCTGAATACTTACATTAATATTGACAACAGTTTCTACAGAACCCAGGGACAAGTTAGCACCACGTGGGTCAAAGTTGACATTGAATACAACTGTCTCATGGTCAGGTGCTCCTGGTAGGTTCTTTACTTTATCTAACTCTACATGGAAACCATAGTGATGAATGTCATCATGTTCGACTTGGAATGAGACTGGTGACCATCCAGTGTTAGAGGCCTTTACAATATGGTCCTTTACTGTTCCCAGAACCACATATCCAAAGTCCAAAACATACTCTGGTAGTCTAGGTCTGTAAAATAAATAAGTATACTTACAGTTTTTGACACAAAAATTTTATAAATTTCTAAATAAGTATTATGTTTTAATACTACATTCAATTTTCTTTTTTCTATATATATATATAGAGAAATTTTTTAGTATCACTCTTATTGATATAAACTTAGTAAAAGAAGTTGTAAGCAATGTTGTGCAAAGTATATCGCCCAATCATTATAAGACATTGCCAAAAAATTCTATGCTCTGTGGGTATAATACATAATATCTTAAAGTATCATCAAATAGGGAGTAACACTCTAGCAGATTTGAAAATTGTTTATCATACTACTCAACTTTATTAATGCACACACTTAATATCAAATCATTCCTTAATACAGAGGCTAAGTAATATGAAAAGAAATTCATTATCAAAGGTTGGAACGAACAAATAAATGAACAAACAAATAAACAAAAAGACAGGTAAACAAACGAAAAGATAATTGCAATATACCACCAACCCTGTCAGTATACCACCAACCCTGTCAATATACCACCAACCCTGTCAATATACCACCAACCCTGTCAATATACCACCAACCCTGTCAATATACCACCAACCCTGTCAATATACCACCAACCCTGTCAATATACCACCAACCCTGTCAGTATACCACCAACCCTGTCAATATACCACCAACCCTGTCAATATACCACCAACCCTGTCAGTATACCACCAACCCTGTCAATATACCACCAACCCTGTCAATATACCACCAACCCTGTCAATATACCACCAACCCTGTCAATATACCACCAACCCTGTCAGTATACCACCAACCCTGTCAATATACCACCAACCCTGTCAATATACCACCAACCCTGTCAATATACCACCAACCCTGTCAGTAAGGTATACAACCATAATAAAGAGCAAATAGTTTGGACTCGAGACTTAATCTAAAACCAGGACAATAAGAACTCACTTCATTTTTTTCTTTTTGGGTTTATGTTCAGTCTGTGTATCCCTAGTTTCGTTACTGTCTGGAGGTGCTGGATCATACAGATCTGGTCGTGATGTATGTTGAGAAAGCTCATGGGAGAATTCTTTGACAGTGAGGTTCTCTACTTCCATTTGTATATCTATCTCATGTGGTTGAGCAATAATGTCTCCCTGTAATATGAACCGAAAAGTGCAAGTTACATAAAATAATTAAGGCAAAATTACTATTGAAATGTGAACATATATATAGGAATATTTTTTTTAAAATACATGCATTTAAATAATTTCCTTCTTCTTTAATTTGTTTTGTTTAAAAGCTAGAAATAGAAATAATAAGGTTCCGGGTCATCAGTTATCTTCAAACATATATAATTTAATATAAGTCTGGCCTTATTAAATTGGATAATTCTTTGTACCACTACTTAATGTGGTACTTGTGAATAAGAGATTTACAGATTTAAAGTTCCCTAATAAATTAATAAAAACATGTGCTGGTTATTTCGCTTTACCTGAGCCATTATTTCTGGCTGTAATCTATTGGAAGAAGGCAGAACTGGTGTATGGGCCCTCTCTGTAAGTTTGATCTTCCCACTCTTAGTCAGGTTATCCTTGGCATTTTGTACTAATTGATCATAGTGTCCTTCCGAGTCCACAGTACGAGGTAGATCAAGTGATATCCTGGGGAATACTCCAGTACCACTAATAGTGATCACATCTGGTTCAAAGTGAGCCACTTGGATGACAAAACTTTTCTTAAAGTCCTCTGGTGCACCAGGTAAGTATTTAACAACCAAAGTCTGTTCACTCATTGGTTCAATATAACCCTAAAATAAATTCATACAAATTTCTGTCAAGCGGTTCAGGAGTAGTTGCGAATATAAAAGGATGAACAGATCAACACATTTCTCCATCACCATGTACCACCTGCATCATAAAGCTAGGGATATATTAATTTTGTTCACTTATTGGTACAGTATAACTTTAAAAAAGTTAAAATAATTTTCAAAACTATGAAATATATGGTTGCTGACTGATTGATGTTTAATGCACATCTACTTTTATTCATGTAAGAAATAATCCTAAATAAAGTTTATGCTGTAAGAGATTTTTTCAATTAATAAGTTTAATGAAAATGAAATATAATGTGTTTAAAAATAACTTACGGCATGTGGTACCATAATAGGTGATCCTGGCTTGGGTTTCTTAGCTAGAGCAGGATCCATACCAATGCCACAGAAATCAAAACCAACTTTTCCAGTGTTTATAAGTTTAATTTCTGCTGATGCCACATGATCATACATCTGTTTACCAAAGTCAATCTCTTTACAATCAAACTTGTAATCTACCAGAGAAGCCTCTCCTGTCAGCATGATTTCATAGGTTGGGCCTCCTTTAATTTCACAAATGGCCTTCACTTGACCCCAGATATTTGCATGTCCATAAAAGGTCATGGTTACTTGTTCTGTGTCACCGGGTTGTAAGTACCCATATAGGGGCAAAATGTCAAAGACCTGAAAGTTTTCAATAACATAACAATTACATGTATAAAACCACACATTTCTACATTGAACTTTAAAAAAAGTGTAAAAAGCATGCTTTTAAAGATAACTGGTGGCCTTATTATTGTTCAACAAAAGTAGTTATGAAAAAAATAACTCCTTATTACATAGAAATCAATTTGACAAAACGCTAAAAAATTAATGTATATATATTATTTCTCCTATCTTACTCACAGCATTTAATAACAGTGTAGGGCTGTAAATATATCTATTTGTATTCTTATTTATATTATTATATCTTTTCTACTGTCTTTTAAATAAAACAATTTACTGTGGAGTCATTGCTATTTGTAAGGTTATCAGAGGTAAACTGAAAATTTGGTTTTCAACAAAGCATAAGTTTCTACTGGTGTGTTAGTAGACTTAAGTAAAACCAGGAAACCAAATATATCCATGAAAAACATATTTTTTTCTTAATCCAGGAAAATCGATACCCACTTAATTAAATGAACCCACAGTAAAAGTGACATCACTCTTTTGTCATGGATTAGATATTATAATGTATTTGATTGCATTAGATTTAATAATGTATTTGATAGCATTATCTACCTCTTCAATCCCAATTTCCTCTGCTGAGTCTGTATCTTCAAGAAGCTGACTTAAAGCTCTGTTTGTCTTCAATGGATCTTCTTCATATACAATGTCCCTCAAAGATGCTAGACTTAACATTGTATCTTCAGTTTTATTTTTGTCTAGTCCTCCCTCTGGTGCCTCTTGGGATTCCAATTGTCCCTTTTCTAACTGGTCCTCATCCTCCCTGGGACTACCACCATGTTGACTACCCCTAGGACTATCTGGGGCCATTCTGTTATCGCTGATGTCATCTTGGGTTTCAGGTTCTTTAATTATTTCTTGTTCACCTTGAACTGGTTCCTCTGTTTCTTTTGGAGTTTCTTCCTCCTAAAATTATCAACAATGATCAAAACAATATGTAAGCAAGACTAATATTTACTCAATGGTGGATGTAGAAGTAGTGTTAGTACAGCTTCTGCACTATCATAAATTTAGACAAATTGAGCAAATATGGTAAATTAGAGAAATTATCATCCATCATCTCTGAATATAAAGATTGCTACACATTTCATACATTCTCTAATAAAATGCTACAGCTTAAATGTGCTTGTTGATGATGAAATTCAGGTAAAAAAGAGCATATACTCCAAATGTTCAATGAATTGGTGTTAAAAATTAACTGTTAGTTTTCCTGATTTTTTTTAATGTTTATCGATTTTTTTTTTGGGGGGGGGGGGGAGGGGGAGGGATAATTTTATCTTAATAATAAAAATAATTGTAATGAGATTACCTTTGTAGATTCCACTTCTGACTTTTCATCAACATTCAGTTGCTCTTCAGTAGGCTGTGACACCAAAACTTCAATCTTAGCCTCACCTTCACCCCCGGCTTCCTCTTCCTCTTTAATCTCTTCCAAAAATGTGGTAGGTTTAGCTGGTGCTCTGAACTCTGTTAGAGGCTGGTCTCCAATCAAAAAGGACCATTTGTAGTGGACCTCCATTGGACTGTTATTGGTAATGTTAATGTATCTAGTCACTTCTGTGTCATTCAAAATACAGCCAAAGTCTACAACACTCTTCTCAAAGTCTATATTTGGAAAGTAGACTTCACCTCTCAGTGCAATATAATCCTACAAGAAAAAGAAAACAAAGTTTAAGTAATGTCATTTAAAGTCATTTAAAGTTTTAATAGATAAGATTTAGCAATCTTAAAATTTGAAGTTGTGGCTTATGAAAGAAGTAACCTATATAAAGTCAAATCAAACTGCAGATCATTTTTAAATTGAATAATGTAAAATTAATTATCTAAGATATCACGAAACCTATCTCATAAATTTTATCATTATAAGCATTCTTTTTCCACTCCTTTATTCAGTTTTTTCTATTACAGTTGGTTTTGTCTTGTTCTAAACTTATCTTTTTGACTGAAATAAGACCCATAAACATAACTGCATTATTACACTAAAAATACTTTTCATTGAAAAATTGTTCAGATAACTTGATGGTGATATTTAAATTCAATAATTGAAACTTTCAAGCTTATTACTAATTGAAAACAGCTAAAGAATTATCTTACAATATGAGGATGTTCTTTATAAGTAACATGTAAAATTTCATCAATAGTTCTGATATGTAAATCCTCTTTATAGGCAGGGTCAAACTGTATCCTTAACATGTAATCCTTCCCAACATCCAAGTGTACTTCCTGTAAAAACAAAGCAAAAATAAAAACTCGGAACAAAAGGAAATGTGGGGTATAATATCATTGAGACAGCAACACAGCAACACAAGAAAAGAAACAACATCTAGAGGTCAATACACAATCTTAAATAATTGACAGGTCTTAAAAATAGCAATTAAATGATTCCTAAATAGTATTAGTAGCATTAAAGCTTATTTGGTTCAGGACATTGCACATGTCACATATATGATCAACTTGTAGAAAAAGTTCTTACAAGCTTGGAAACATTCAATCTATCCCCACAATTGCCAAAAAACATTTATTTCACCAAACATAAAGATATGAAAATTATTTAAAATTACCAATAGCAGAGTATTTCCACTTGACTGATTATAGTTTGACATCTATTAGATTTTTATAAATGTAATTACTGAAATAAAATTATCAATGAAAGAATTGAATAACAGTACACCAATACATATGTGTTCAGAAATTGAAGGCTGGGTAAATACAGATTGTGTAATTCAAAAGGAGTTATCACCAATACTAACCATTTCAGAAGTTTCTGACCCATCATCTTGTATAATCTGGAAGGGATATTTTAATTGAAGACCAGTTGTAAGTGGTAATGTTGATACATTCATTATCTTCAGTTCTCTGGTCTGTAGGGACAACTCATCATCTGGTTTCTATAAATAAATAAACATATGTCAAGAATGAAAGTTTGTGGATACAACAAAAAACTATTACATTAATACATCTCTTATTATCTATATATCAAATTTCTTCTGTAAGTGCTATAAAATGTGTGGCTGTTGTTTGGATAATTCCAGTGGTAAATATTCCATGCATGATAAGGGCAATAAAGTGCAAAAAAGTGACAGACCAATTCAAAGTCAGTCAACAGTACCTGTAGATCATACTGATATACAGTTCTTATGTCATACATAAAAAGAATCACAGATATCACCAAAAATATTGGACCACACACCAGGCCACACCAACCATTACAGTTCTTCTATAAAAGCATGCAAAGCAAACCTTTGATCAATTTGATTGCTATGTTTGCTTGGATGTTTGCAAACAATAGGTAGGTGGAGTTTCAGTCTGTTTTGTATATACTGGAATTTGATTAGACAATAAAAATTGACATGCAATGAAGTTAATGTTTATTGTCCAATCAAATTCCAGTATATAGTAAACAGACTCAAACAGACTACCCACCTTTTGTTTACAAATATCCAAACAAACATAGCAAGCAAGTTGATCAAAGGTTTGCTTTGCATGCTTTTATAGAAGATCTGTAATGCCTGACTCCTTATATGTATATCTCATATGTATTATTGGAATCAAATATTAGCTAAATAGTTTTTGCATCTACATTAAAACAAATATTAATATCTAACTCTGATAAATCCAAAATGGCAGTTATACCTTGTCAACCCTGAAGTAGACAGATTTTGTAGAGAATTCTAACAGAGGGCTGATGAAGTCAGCAGATAGGTCTACTCTCATGATCAGTTCCTTTCCTCCTTGTCTACCTATGATAGCATGACATAGTAGTCTCTCTTTAACATACCGGGGACTGCAAAACAATTATTTTGTCAATATCAATCAATTACAATGTCTGTGCATAAAACAAAAAAATATCTTTAAGGAAATAAGTAGTTAAATACATATAGTTTGCTATAAAATACGGTTTTCTTCATGAAATTATCCTGTAATTTTACAAATTTATACACAATCATGAATTTACAAATTGTTTGGACAATCATTGCACTTTCCCATATTAAAGTGAATAATGCATTTAGTTATAATTATGCCAATTAATCCAAACTGATACTCTATATAGCAAAAAGCTTTATTACTCATAATAATTTTCAAAATTATATATTTATTCCTTTGGCTATCATAAACACTCACCTTTCAACAAATCCTTCAATGTTCATTTCCATAGATGTTCCTGGTGGGAGATCAAATCTGTTAGGATTTATTTTAAATACTGGTCTGGGAGGTTCTTGGGGAGGAGGTACATTCTGCAAACAAACAAAAATTGTAACCACAAGTTGAATTAAACTATGATAACAACAATCTTGTATATTATAGAATTATTGTATTAATTTTGTCTAAAAATGATTATTTTGTCATAAATCTATGAATTCAAATCCGACATGTCATTCCAGTTCTGTTGTACTAATACATGTATCCTCCATTTCAAAACTAGAATTATATCTTTGCTAATAATGTTCAACCATTGACAATTATTTGTGTATTTCCTAAGAAAAACTAAGTGTAACAATATATAACAAATACAGTCTAAATAAAACTTCAACATATTTTTTAATTTTTTGTTAAGCTATTTCCAGTTTCATATAGAACTAACTTACCCTAAATTTCATGTCGAGAGGTTTGTAAGCTGCTAGATCTTTCTTGCCCTTGCCAAGAGATGGAAATCCATCTGTACTCCAAACTAATTGTTGGTGTCGTCTCCCTTTGTTTGTCAACATAATTGTCTTCTTCAATGGTCTGTTACTGTAAAACATAATCCTCAAAATCATTTTTTATTGATTTCCATCAAAAATACTAATTTTGAGTATTTTATAATCTCTATATTCAAAATAATTAAAAGTTTACCATAAATAAAGAATAAAAAAATGCTGACAAAGAAAAGCAAAATGGCAGGTTCCATATGCCAATTAGCACTTACCTAAAGTTTGGTCCTAAGTCAAATGTTGATGTCAGTTTTGGTTCTGATACAATAGTTGTTCCCTGTCCATAACCAACCAGAGGTATTTGTCGTACTTGGCTCTCAATGAAATTTATTTGTAGTTTATCTTGGAATCTAAAAAAAAAATCTTGTTAGGTCATAAATTACATATAGGGTAGTTACATTTTAATTTGATCTGTTTTGTAGAACAGTAGCAATATTTTCAGTCTTACTTTTGTTTTAAGATATAAATTCTTAGAAAACTAGTAAAACATCAAGTGATCCTGTTTTTGAATAGTTCCTATTTCGGAGAAAAAGTTTGAAAATCTTCAGAAGCCAAAAAACACTATGTTTCTTTTTATTTCATTTATATACATTTGTACTCTTAAATAATTTGGAGAAGATAAATACGTGCTCTTTTGATACAGCAAAAAACATTGAAAGCTTATTCTTACTTTTCTTGGTAATTGGTCAATTTAAGATTTAAAATGAGCTATCTAAAATTATTGCTACTTCTTGAAATTAAGAATCTCTGAGCATGCCAGGGGAAACAGTTTGAATTAGTCAAAATAACTGGAGTTCCATATGAGCAATTTCATTTTTTTTTCATAGCTCTCGACAGAATTTAAATTGAACTAACCAGTAGCATGATGTAGGTATCTAGAATATAAATGCTTTAAAAAATACATATCGTCAAGTTTGTAACATAATGTGCACTAATTACCTGACACAATCATCCAAGTTAGCAGTGACAGTAATCTCCATTCTTTTCTCTGGTCCAATTTCACCTTCTTGGGGTTCAACACGGAAAGCAGATTTTGGTCGGACCATATGTGCTGTAAACTTGGCAGGAATGAGCGATTCATTAGATAAAACAACTTTCATAGGTCTTTCTGAAAGAACAGGAACAATTCCCCAGTCTATACTCTGCGGTGAGATATGAACTACGGGTCCTTCACCAATGCAAGCTATATGTACAGGCTGTAAAGAAAACATATAATGTTATCTTTTTTTTTTCATTCAGAGCAAAGACTAACATTCTACATCAAATGTTAAAACTGCATTATAAAACACTAATTATATTTGAATGTAACAAAATCGTGACTAAATGAGAATATGGAATCCAAGAAACACGATTTGAGTTGTTACCATTATTTCCATGACTGATCATTGAACTTTTCATCAACGCTTTTCTTTAATACAAAAATGGCATTTATTTACTTAAACAGACAAAATGATATTACCATTATCAAAACTTTTTATCAGGTAAAAGATGCTGTTACTCACCAGTGGTGGATCAGGACTACCAAATATGGCAAACTGTCCTATAATATCCTGTTCATCTAACATCTGGGATTGGATTATCATGGGTACTTCAGTCAGAGAATGGGGTTCTACTATACCCTAAAATGATAAAAACTATTATTAGAAACATGTCAATGAAACTCAAACTTTAATTTGTCTTGCATAGATGTGTTTTTCTATGAGTCTTGATATCATTCATGTCTTCTTAATCATGAGTATAGCATTTTCATTTCCTTTTAAATAAAGACAAAATACAATTAATAAATGTAAACACTTTAAAGTGCACACATAACATAACTTTTGGACATAATATTACTTATACTTCATTAAAATCATAAGAAATTCATAGTAGCTCATGTTGTACAGTGATAATTATACCCTATGGGTGGTGCTCCACAATTAATGGAGGAATATACAAGAAACTGAACTGAACAGTGTGAGGTTCATTAAGTGTCATTATTCAATACAAACCTTCATTTTAGGACTGGTGTATGTAATAGGAGTATCTTCATTCACAGCTTGGGTTAAAAGTTCATATTTCGCAGGTAAATCCGTGTCATTATGAAGCTTAACAGAATGTTCATATGGATGTCTTAGGAAACATCGCCCATAGTCTAATATTGGACTCAATACTGTTATTGGTGGGACAACACACCTACAATGTAAATTATTATATCATAGTAGCATGAACTTAATCACTGTGGGTTTCTTATTCAAAGTAAGACCAAACTGTTCAATTATCAATAGTTTTATGATTGAAAATAATGTTTAAATTTAGTGTAAATTTACTAATATTCTCCATCTGATTAATAGGATAATTGTAAAAGTACAGTTGTAAAATATTCTTTAAAATACCAACATTTTATATAAAATATATATATATAAGAAAACAGATATCTCATAGAAAATGTACATACTTTGCATAAATTGGCAGTGAAAGGATTTCCTCTCCAACATTTTCAACATCAACAACTAAGTTCATTTCATATTTCTTGATTGTGTTTGAGATAAAGTTAACAGTGATTCTGACTTCACTTTGGGGCTGAAGTATTCCAGATTCTGGCAGTATTTCAAATTCCTTTGGCGGTCCAGCTCTGGCTGCAATAGGGGCGGGAGATCCCATTTGGGATCTGTTGCTATCTAAATCACTTGTCCCACAAATGCTCTCTGCTATGCCATCCCCTGGTACTCGTAATGTAAACTTCATAGGAACCAATGATGTGTTCATTAAGGTACAGGACTGTGTGTTTAAGAAACCTACAATTTATATAACAATGATTTTCTTGTATAAAGCATACTATAAATTTATAGCAAACAAAGCATTGCAGGCACTTTGTGGGTTGTTGCATAAATATAAACATGGAAATTTTCGCTCAGGTTATTTAAGCTTATTTCATGATCAAGTTAAATCTGTGAAAATATATCCGGTGTAAATAGCTTGTAGAAAGCAGAAACAATGGTGTGAAGTGAAATTATATCTGTTGCATGAATTTTACACCTGAGGAAATATCAAGCCTTGGAAATATCTACGTTTATAGTTTTTGGTTATCTTATGATAAAAGCAATTTAAAGAATAGACCAAATGAAAAATGGTAGTGTTTCAAATGAAAGTCATTATTTCACACTTTGCTTATTTGAAACATCATTTATGAGGATGCTGAGACTGGGAAACAGATTTTATGACAACAAAAGCTGATTTCTGATGAGGGTCATTAAAATTTTAAAAATTATAGACTGAGATGGAATCACAGCCTTCTCAATAAATTAAAACATGTATTACAAATATTAAGCAGGTATATTTTCATTTACACAGAATAAACTATCATCTGATTTTATTTTCAATCTTAAATTAAACTAGAGGCTCTAAAGAGCCTGTGTCGCTCACCTTGGTCTATGTGCATATTAAACAAAGGACACAGATGGATTCATGACAAAATTGTGTTTTGGTGATGGTGATATGTTTGTAGATCTTACTTTACTGAACATTCTTGCTCCTTACTATTATCTCTATCTATAATGAACTTGGCCCGGTAGTTACAGTGGAAAATACTTTGTAAAAATTTACAAAAATTTACAAATTTTATGAAAATTGTAAAAAATTGACTATAAAGGGCAATAACTCCTTAAGGGGTCAATTGACAATTTTGGTCATGTTGCCTTATTTGTAGATCTAACTTTGCTGTACATTATTGCTGTTTACAGTTTATCTCTATCTATAATAATATTCAAGATAATAACCAAAAGCTGCAAAATTTTCTTAAAAATTTACCAATTCAGGGGCAGCAACCCAACAATGTGTTGCCTGATTGGTCTGAAAATTTCAGGGCAGATAGATCATGACCTAATGAACAATTTTAACCTATCAGATTTGCTCTTAATGCTTTAGTTTCAGAGATATAAGCCAAAAACTGCATTTTACCCTATGTACTATTTTTTAGCCATGTCCACCATCTTGGTTCGCGGGCTGGGTCATCGGACACATTTTTTAAACTAGATACCCTAATGATGATTGTGGACAAGTTTAGTTAAATTTGTCTTAGTAGTTTCAGAGGAGAAGATTTTTGTAAAAAAAATTACAAAAATTTACGAAAAATGGTTAAAAATTGACTATAAAGGGCAATAACTCCTTAAGGGGTCAACTGACCATTTTGGTCATTTTGACTTATTTGTAGATCTTACTTTGTTGTACATTATTGCTGTTTACAGTTTATCTCTATCTATAATAATATTCAAGATAATAACCAAAAACGGCAAAATTTCCTTAAAATTACCAATTCAAGGGCAGCAACCCAACAACGAGTTGCCTGATTGGTCTGAAAATTTCAGGGCAGATAGATCTTGACCTAATGAACAATTTTATCCTCATCAGATTTGCTCTAAATGCTTTGGTTTCAGAGATATAAGCCACAAACTGCATTTTACCCCTATGTTCTATTTTTAGCCATGGCAGCCATCTTGGTTGGCAGGCGGGGTCATCGGACATATTTTTTAACTAGATACCCTAATGAAGATTGTGGCCAAGTTTGGTTAAATTTGGCCTAGTAGTTTCAGAGGAGAAGATTTTTGTAAAAGTTAACGGACGAAGACGACGGACGCCAAGTGATGAGAAAAGCTCACTTGGCCCTTTGGGCCAGGTGAGCTAAAAATTAGAGTAAATTAAAAGAATTCAAGAACTTTTCATAATATTGGGAAAAAATATTAAAATATTGGTTTAAAGAAGGATATGCCTACAACTATAAAACACATGTACTTTTATATTTACACATTTATTGGAAAATAAGAATAAAATTATACCATATGATATAGTTCCAAATTTGAGGCGAGGGACATCAAACTGGAATGTTGGACCTATCACTGTTCCACTGTAAATAAAAAGTAAAACATAAAACAATATAGTCCACATAAAAAATTATGACAAAATTCACCGTAAGTATATATCTTGTCAATTAGGAAAATCTGGTACTTCTTAAATATCTTAATTCTTAAAATCAGTGACCATTTATATTTCCCTGACTGAATGTAATCTTCCAATGTCTTAATTTTCAAAACTAGAATTACATGAAACTTTTTTAAAACTGAAGCCCTAGGTATGGTGTGTGTTTACATTCATCTTTAAGGACAGTGCCAAAGGCTTAAGTTTTTGTTTTTGCTCTGTATATTTTGGATAATGTCTCACATAAATCCATATCATACTTTTTCACTTAAAAATTCTTTGTCTTAAGAATATCCCGTTTTTTTTTTATAAGGCGAACAAGTATTTGTTAAATATATGGATGAATTTAAAAGTAAATATACAACATACCAAAATTTGACTTGGATTTGTTCAGGTTGTCCATCAACTTGAAAACTAAATGTTTCCTCAAAATCGCCAAGATATGGACTAGTAAAGTTAATAGCAATGGCCTGATGACCTCCTGGCATAACAATTCCTTCTGAAGGATCAAACTGGAAACATGGTCCAAATATTGTATGTTTTGGTAGAACACTATAAATAGCATCAATGTCACCATGATTGGCTAGAATAATTTCATATGTATGTTTAGAGCCAATAAAAATATTTCCCAAGTCTAACGTGTCAAAGGAGAATTTCACACTTGGTCCAATTCCCTCTCCTTTTATTCTCAGTGGTAAAAATGTCTCACGTCCAGTTACATCACAGAAAGCTGTTAGTATATAACTCTTGGATTCTCTTGGTTTGAAAATGACATTGATGTCAAATGATGTGTTTGGCCAGATATCACCCTCCACAGGTTCTATTTTTAGTTCTTGGTCATCAAACAACATAGAGTCTTTATCAATAACCTATAAGAAAAAATTTTATTCATTTGTTCTATATGTGATATGCAATATTTAGTAGGGGAAGGGGAATTCATTTGATGGTCAATTATCTTACGAATAGATACAGAGTGAGACATACAGACAAGGCACTGATCTTGATTTACTTTTTTCAATCATTATTATTCCTTGTAAAGTGACATGAATTCACTTATAAATTTAATTTTTTTATTATATCTTTTAAACAATGTTTAACTTTTTGCTTATCTTGATATAGTTGAAAATTTCTTGATTTCCTTAAAATGCTGTGAAAAATGTGTTACTATCAACTTTAAGAGGCTTTTAATTTTTATTTTATTATCAAAATTGAGTATATATCTTTTATCTTTTGTTTTTTTGTCCAATAATACACCAATAATTTTTTTAAGAACCACCAATTACCATTTTTTTATTGTGGAATGTTCGAGTGAGAATGGATACTTTGTCTTGTAATGTAGGATCTTTCATCACCTCCTCCCAGAAACTTTTCTTGTCATTATTCTCATCCCTCTGAACTGCACTTATGGCTCTGTAAAAGATATAAACAGTTCATCATTCCCTAATCCTGTTCTAAACTGTATATCATAAGTATAACATATTATAAAATTAATCTTGATATATTTCTTATTTAAATATATGTATAAGATTATCATATTTATAATATATTTAATAGTTAAGCTACGGTCTGTGTCTTCATATTTGTATATGTATTAAAGTAAAGATTTGTAAATGTCACAATCCTGATTAAAAAAATTTCAATGTGCATTGAAAGTGTCAAAAGTTGAGTAATATAATATATATCTCCTCAACTATGGCATGAGGAAAGTCCTTTTTTATGCAAAATGGAAAAAATCATTCAGATTAAAAAAAAATGGCTACACATACTCAAGATCAACAGAAATCTATTAATTCATTAACCACATGGCTATGAAAGGGTTACAAATCATAAATGGATAAGACAACCTTCGTCGTTATACACATTTATTTTGTAAATATAAACTTACAAAGCCTTTTCTTCATCTTCTTGTTCCTGTGTAGAAAATTTTGTCCACCTGAAGTGACATATTACATCTGACCTATTGTGTATGGTAACAGTTCTCTGATTGGCCATTGAAATGTAGGTGTTCTCCATTTTTATTGTGTTTTTGTCAAGTCTTACACTAGAATTCTGTGCAGCACCATAAAGACTTATATACACATTTTCTCCTGCAGAAAAATAAAAAAATAACAATTCATTACTGGATGAACAATTTACATTTTAAAATAAGTAAACTAGCATGGATCTTTTTCCTGCTGTGTATTCCAACAATTTTCTGAAATCATTTAGGAAATTTCATCTCATAGATCTCCTATTCAAAACAGAAGTATCAGATTTTCATGATTATTTAACTTGTGTCATAGTAACTTCCCTCGGTAGGGTTATGAACCAAAGTCAAGTTTCAAAACTTTTACTTTTCATGAACCTGTGATTAATGAAGACATACATTTAATTCTGGGAAAGTACTGTAAATCATGGAATATGATTATAAGCCAAGCAAAAATATACATAAAATAAGAATATGTGTACATCGGACACTAGGTCCACCCAGGAAAAATTCATGGTTAACTAGTTTAATACAAAACTTTGACCTGTTACAGAAGAAACTAACACAGAGACGCACCAACATGTCCACTACTATCATACTGTAAAAATACATACAATCCCCTTGAATAACATAAAAAGGTGTCTTCTGTAATCTTTACCTGTATCATAGCTAACAACAAGTTCAGAGTTGTGGTCCCCTGTCTTTTGTGGATTATATTCTACTGTTACTTGCATGCTCTCTTGTACAGGTAATGTTCCTATTTCTGGTGTAACTGAGAAGGGTCTGAAGTAAAAGAAACAGAATGTGCTAAATATACATAAAAAGCACAGAAAATTTGCCAATACATTTATACTGTCTTGACATCATCACTTGTACCTATGTACCAATAGTTATTGTATTTGCTGTATTACTGCTTCAGTGACTGATGAGTGAAATAAAAAATTAAAAAACCTCTTTTTTATGGAAAACCAAAAAAAAAACAGAATAACATCTTTAAAATAGAATTGTAAAAAGTATAATGTTTTTATTGAATTTTCATTTGATGAACATCTTTTATTATAAATTAAATCCATTTTAAGTCCATAATAATATCATGTTAATAATATTTTCACAATAAAGAATTCCTACTTTTCAGTAGACAGTGTAAACTTGGCCTCCATGTTTCCTATGTTTCTAACTAGGTATGTCCTAGAGTGTGCATATTTAACAGGTCCAGGTGGGAAGTGAATGTTGTCTGTGAAATCTAAGACAGCTCTGGATCCAATAGCTCTGACTGGTACCACAAACTTCTCTCGTTCTGTTATACATACTAGTTCATGGTTGTAGTCCTAAATCATATAAATAGGAATTTCATTTTGTTAACACTATTAACAGAACAAATTTGGTTTCATTTGTTTAACTTGATACTGCTGTCATGAAATGTTTGAACACAATAAAAAAAAAATTCCTCTGTGACAGTTAAGGGATTTAAAAGTGTTCAAGTATTGTATTGCTAAATAAGCAAAGGATGTACCAAAACAAAAAACTCAACAGAGTATTGAAATGATTATTTACAACCATACCAAAAATTAAAAAAAGAAAAAAATGGCAATATTTTTCAGTTGCGTCACTTATATCAATATCATCATATATATATATATATATTTTTTTTCAATCCTGGTAATATTAAAAATTACCTTTTTTTCTTCAGGTTTAAATTGAATTCTGAATGTTGTGGGTAGTCCTGGTCCTACTTTATGTCCAACATCATGTGGACTGATTACTTTGAAGTATGGGGAATCTGCTTGTGTTACCTTTACTAATCTGGGTACCTAAAATAAAAGAAACATTCTACACTTATAACTATTATTAATTATATCAAAGGTTAGTACTAACAATCTTTCCCAATTAATGAAGGTCGTCAGTGATTATTATTGTTTATATCTTCATGTTTTAGTCGTTTAAATAAATATTTTGATAGTAGATATTTGCTAGTTTAATTTGCTGTTAAATTTACTTTGGGTAATTTAGAGATTAATACCAAACATCTCCTTTAACATACATATTGTTTTTTTTACTGCAAACAAATCTTAGACCAATATCTCCATCAACTATTTACCTTGTCATTGTTTCTAAGGATCAGAGGCACTTCATATACTTGATATGGCTCAAAATTCTGGAATGTTACTTCTGATGGGTATGGCTGGAACATTGGTTCATCAATATTCACTTGTGAAAACTGAAAATACAAATAGATTTAACTGTCAAAAACTTTCTTTCCAACAACAACTGAACAATTTATCACATGCATAGAAAAATTTGTTTTGGTACTATTAAGTTTTAATAACCTAAATGAGATTTGTATGTTTAAATTTATGAAAAATGGCAATATTTTTTCACAATTGCTTTTTGATAAGTAAATGAGGCAAATATGGTTTTGCCAAGCCATATAGTTTTTTTCATAAATGTTAATCTGATGTGAAAATGAGATGTTCAAATTATGACAACTGATTTCATACTTTTCATTTAATTTGTCATGCCTTATTTTAACATTAAACTATAAACAAACAAAATAAGAAAATACTTATATACATGCAAACTTAATACTTAAAATAATGAATATTGCATATAATCAAACAACAATTTTTCAATTTACCGTTGGCTTAGAAACATTATCATCTTTCTGCAACATGGCCAATAAAAGTAAATTCATTAGCATTCAAATATACATTGATTTGTGCTTCATAAAGTATAATAAGCTGGACAGTACACTACTCCTTTATTTTCATGTGAAATTGCTTGACAATTTAAAATCTGTCAATTTTTTCAATTCACAACAAAAGTCTACGCTTTTGCACTGAGAACTACGACAGTATATCTAAGGTTTGAACCTAATAAATTCCATGAAGTAAAATACTTCTAAAATTATCAAATTTGTTACAGAAAATTTTGTTACATAGAAGCAACACTTAATTTACAAAAACAATAATTTGTTTTCCTATACTTTAGATGATGAAATTTGTGAATTTTAAACAATCTCTTCCTTTAAGGTATATTATATTTGTACGCCTGTTACCTTTTGAAGACTTGTGTCTGCCATATCAAGTAGTTCAACTTTCCTTGGTATTTTCATGGTATGAGTATTAGCCAACTTTTGCTCTGTGTCCATCTGCATGTCAAACATGAACTGACTAGGTGTCATCTACAAACAAGTTATTAATATCTAGTTAATGTAGTAAATTCTGTAGAAAAAATAATTGTAACATATTTATAGACTTTCTGAAAAAAAAATCATCATACACATAATGGTAAGTACTAACATATATACAATTACCAATTAATTTAACAAAAAAATGTTTTCAACATTAACTTGAATGTATTTTATTCATTTAGATGTTTTGTTACACAACTCTTTAAACCTTGGAATCATAAAAAAATTCATAATACATGTATTTCACAGTACTATAATAATCAAGTATAAAAGCTACTGCCAGTACTGGCTGATTTCTCTGAAAGTAAGATAAAATTCATGTTGATTACAATGATGAATTTCATGATTTTGAGATATTCTAGAATAAGGCTAACAAGTTAAAACATCCTTCGACCCAGAGACAATGATATTCATACCTTATTTTCTTCTTCATCTCCTTTAAGCAGTTTTGGATTTCTTGGAGCAATCACTTTACTTTTATAATTGGCAGCATCTGGACCAAGGGCCTCTAGGGTGTTGGTGGTCCCCACCACCTCTCCAAATGGCCCAAGGGGCATATTTACTAAAATTATAAGTTAAAACATTACAGGTTATAAAATTTGTAATCTCTCTCAACAATATAACACTTTTTGATGTAAAAGAAATATTTCAAAACAACGTGGGAAACATCAGCCCACAAAATCGCTAAATGTGATCAGCAACAGGATTTGGCGAGAATTGATTCTTCAATACTCCTCGCTGAATGAGTTACATAGGTTAACCCGAGGTCAATCAGCAAAACTCAGTTCTTACTATGATGTACTTACATAAGCATTGTGACAAAGGTTGTGTACAGGAAAGTGCACTTATACACCTTATCCCTATTTGTCCGCCTATTTACTGGATATCACAAGGTTCCCGTTAAATTTTGATGTCACATTAGAATGACTAGAATATGTAAGACACCACAAAGGAAAAGTGATTGTTGTATGACGTCAATATGTCAAGTGTCACAGATTCCCAAATAGAGATAAGTTTTTTTTCTCTGGTTGCTTTTAAATTTAATGAATGAGTTATGAGCTTGTCATTTCAGCGAGTTTTTATGAATGAGTAACAACAGTTGAGCCGAGGTCAATCGGCGTAAATGATGTCATCGAACAATGGGTTTTAACTGTGAGGTATTAACAAAAGCATTGTAACAAAGGAAATTTATGGGAAAGTGCACAATTTTCGAAAGTTATTGACTATTGTCATCGTCATTGCTTCACAAATATTTTACTTTTGGAAACTGTGAAGTACAAATCAGGCGTACAGTAAGTTCCTTGTCGATTTAAATTATGTTGACAAAATCAATGAACTAAACAGACGAACGAAATTACCGGACTTGAGGATACTGAGACTGTAGTGAGAGCAAAATTTAGATACTGATGTTATGATAAAGCATTCATGTACATTTATTCCTGTTATATTGCGTATGAATTAACGAGAATACAAAAACCAAAGGAGGATAATAGTAAATCACAGCAACTACCTGTACTTGATCAAAATATACTGTTCAAGCAATAAGATGTTGATTCAAAACTCCATTGTGGATAAATGTTGCTAGGAACAGCATTCCTATGTAGAAAAGAACCCTGAATTTAATTCGTCAGTTTTTTCATATCCGGTATCAATTTAACAAATCAGAAAATGTTTCACAAAAGTAAATATTCATATTCATACGCATTTCCTAAACTTGCTTATTTTGATATTTTAAAAATGTTAATTTTATGAAACACATAATAACAATGGATAATTTATGATACACACATTAACTTTTTTAATTTTTTGAATTCTTTTTTTCACTTTCCAATGTAATGCTTATGAGGTATGCATCATATCGTATACTTATCCGGTCTTTTTGTTTGGTTGTTAAAGGGTTCTGAATTGACAACCTTGACATCGACAGCACGTGAATACAGCATCTGTATTTATTGCATTATTTAATTCATTTATAAACCAATCAAAATGAAAATTTGGACATCTGAACACACTTTCGAGTAAGTAGATTGTGTTAATTGTAAAATAGGTCGGAGTTCCATTGATCTTTTGTCAGAATAACACTAATTGCGTAAGACCTTCAGGCCGGTTTCGGTCACGTTTCTTTAACATGTATTTTCAGTAGAAGCTATTTTAACACTCTTGAATGCTTCAGAAGGAAGCAAGTTAACTCGTACCATTGTAAACTCGTACCTCGTAAACTCGTACCAAAAAAGTTGACTCGTACCAACGTAAACTCGTACCACTGGGAAGTCGTACCAATCAGAACTCGTACCACTGCAAACTCGTACCATTAAAAATATATTAAAAAATACGAATGTTTTATGATTTTGTTTTGAATTACCAGCCCAGTAGTCAGCACTTCTGTGCTGACATGAATTATCATTGATATGGTCATATTTATGAATTAACTGTTTACAAAACTTTTGCAATTTTGAAATACTAAGGCTTTTCTAGTTCAGGAATAGAATCACCTTAGCTGTATTTGGCAAAACTTTTAGGAATTTTGGTCCTCAATGCTCTTCAACTTCGTGCTTTATTTGGCTTTTTTAACTTGTTTGGATTCGAGCGTCACTGATGAGTCTCTTGTAGACGAAACGCACGTCTGGCGTAAATACAAAATTTAATCCTGGTATCTATGATGAGTTTATTTAAAACACAATAAATAAATTCTTTCGTTAAATAAAAATTCCTTTTAGAAACAAAAGAAAAATACACAAATCTATTCAATGATACTGATTTGGAATGATTAAAAATTAAATCAAATAGTTGTCAGTAAAAGTTTAAAAAAGAGTCTACTCAAGGGAGACCGCAAAGCCAATCTGCCACGGTTTTCTCTATCCAATTAGACAAGGAAAATTAGCTACAAATTGGTCATTGTAATTTCAAATTATATACATTTTACAGATTTACGAGGTATTGAGGGAAATTAAAGAATATATTCATCATTAAACACCATTTGAATGCATTTAAATAAGTTGGTACGAGTTTACAATGGTATGAATTTACCGTGGTACGAGTTAGCAGTGGTACGAGTTTGCATTGGTATGAGTTTTTTTTTTAGTGGTACGAGTTGACATTGGTACGAGTTTACAATGGTACGAGATAACTATAATTCCTTCAGAATAAAATTTCTATCTTAATTGTCAAAGTAACCCCTATATATAAAGGTGAAGCTCACCTTTGCATTTTCTGTTCACCTTGTCCTGTTTTAGGGTACAAGTCAAATCAGCACCTATAGAAAAGTCAAATCGGCACCTATTTAAAGTCATTTCGGCATTTGGTTAGTCAATTTGGCATCAAATATATTTTTTACCTTTTTATTTGAATTTTTATTTGAGATATGGGGAGAGTAGTTTTTCACAAAACAAAATGTAGTATTGCTGAGGTTAAGGTTCATCATAACAAATGGACAAAACTGGCTGTAATTACACCTCAAAAACTGCTATGAGTACAGACTAACCTGTGCAGCTGGAAAAGTTTTAAGGCATGGCATCCACTAGATATGTAAAAGTTAAATGCATTTTGAGTTTCAGAAAGATGAAATTATTTTTGGGTTTTGATGGGCATTTTTTTCTGTTCCTGCAGTAGGTGTAAAAATAAACTAAGTTGGGTTAAATCTTTGAGATGCTCCCTCTCAGGTAACAACTGTATTGTATTGTATTGATTGTCCTTGATTGACTTCGACAATAGATATCAACACAACAACAGTTGAGTAAAGGGTGTAACTGAGTGGACAGTATCAAATGTAATTCAAGTGTTTGTTTATTTTTACACCAACAGCAGGAATGAAAAAAAATGCCCATCAAAATCCAAACAACATTTATCTTTCTGAAACACAAAATGCACTTAAATTCAGTTGTTTTTCATGATTGAGTTACACTGATGACAGGTCAATTTGTTTGAATGAGGTCTTCTTACTGAGGGTCGTAATGGGGGTACCTTCATGACGAATAACGGTAAAAATTCTTGCCAAATGACAACAGTAATTTTTGGTGCATGACGATAAAATGTACAGTTTCTTTTAGACGATAAAAAAATCAACTGATTTTGACGAATCACGTTAATTTTTTTCCAAAAATAACGGTATTGATAATTATTTGAGGCCTCTGACAAATCAGGATAAGGATATTTTGACGAATCACGGTGAAATTTTGACCAATTTGACGCTAACGGTAGCCAAAAATGACCGTGTGACGCCTGACAGTAAAGGGCATGCCTACCCTCCTTACTGCAACGTAATGACATAAGCATTGTGACATAGTGTAACCAAACACGCTAAGAGTACCGTCTGAGAAAAAATTACCCTGCCCTTTTCAAAAGCTGCAGGAAACACTACTATTGTGATATGAATAAATGTTGAGGCTCTGACGTAGAAGGTGATGATTACGACATTGTCGACCCAAGTTAAATATAAAACAATTATGCCAAACACAACTGAATGCTACATTTCTTGTCATCCGAATGGTAAATGATTAAACTAATTGATATAACAAATAAGTTTTCTTTGGTTTGTAGTGACGGTTTGTACCATGTTGACCTGCATTCATTTCAGTGGCATATATCCATTAAATAAGAAAATAATGACAGTTCAAATTATACTGTAAATAAACATCATAGATACCAGGAGTAAAATTTTTGTATCATCTTCAAAAGATTCATCAATGACACTCGAATCTAAAATGCTACAAAAGGATAAATAAGGTAACAAGTTGAAGAGCATTGAGGACCCAATGTAAATTTGAATAAAACTTATTGCAATTTAGTGTTTCTTGACCTTACAATGTTGTACTTAAAATAATATTGCTGTTTTTTTTATTAAATAGACACAGTTGGGACACAATTGTACAGGCAGCATGGAAGAAATACCCTAATCCTTTGAATCCTGCAGTAATTGGTACTGATGTTTTAGACAGAAAGGTTGATAACAAAGGGGTTTTAAAGACACATCGACTTATGACAACACAGTGGGGTCTACCAAACTGGGCTAAAAAGGTAATATTCTATTGCAAATGACATAAATGATTTGGAAAGAAAAAGATAATTAAGAATTACTCGAGTCAAATTAGGATCATCTTGATACATTTTACAGTTGGGTAAACCTTAAAAGTATATAGTCTAATTATTTAAATCGGGGTTGGCAAAGTATATCCCTGGCTAGGTAATACCCAGGGCCCCCAAATGTGTAATACTATGCAATATGATTTTTAAGCTTATTTTAACACAGAATAGTTGAGGCATATTGTCATTTTAGAGTTAACATATTATGTTATTGCTATATGTATAAACATCTTAAAAAGATAAACTTTGAGATTCATCTTCAGAGGATAAGAAATTATTTTTACGCCCCCGTCGTAGCTGTGGGGGCATTAAGTTTTACCCTTGTCCGTCTGTACGTACGTTCAGAAATTGGTTTCGGTTCTCTAACTTGAGTTTGCCTCAACCAAATGTTATGAAACTTATACACAATGCTTGTTACCACAAAACACAGATCAAGTTTGAATTTTGGTGGCGTCACTTTAACTGTTCTAGAGTTATGCCCTTTATAAAGGGAAAAATTGCTAAATTTTTAGTTTCCGTTCTCTTACTTAAGTTTGCCTCGACCAAATGTTATGAAACTTATACACAATGCTTATTTCCACAAAACACAAATCAAGGTGTAACACCACTAATTAGGCCCGGCCAGAAAGCACATACCAGAAAGTAGTACATATTTAACACAAAATAGTTCCTACGCATGAGTGTAGCTTTCAAAATATGTAGAATATTTAGGTATTGTTGGTATCAAATGAAAGCTGAATGACTGGTGATCATTGTAGAACACTTTTTGACTTATAATTTTGAATATTAAAAAAACTGCACCAAATTTTATAAAGAGGGTACTTTTTGCCTGTATGTCAGATCTGAAGTACCTGTTTTGGTACATCCGAAGTTCCGGGAACCAGTTCTTTCTTATATGCCATTAAAGGTATGTTGATTTTTCCAGTACAAGACACCATAAAGTGTTGCTTTGACATGCAATGATTGTCACTTTATTTGAACTTGAAACAAAAGAGCTGTGTCTGCTTGAAATTGAGGAATTTAACATAGAAAGCAATGGGGCCATGAATTAGTGGTGTACTTCCTATTACAGAGAATCATCAGAAATTCAATTTTTAGAAGTTGTACCTATTCCAATGAAAATAAGTCATATTTGATGTAAGTAAACATGTTTAATCATCTTTTTTTGAAGAACAATTCTGTTTATGGGAAATTTCAGCTCTTAAATTGACATAATCAGGTATTTTAGCCTTTTATGGTCACACAACATGCATGCAGTTAAGCCTTGACTCCAAATTCTTATTTTTGCATTATTTGGGATTGCAATCAATAAAACATGTATATAATGACTTGTTTATGGTAAAAAAATAGCTCTTGGTCAAATAATCCTATGATTATTCAAGTTTTATTGGTTTTCTTATGATAGCCTTTTACAATCTAGGCAATTGGTATATACTCATATAAGAATTCCAAAATCTCACTGTACATGCAATTTTGAACCAGTTTAGCAAGTTATCCAGCTGAAAAATATATAAATTGCTCTTTATAATCTATGTTGTACCACAGAAGTATGGTTTATACCAAAAATGTCCCTTTTCCAATTTGAAGAAAAAAGGGGGGACAATTTTCTCAATTATGTCTTAGGTTTGGTCTAATATATTTTTATTAAATGAACAAACTCTGGTAAATTATGACTATTGGTAAGCACATTGTTTTCCTAACAGAAATTATTAAATACAACAATGATATTGAGAATAAAATAAGTATAATGGCCATTTATAATATCCATATGCAGTTTTCTTTGAATAACCTATATGTTACTACCAGTCCAATTTGAGCTTAAAATTAGTAAAATAGTATTTGGACATAAGCTTTGTGTGTTTTTTATTGCTTGAAATAGATCATAGAATGAAATAAAGTGATGCTGAAGTCAGTATAGCAAGTTTGGTTCTGTTATAGGTGTAACACCACTAATTAGGCCCGGCCAGAAAGCACATACCAGAAAGTAGTACATATTTAACACAAAATAGTTCCTACGCATGAGTGTAGCTTTCAAAATATGTAGAATATTTAGGTATTGTTGGTATCAAATGAAAGCTGAATGACTGGTGATCATTGTAGAACACTTTTTGACTTATAATTTTGAATATTAAAAAAACTGCACCAAATTTTATAAAGAGGGTACTTTTTGCCTGTATGTCAGATCTGAAGTACCTGTTTTGGTACATCCGAAGTTCCGGGAACCAGTTCTTTCTTATATGCCATTAAAGGTATGTTGATTTTTCCAGTACAAGACACCATAAAGTGTTGCTTTGACATGCAATGATTGTCACTTTATTTGAACTTGAAACAAAAGAGCTGTGTCTGCTTGAAATTGAGTAATTTAACATAGAAAGCAATGGGGCCATGAATTAGTGGTGTACTTCCTCAAGTTCAAATTTGGGTAGCGTCACTTTTACCGTTCTTCAGTTATGTCCCTTTTTAACTATATGATATGCAAGCGGGGGCATCATCTGTGTCCACAAGTGGACACTATCCACATTTATTTTTTCTTTATCTCCAATAATTCAATAAAGGCAGAATACCAATTTTGCACATTTCGAATACCTTGTTTACTGTTTGCACTAGCCTTATATCTGAGACTAGGACAAATTGATTTGGGCTAGTAAGAATGAGAAAACAATTTGTAAAGGCAAATACAAAAAAAAAGGTTTGAATTTAACTTTGGGCTAGGTTGTAAAAAAGGGTTTGATGTCGACTGTGTTTATATTTTAGCTTTGTTTGAATTAATCCAAAGATAAGAAATGCATTTAAGTACTAGTGTATTGGATTATTTAATTGAAAAAATTATTCAGCTTCAATCAAATTGGTAAATAAACACAGTAACATTTTTTCTAAGGGAAACGTTTATACCCATGCTTTTAGAGATAAAAGGGTTTATTAAAGTAATATAAACAAATTTGTGTTATAATCTGAATAAATACTTATAAATCAGTTAGTGGTGTATATAAATATTAAAATTGTGTAAACTTTTAAGCAAGGAATGAACACTGTTGAAAAGTCCTAATTTTCATTACATATACCTATTATTAGTTGTAAATCCAAATTCATTTCTTTGTTTCATGTTAACAGTTTGACCAATTTATACAGAATGGCAATTAAAAAAATTGTAGGAGGATGATCTATATATCTTATTGAGAAAACTGTTCACATTCAAGTTTGTCTGAGAGTTGTAGGACCAATACAATCTCAAATTAATACACTGACTTTATAAAAAGGGTCTCAAACAAGTGAAGTTATAAATAAGTATTAATCTACTTATATTTTTTAATGTATTGTATTTGTTATTGATCATTAAATCCTCTTAAAGTTTTTAATGCCCAGTATTGTTTTGGTAAAACTAGGTGTTTTCCCAGTATTTCCCACTGGGCTAGGCAATGCTAGTTAACCCTGGTTTTTGTTAACCTTGATTAAAATGCATTGCTGTTCTATCAATTACAGTTTCTGGATATGCTTGCATATTATTAAAAGATTATTATTGAATTCTATTATTTAGAACATAAATATTCCAATTTTATTTTATTTAAATATTGACATGCATACAATTTTGGTATTTAAAAACAGATGGTTGGCATATCTGATGATTGTTATGTGATTGAGAAGTCAGATGTTGACTTGAAAACTAACACTATGTGTATCAAATCAAGAAATGTGAGTTTGAACAAAAAATAAATGTTTGTGTTTTCTGTTTTGTTATGCTTACATATAAAATTTTGCAGCTTTTATTAGTAAAGAATCAGTAAAACAACTGAATAGATCCAGCTGGAACAATAATGATTTTTTTTTTAAAAACTGCTCAAATCTAGTTTATAATCCCAAACGGGATAGCTTGCATTTTTTGTCAGAGTTTACATTTTTTTTTAAGTCATATGAAAAGCTGCAGGATTTTGACATCACTTTTATTTTTGCATGTCACTATTCATTTCCTTATTTGTTTCTTCATTAGATTTTAGGACAGGATGAAAATGCGTATGGATCGGAACATTCAGAAGTTGACCCCAAGGCAAAAACCATGACACTTAAGTCTAAAAATGTAAGTGAGAATCATGGAAGGTTTAAATTGAAAGATATTTCTTTATATCACCTGAACAGATACATAATCTGAAGATGTAGCTATAGAAAGACTAACTTTTAAATCAAAAGTAAAATTTGCTCTGTCAGGAAAATAGAAGATATTGGTTTTGAACATTAATGAAATTCTGTTGTTATCATCTTCAAAGGGGGGAAACCTGCACAATCATGAACAAACTTGTGATGTATACAGTTCTAAGGCCAAGAACTAACTTTTTATACGACCGCAAAAAAATTTTTGTGGTCGTATATTGATATGACGTTGGCGTCGTCGTCGTCCGGCGTCGTCGTCGTCCGAATACACATTAGTTTTCGCACTCTAACTTTAGTTTAAGTGAATGGATCTCATTGAAATTTTACCATAAGGTTCAATACCACAAAAGGAAGGTGGGGATTGATTTTGGGGGTTATGGTACTAACAGTTAAGGAATAAGGGGCCAAAAGGGGCCAAAAATAAGCATTTTTGTAACTTCCAGACATAACTTGTGTGTAAGTGTATGGATCTCTCTGACATTGTACCACAAGGTTCCATATCACAAAGGGAATGCTGGGATTGATTTTTGGGGTGATTTCCTCCAAATATTTGGAATTAGGGGCCAAAAAGGGGCAAAAAACTAGCATTTTTCTAGTTTCATGACAATAACTTGTTTGTAAGTGTATGGATCTTTATGAAATTGTACTACAAGGTTCCATATCACAAAGGGAAGGCTGGGATTGATTTTGGGGGTTTTCCCTCAAAATTTTAGTAATTAGGGGCCATAAAAGGGCAAAAAAAACATGCATTTTTTTCTAGTTTCAGGACAATAACTTGTGTGTAAGTGTATGGATCTTTATGAAATTGTACTGCAAGGTTCCATATCACAAAGGGAAAGCTGGAATTGAGTTTGGGGGTAATTGCCCTAAACGTTTAGGAATTTGGGGCCAAAAAGGGGCCAAAAAACAAGCATTTTTCTAGTTTCCAGACAATAACTTGTGTTCAAGTGTATGAATCTCTCTGAAATTGTACTGCAAGGTACCATACCACAAAGGGAAAGCTGGGATTGAGTTTGGGGGCGATGAATCATAAGGGGGTTCAAAAAATTGGGGGGGGGGGGATTTTTTTTTTCCTTTTTTTTCTTTAACATTTTCCATTTTAAATTGGTTATTTCTGATTTATATATAAAAGCAAATAATAATGATATGGTTTGAATAGGCATACATGTGAACCTCCCGACGGGAGTACAATAATCCCGTTTTCAGGGGTCTCCTCCCCCCCTCCCGTTGAAAAAATCCTGTGTATGAAATTTTTCATGAATGAAAAATTTCTGCCCAACATAACATCTCAGGCATCTGGTGTAACTGACATTACCTGAAGTTATATTTTACCTGTAAATCAATTAACATGCATAATTATATGGCTTCACTTGTCAGCTTGGGTGTCAAACATACTGGTAAGCAACGATTTTTACCTCAGGCTAACTGCCGTTGTGTAACAAAAACTGTGTATTTATTGGGTTACTTCCCTTGATTTATCCTGTTTTAAGTTACTTTCCTTTTAATAATGAAAATTTTTAAAAGAATATAAATAAAATATAAATTGAACAAATAATCATAAAAGGATGGTTATTAAATGATTTTAAATGTCTTAGGACAAATAAAAAAATAATAATTTGAAAATTATTTGAGGATTCTATACTTCCTTTTAAGGCTTAAATTGAAATTTATATAATAACTATGACCCTAACTTTACAGATAGAATGAATTTCTGAGTTTGCAAATAAAAACTATTTGCAAGAGAAAAAAAAAAAATAAAAACTATTTGCAGACAGCTAAACAAATGTTCTGGTTGCAATGATTGTTTTATAGAATATGAAGTAAAAAATTTAAAGAACATACTGGAAAAAAACAATGTTAGATTGAACATGTAGAATATAAAGATGGAGAAACTTTATAAGTACAAGGGTACTATAAACATAATAAATTGGTTGGAAAGTTGAAGAAAACACACTTTAAAAGACCATTTTTACAGCACACGGTTACATTTACAACAAAATTAATGTCGTTTAAAAACCTCCTGATCTGAGTCCTAATCTCCTGACCAAAATTTCCCAATCTCCTGATCTGAGTTTCACAGTCCATCACATGTATGAATAGGTAAATTGAAAATTTTTAAGTTCTTAGACCACTTTCATTCTGTGTCAGAAACCTATGCTGTGTCAAATATTTAATTACAATCCAAATTCAGTGCTGTATCAAGCTTGAATGTTGTGTCCATACTTGCCCCAACTGTTCAGGGTTCGACCTCTGCGGTCGTATCAAGCTGCGCCCCAGCGGAGCATTTTATTGTAATAATAAAATGTATTAAATACTTTATGCTAACCCTTAGACTGCTACGCGCGACTATTGTCGTTCCGATAAAGCAGTCCGCTACTGCTACGCGCGACTATTGTCGTTTCCGTATCTCATTTGTTTACACAGTTACCATGGAATGGGCGGAGTCAATATTCATGAGATTGCGGCAGTTTAGACTTGTATGGATTCTGATTGGTTAAAATTCGGCGTACTTTCGAGTTTCTCTTGACTTTAAATCAGGTATAAGCGATGAGACCGAAAATGAAAAATTTAGATTAAAAAAAGTAACAAAATGGCGGAAATTGTTTGGAGTGATGGCCAACACGTTCAGAAGTATTTCAATGATAACGATGTAACAGCGGCGGCCAATTTAAATGATTTGGACGAGAACAGAAGATATAATAGATGGAAATAGAAACATTCTAGCAAAACTGCGAACAGAAGACTTTTAAAGCGGGAACCACGGGGATTTCCCCAGACGATGTTCGAAATGGATGACATGAAACAGGATTTGCGATGTTTATCATTGCGCCTTTCAACTGTGAATCAATATTGATCACTGACATCGATAGATTCAAACATTATGTTTGTCAAGATTATTTATTGACGAAAGTTATATCAATGAACTTGTTGTTAAAACATATTTGTACATGGAAGTAAAAGTCGAAAGTCGGAAGGAAAATACCGGAAAATAGTTGCATAAAAAAAAACGTTGATCCGAGAAGAAACTTTTTTCTTTTGATAATCACAATGGAACTAGTTCTTAAAAGAGGTTTTTAACAATATTGGTTCAATTCTGAAGTCATGGATACCTTTGAAAAGTTTTTATATTGATGGATTCGCGTTAATAAAACATAAAAAAAAATATTTACCTTTGTTTACCTCTATTTGCACCTGTGCAGGTAATAAATGGCCAGTGACTCACACAAAAATAAAATAAATAAAAAATACAGAATATAACAATACTTTTTTATATAACTTTTATTGATGAATATTCAATATTTACAAAGATATTGCAATTGTAAGTAAACATGTTTATTTCATCAGTGATTAAAATTTTATTCAGCAATACACAAAAGAACAATAGAAATGAATGCAGCAGTCTAAGGGCTAATACTTGAATATTTTTAGGTTTTTTAGTTTCACTGTTTGTAAATTTGACATTGTACTTGCTGTTGTACATTTCATGTATTTTAGTGTTTTCCAAATAGAACCAAAGAATTTGCACGTTTCACCAAATTATCTCAATGACATGCATATATTTTTCATTACTTTTTTTTACCAGACTGTTGTCATATACTTTCAATTTTCCTTTGATCTGTATTGTTTTAAACTTGTGCATGTGCAAAATTGCATATATATTTTAAGCTTTTTTCTCTTTTTTTTTAATTCTACACAATATCAGATATATAAGTGTTTTCAATGTATAATATTTTAAAATATCTACTGAATTGAAAAAAAAACCCAAGTTATTTAAGATCTTAAATGCTCTTGTTTTAGAGAAAAATTATACACAACAAAAAACTTAACTGACTATTCCTGTTATACCAATGTGATGACACTTTCGCGGAATATAAACTTATCAACAAAGAGACAGTTTTTGTTAAAAAGCTTGAACCACATCTTATCAGACTATAAACTGTACAATTCTGTGATGTTGCAGAGCTCCAGATAAGCTGCGTATTTGCGTGATCACGCAATACAAATGATTAAAAACCCAATGCAATTGCCCATTGCAGGGTTCAATAACCCAATTAATTCAAAGGAAAACCCAATTATATGCCAAAACCATGAGTTCTTAACGCTTTTATTCGCTATCGTTTGCGTTATTTACCCTTATCTAATTACAATCGTCGCGTAAATCTATTTTTATAATATTTATAATTGGAAATTTCCTTTCGTTCTAAAAATAGAGCCCTGCATCAAGTAGCTGAAATGGGTCTCTGTTGGAATTTTCCGTTGCTCAAAAGGTACACGTGTTTATGAAAACATTTCGATCTTCTCAGCGTTTATCCAATTAGCGTTTGTCATGTTTTCATATTTTTTTCGAATTGCTCGGGACTTATCGTAACATACAATGAATTAAAACGAAAGTAAATGTGCGGTAAAAATATTGAATAGAAGCATGTTTTCAGCTTCTTTTTGATAGCTGAGGACAAGTTATGATGATAACAAGACTCATCTAGTGTTTTATAAAGTGTCCGTCGAACGCACGGGCGTGTTTGCGTACCTTAACGAGAACATTGCTAGAACGATAAACACGGGGTTTCTTCAAGAACGAAATCAGTTGGAAAAAGTGAAAGGCCAAATTAATTATGACATGATATGTAGTTGGAAAGCATCGGAAACCAAAAGTTCTAATAAGGGACAACTTAACCCAGATTTATGTTAATTAAATTACATTAAACAAAAACATTCACTCGGGTATAATTTTAGTTTATACATTATTTTTTCATTTTTAGTTGATGAGTGAATACACATATCCGTTTTTTTTACGTCAATGCAGCTTGACACTTTCTTTATTTTGGTCTAATTGTTCTGTATGCTTAAGATAGCTGTCTTATTGGCAAGTGTTATTTATTTATTTAATGTTGCAGAATTATTTGTAAATTGAAGTTGAATGTGGTGTCCGTAATTAAACCACCCTTTAAACCTGGTCAAGGTTTTGGGGTATATCTTAAATCTGGGAACTACTTATTATTTTTATTAAAAAGTAGATCTGGCAAATAGGTGAAAGGACTGGCAAAACTTTCTTACAGCACCTAAATTTCACATAAATTACATAAAAATCTTAACACTAAGCCACATGTTCACCTACCCCAAATAAACTGTAGGATATCATATGGGATCTAGAAAGGTAATTAGTTACTGTCCAACTATTGATACCAGCTGCAGTTTATATAAGTTGCGAGAAAATACAAAACTGGCAGAACGTTTAAAACGGGACACAAATCAAACGTACAATTGCTCGTCAGTGAATACACCAAACAAAACAGCTAGCACATATACAAAGAAAGAAACATATTAAAGATGGAAAAACATCTTGGGTTGATATAATGTGATTATAACATGCCTAAATATTCAATATTGTGTTGATGAAAAAACCCAATACATTAAGGAGCTTGGTGGTGAAAAACCCAATTTGATATTTGCTTGAGGGGTGAATCGGAATTGATAGTGCAATTAAAAAACTCTATCACCCAATTGCATAAAAAAATTATGGGTAAAAACCCCAATTTGTGAATTCTTATCTGGAGCTCTGATGTTGCATTACTATAAAAAATGCAGTTATATCATTTAGTAAGAACAAACAGGCTCATTTACAACTGTTCCATAAAAACATACATGGGACCTAGAGAAGGCACTTCCAAATTTAATCTACAGTTAGATGTTTTTGTACAGTGAAAGTTTAAGAGAAATTATGAAATTTTATCTACAGATGGTTACCCTATTTTTCAAGTACCTCCCCTTGGTACCATGTATGTTTTAAATGAACAGCCCTTGTTGTTAACAATATACACGGTGTAGTAAATTTCAGTATATTTTGAGATACATGTATGTCCCCATAGCTATTACATACATTTCTTTGTGAGAGATTTTGTGAAAATTTACTCACTAATTTTATATTTTTTCAGTTAACATGGTGTAATTTAGTAACCATAGATGAAAAACTAGTGTATGCACCCCATCCTGAAGACAGTTCTAAGTAAGTCGTTTTACTGAATGTAAATAACATTAAATGTGTATGAACAGAAAGATTACATAATACAAGAAAAGCAATATAATATGCATCTATTGTTTATGTAAATATACTTATAATTAAATCCAAGAGAATATTATACATCTTTTTACATCAAATTTTTGTAGTTTAGGCACTGTTGTATAAAATTGTAGTCCATTTAAAAATGCATTGCTTTATGTGCTCATAAGTATGACTACAAAATTGATCAAGTTCAATTCATTTCTAAATGCTTATTGAAAGTCCAGGATACTATCTAACATAATTATTCTTTTCTTTCAGAACCCACTTGAAACAAGAAGCAGTTGTAAATATTAAAGGAGTGCCATTATCCAGTTACTTAGAAAATATGATTACACAGAATATAAATAATAATGCCCAAAAGGTAGGTTTACAATTTAGTTGGTACTAGCTTGAACAGAAATAAACCAAGAGAGACTTATTTCAAGAAACAATAGATAGCCTTGTGCAAAGATTTTTCCTTGAATTGCAGACAAGTCATTTTGTGCAAAGATTTTTCCTTGAATTGCAGACAAGTCATTATTCTGATAATAATATCAGGGTTCTCACTAAGATGAGTCCTGAGCTCATGCAAATCTATATAGACTCGTAATTATCAAAACTGGCGAGTTCAAAGATGCATCAAGATTGTAAAATGTTGTATCAACTGATCACATATATCATCATTTTATAACCAAAATTAAAGAATAATCTAAATTTGATGTCATTTCCTTGCTCTATTTAGTCATGTGAACTGAAATAATAAATCATATAGCATAAAAATAACATATTCTCACTGTTTGACTCGCCGTGGACAAAAGTGACAAGTCCCTAGACTCTCCTTCAAAAATACTTCAGTGAGAACCCTGCAATAATATGCAATCATGTCACCAGAGAAGGTACTTTTAAATTTCACACCCACCCATTGTGGTAAATTCAAGTAGCCTTCCCTGGGTCCCCTGTTATAAAACAGTTGTACTTATATGCATATACTTTATTCATTTTCTTTATATTTTATCAAAACAGTATTTCATTTTCTGCTATTACGCCCCCGCTGTAGTGGAGGGGGTATTAAGTTTTACCCTGGACCGCCTGTACGTCCGTCCGTATGTCCCAAAATTGGTTTCCGTTCTCTTAAGTTTGAATTTTGGTGGTGTCACTTTCACCGTTCTAAAGTTATGCCCCTTTCCAAATGGAAAAATTGCTGAAATATTAGTTTTTGTTCTCTAACTTTAGTTTGCCTCAACCAAACGTTATGAAACTTATGCACAATGCTAATTACCACAATACACAGATCAAGTTTGAATTTTGTTGGCGTCGCTTATACCGTTCTATAGTTATGCCCTTTACAAATGGAAAATTGCTGAAATATTTGTTTCTTTAATTTTAGTTTGCCTCAACCAAATGTTATGAAACTTATGCACAATGCTAATTACCACAAAACACAGATAAAGATTGATTTTTGGTGGTGTCACTTTTACCGTTCTAGAGTTATGCCCCTTTTCAAATGGATAAATTGCTGAATTTTTCGTTTCTGTTCTCTAATTTAAGTTTACGTCAACTTAATTTTATGAAACTTATAAACAATGCTTATTACCACAAAACTCAGATCAAGTTCAAATTTGGGTAGTGTCACATTTACAGTTCTTGAGTTATGGCCCTTACGTTATATGCAAGCGGGGGCATCATCTGTGTCCCATGGACACATTCCTTATTTATTTCATACTTTAAAAATCTACTTAGAGAGCTTCAGGATATTTAATTGTTTATTTTCATTTAAGTTACTTTCTACAATGAAATTGGTCATTGCAGGAAATAATTTAATTGATGAAATTGATGTTATTTACATGGTGTGGAAAATACAGACTGTGATTTAAGTAAATTGAGTACATATTCCTAAGTCCTATTTGTAAGTTCAAACTGTAGACTCATGCATACTGTTTGATTATTTCAGGGCAGAGAAGGTTTAGAGTGGGTCGTTAGGAAGATTAAAGTAGAGGCAGAAACACTCCAGACAGAGGCAGCCACTTTTACTAAAGACACATTTCACACAATACACAAAGTGGAATCTTTGTTCAATAGAGATGGATCTTTATAACGATAAAAGAACTTAGGTCTTTTTATAAAAAGCCAAATATCTGTGATATTCCATTTTCCATCATCACCTTAACGAAATCTCTGCTGGAAACCTGTTCAGGACCAAGCTGATGCAGATATGACATATGTATTGTAAACCATTCATGTGACAGTCATGTGACATATTTATAAACCACCTTATATTGTGTGAATATTGTGAGAAGAAGTTTGTTTGACAACACATTTATTTTTTATCTTAATTGATATTGGTCTGATTCTATGTCTTCTTTGAAAACTATCAGATAATTAAATTGTCAAATAGATTTTTCATGTTTTTTCTACAAAAAAATTAGTGCTTATTTTAGTACTAATTTGGAAGTTTTTGTAAAAATGTTAGACAAAATTACTTATAGACACAATTTTTGATTGCTAGTTAAGAATTTCTGACAATTTCTTTGGAAATTGCTTCTGAATTTTTTAAAACATCTGGGCTTCTCTTGAAAAAGTGTTTCGAAACTGTTGAAGAAAACTTGAATCAACAGTAATGTTGATTTCATTTTTTGCAATCTTGAATGATCGTGTAATTATTTTTTTTGATGGACTGAGATTCCATCTAAAGTAGAAATCCATTAACCATCATAATAGACATAAGATTAATTACTTATCTGTTTTCCATTGCTTAATTATTAGATTGTGTGTAGATGTTATTGTTGGTTCATTATTTTGGATGGGATACCAATTTTAACCTGAATTTAAATGTACGACGAAATACAAATTTCATATAGGCTTGTATGTTGATTTTGACAAAATCAAATATCCTCCATGGAAATTGTATTTTTCCTCAAATCATGAAAATTGGTAGCCAAGAATATAATAAACCACAGTAGTTGTGATTTTGATTGACAGAAGTTAAATGAATGTTGTTGGACATGATATACTTTCCAAGAAACATTACTTTTGTATATTGTGTGAGAGTAAAATACTAAGATCTTCCAGTGACATTGCCAAACCAGAAGTTGTTTGCATGGTTATTGTGTGTGATGATTGTTTTCAACCATATCATTGTGATATTTTTTCAGGTTGTGTTGTATTCAGATCATGACAGAATGTAATATTATTTGTGTTCAGTATACAAACCATTCCTACTTGACATTAAAATAAACGGCATATTCTATATTGTAATTTCCATTCTCAGGATATTGTTAGATAAATGTTTATTTTTGTTTGTAAACTTTATTTCTTTACAATCCTTTTATGTATATGATAGTTTGAAATTGATTTTAATAGGAATAGGACATTTTTGGATGTAATACACTGATTTCAGGCATTAAATATATTTGAAGTATATTTTAAACTAAGTGAACTAAGCATTCATATCACATATCTTGCTATTCAAGAACGAATGTTGATTTATGCTCATGTAAATCATTTATATTTATGACTTTTTGTTATTTATTTCATTGATCAAAAACAATTCTTACTTTTATATATTATATTTTTATATACCACCAACATACATGTATATTTGTAAAAGTAACTTATGAAGCTTTTCACAATCATGTTAAAGTGTAAGCTGAGTAGAATATCCTAATCACACTAGGTTTTGTAAACTAATGACATACTCATTTTCAAAATAATCATAGGGTAATTGTTTTGTGCTTTTTTTTAGGCTAAATAAACCTTTTTCATTTCACAATTAGCCCTGGTATAGTTTGAAATAAAATAAAAATGAATTCTACATTTAAAAGAAAAGAATTTTCTTTATTAATAAACTTTTTTAACTAGAAACTAGAAAAATTTATTTGGGCAAAGTAAATGTTAGATAAGAGAATCAAGAAAACCTGATACACATATTGATAGATTTTATTCTGTAAATTCAGAAATTATTGTTGTGATTTCAATAATGCAAAAAAAAAATTACAAAATGTGTATCACATTGATAAAAACTTTCTTCGTAACTTGTCAGTGATAAATCCTCGTAACATTTTCACACACTCCTAAAATTAATAATGAAATATTTCTAGATTTAATTGATTTACAAAGATAAATCTACACATAAATTTCTGAATTTACAGTGTATAGTCACTTGTTTTTGAAGCTTTTCTTTAGTCTAATTAGATTTTGTACAATTCCTATTTTGTGAACTTTTAATTATGGGGAGTGCCTGTTCAAGCAGAACAAATTAGAATATAATTTTGACAATAAGTGCCTTTTATTTATTCCAGTATTTATGTGTAATAGAATTTTTATTTCCTATGATGAGTTTGATACATTTATATGCTGAATTCTTGTTAAGTTTTTTTTTCTGTTTATTATTTAATAGTGCAAATCATCAAATTAAATTTTTTAATTAAGATTGGATCTTCTGTTTTTATTTTTGTAACCAAGACATGTCACAAATTTTGTATTTGGTATACTAAAGCATCCTGTCTTTGCTGTTTAAAGTTCAATATGATGCTATCCTTCTTTTTTTGCTGCAGTTTTGTTGAATTTCAAGTTGAAGTAAAACAAATCACTTGTGGTGGTAATGGTTTTTGGTTTACTGTTAGCAATAACATGCATCTCATTTTCAAGTATCGTCCTGAACATACATGAAATATTTGCCACTGGAAATTAAGCAACCAGCAATCAATCAATCATTTTCAAGTAGACTTGGCATTCTCAATTCTTAGTCAAATAGTCAACCATATCCAAGTGTAAGTTATTGCAATGTTTATATCAGTTTTGTTTTTTTTAAACTTATTAAATTTAATGTCCATTCCTGTATTTATGCACCGAAATTTTTTTATTGTTTGGCTGTCTGCTCTCTGAAACATCACAGCTATTTCAGTCAGTGCTGCTGCTTATTATAACAAATTCAAATTACCAGTATGTTTTATGTCCATTAGGGGGAAGAGTTTAATTATATAATGAGCTACAAATTCACCATAACAACAGGTTTTTGTCGAGCCTGAGACTTTTGTCGCAGAAAGCTCGACATAGGGTTAGTGTTGCGGCGGCGTTAACTTATTACTTAAAAGCTTAATACTTCAGAAGGTAGAAAACCTGGATGCTTCATACTTTGTTTATAGATGCCTTATGTTATGAAGTTTCCATCTCTCATGTATTCTTTGTCCTTGACCTCATTTTCATGGTTCAGTGACTACTTGAAAAAAAGTTAAGATTTTTTGTAATGTTAATTTCTCTCTTATTATGAGTAATAGGATAACTAAATTTGATATGTGCATACCTTGTACAGTCCTCATGCCTGTCAGACAGTTTTCACTTGACCTCGACCTCATTTCATGGATCAGTGAACAAGGTTAAGTTTTCGTGGTTAAGTCCATATCTCAGATACTATAAGCAATAGGACTACTATATTTGGTGAATGGAATGATTGTCAGGTGTACATGTCCAACTGACAGGTGTCATCTGACCTTGACCTCATTTTCATAATTCAGTGGTTAAAGTTAGGTTTTTGTGTTTTGGTCTATTTTTCAAATACTGTAGGCAATAGGTCGGCTATATAAAAGGTGTATGAAAATATTTTATGATGTACATGTCAGTCTGGCAGGTTTTATTTGACCTTTACCTTATTTTCATGGTTAATTGCTAAATGTTAAGTTTTTATACAACCGCAAATTTTTTTTTGGGATCGTATAATGGTATGATGTAGTCGTCATCTGCTTCGTCTGTGTCGTCATCTGAAGACACACTGGTTTCCGGACAATATCTTTAGTTTAAGTGAATGGATCTCTGTGAAATTTTTTAAGAAGGTTCAATACCACAAAAGGAAGGTTGGGATTGATTTTGGGGATAATGGTCCCAACCATTTTGGAATTAGGAGCCCAAAAGGGGCCAAAAACAAGCATTTTTCTAGTTTCAAGATATTAACTTGTGTATAAGTGTTTTGATTGCTCTGAAATTGTACCACAATGTTTTATACCACAAGTAGAAGGTTTGGATTCATTTAAGGGGTTATGTGGCCAACAGTTTAGGAATTAAGGGCCAAAAAGGGGCCAAAAACAACAATTTTTATACGACCGCAAAAAAATTTTGTGGTCGTATATTGGTATGACGTTGGCGTCGTCGTCGTCGTCGTTCGTCGTCGTCGTCCGGCGTCGTCGTCCGAATACATATTGGTTTTCGCACTCTAACTTTAGTTTAAGTGAATGGATCTTTTTGAAATTTGACCATAAGGTTAAATACCACAAAAGGAAGGTTGGGATTGATTTTGGGGGTTATGGTACCAACAGTTAAGGAATTAGGGGCCAAAAAGGGGCCAAAAATGAGCATTTTCTAGTTTCCAGACAATAACTGTGGAACGGTGTATGGATCTCTCTGAAATTATACTACGAGTTTCCATACCACAAAGGGATGGTTAGGATTTGCTTTGGGGGGTTATGGCTCAAACCGATTAGGAATTAGGGGCAAAAAAGGGGGAAAAACAAGGTTGTCCTGGTTAATGGACAAATACTTTAGTACAAAACATAATTTAAAGCAGTGTAAGGGAGATAAATCAAATACATCATTGAAATTATCTCCCTTACACTGCTTTTAAATTATGTATAAAGTAATGGTTAATGAACAATAAAGATAATCTAAAACAGTGTAAGGGAGGTAATCCAAATACAACGTTTTGGTTACTTCCCTTACACTGCTTTTAAATTATGTTTAAAGAAATGCATATTTATAAAGGAAGACCAGTAAAAATATCTGCAAATGTTTTCATCTTTTTTTTTTACAAAAAAATCCATATGAAAGATTTGACACTATATTTTTATTAATTCTATTATAAAATAGATTAAGTTAGCACTATGGTAAATTTAAATGGGTAATTATGGTTGCCAACTCCATTGGAAATTTGAATTGAGATTATGACCATATCTTGAGGGAAAGAATTTTTTGGGGGGAAAAAGGGGGGGGGGGGGATAAAAAGAAATTGTGGGGGGCCAATTTTTTCTCATTTCAGATTTCAGAAATTAAAAAGAATTATTCTTCAAATATTTTTTTTTTTTTCAAATTTCAAATATTGAAAAATTTCAAGAAGTAATCTTTAATTGCACAGTATGGCGCATTAGATTTGTAAAATCTTTGATCACATTTATTTATTTGTTATGCCGAATCTAACAGTGTATTTAGATTTTTAATTTTGGGTCCAGTTTTCAAATTGGTCTACATTAATGTCCAAAGGGTCCAAAATTAAACTTTGTTTGATTTTAGCAAAAATTGAATATATGACGTTCTTTGATATGCTGAATCTAAACATGTATTTAGATTTTTGATTTTTGGCCCAGTTTTCAAGTTGGTCCAAATTGGGGTCCAAAATTAAACTTTGTTTGATTTCGACAAAAATTGAATATATGGGGTTCTTTGATATGCTGAATCTAACCATGTATTTAGATTTTTTATTTGTGGACCCCGTTATCTAATTGGTTCATATTGAGGTCAAAAGGGTCCAAAATTAAACTTTGTTTGATTTCATCTAAAATTGAATTATTGGGGTTCTTTGATATTCCAAATCTAACCGTGTATTTAGGTTTTTAATTTTGGGTCCTGTTTTTTAAATTGGTCTACATTGAGGTCCAAAGGGTCCAAAATTAAACTTAGTTTGATTTTAACAAAAACTGAATTCTTGGGGTTCTTTGATTTGCTGAATCTAAACATGTGTTTAGATTTTTGATTATGGGCCCAGTTTTCAAGTTGGTCCAAGATAGGGTCCAGTATTTAAACTTTGTTTGATTTCAACAAAAATTGAATATATGGGGTTCTTTGATATGCTGAATCTAAACATGTATTTAGATTTTTGATTATGGGCCCAGTTTTCAAGTTGGTCCAAATTGGGGTCCAAAATTAAACTTTGTTTGATTTCAACAAAAATTGAATATATGAGGTTCTTTTATATGCCGAATCTAACCATGTATTTAGATTTTTTATTTGTAGGCCCCGCTATCAAATTGGTTCATATTGAGGTCAAAAGGGTCCAAAATTAAACTTTGTTTGATTTCATCGAAAATTGAATTATTGGGGTTCTTTGATATGCCAAATCTAACCGTGTTTTTAGATTTTTAATTTGGGTCCCGTTTTTTAAATTGGTCTTCATTGAGGTCCAAAGGGTCCAAAATTAAACTTAGTTTGATTTTAACAAAAATTGAATTTTTGGGGTTCTTTGATATGCTGAATCTAAACATGTGTTTAGATTTTTGATTATGGGCCCAGTTTTCAAGTTGGTCCAAGTTGGGGTCCAAAATTAAACTTTTTTTGATTTCAAAAAAAATTGAATATATGGGGTTCTTTGATATGCTGAATCTAACCATGAATTTAGATTTTTTATTTGTGGGCCCCGCTATCAAATTGGTTCATATTGAGGTCAAAAGGGTCCAAAATTAAACTTTGTTTGATTTCATCAAAAATTGAATTATTGGGGTTCTTTGATATTCCAAATCTAACCGTGTATTTAGATTTTTAATTTTAAGTCCCGTTTTTTAAATTGGTCTACATTAAGGTCCAAAGGGTCCAAAATTAAACTTAGTTTGATTTTAGCAAAAATTGAATTCTTGGGGTTCTTTGATATGCTGAATCTAAACATGTGTTTAGATTTTTGATTATGGGCCCAGTTTTCAAGTTTGTCCAAGTTGGGGTCCAAAATTAAACTTTGTTTGATTTAACAAAAATTGAATATATGGGGTTCTTTGATATGCTGAATCTAACCATGTATTTTGATTTTGGACATTGGACCATAATAGGTAAATTAAAAAAATTCAAGTTCTTAGACCACATTCTTTCTGTGTCAGAAACCTATGCTGTGTCAAATATTTAATAACAATCCAAATTCAGAGCTGTATCAAGCTTGAATGTTGTGTCCATACTTGCCCCAACTGTTCAGGGTTTGACCTCTGCGGTCGTATCAAGCTGCGCCCCAGCGAAGCATTTTATTGTAGTTTCCGGACAATAATTTGTGTGTAAGTGTATGGATCTCTCTGACATTGTACCACAAGGTTCCATATCACAAAGGTAAGGCTGGGATTGAGTTTGGGGATAATTGCTCCAAACTTGTAGGAATTAGGGGCCAAAAAAGGGCAAAAAACAAGCATTTTTCTAGTTTCCAGACAATAACTTGTGTTTAAGTGTATGGATCTCTCTGAAATTGTACTACAAGGTTCCATACTACAAAGGGAAGGATAGGATTGAGTCTTGGGGTAATTGCTCCAAGGGGGGTTTCCCAAAATTTTTTTTTTTGGGGGGGGTTTCCAATTTGTTTAAGAAATTCATATTTTTTTTTATTAGTTTAAAGAAGAAATCTTCAATTGCGCAGTATTGGGCAATAGATTTGTAAGATCTTTGACCACATTTATTTTGTGTCAGAAACCTTTATTT